ACCTGGAGTGTTGAGACCACTTTGCCTTGCGACCTTGGGATCTAAATAGAACAGCAGTATAGATATAAGGACATTGACGAGTAAGATGCGCCATTATGTTCCCCCCCCCCTTTTTGCGCCTAAGATGCGCCATTATGCTTCCCCCTTTTTTGCTACAAAAGGGTGAAGTTCACTATCTGTTAGCCATTCGACATTGACGAGTAAGGAAATAATTAAATAGGCGGAAATAATGTTGGCATGGTCCTTTGGAGGAGGAGGAGAGGTAATAATTGTTCACCGCTATAATTATCAGGAAATAATTACTATCATGAGTATAACTCGGATGGTGAGCCAATATAATTATGACGAAGAAATGAAAATGGTTACGTTGGTGAACAGTTTGTCATAACTCGTAACATGTTGTCCTTTTCTTTTCTTTAGCATGAGTATCTTTCTGGTTAGCGTCAAAGTTACCTGCCCTCGTGCAAAGCTCGCTGAGTTTCTCCTAGTTAGAGTACCAGTACTCAAGACTAATGTAGGACCAGTGCTCGAGACGGCAGGACCAGTGCTCGAGACGGCAGGACCAGTACTCGAGACGGCAGGACCAGTGCTCGAGACGGCAGGACCAGTGCTCGAGACGGCAGGACCAGTGCTCGAGACGGCAGGACCAGTGTTATTCTTTATTTCTACCATGGCCCATGGCCAAAAAGGAAGATAATAATTATGATTCAAATCAGTCCACAATCATATAAAATCAGTCTAGAAAGTAAGGAAGCCAACACATTGCAGAGTGATGGGGTTACGATGGGGTACAGTGTGAGCTACTACAGGAGCATATGGATGATAGAATGAGGCTAGACGCCATTGATTTAAACGCATACTTGCCATTTGTTTCACGCAGGGCGGGGGTAGTTGGTTGAAACCGTGAAGTGCCGCCTGATGTCCGCTCCATCACCATTCCTTCTGCATTTAAGAAAGCAATTACAAACGATATCTTAAACTCTCTTACCCTCTCCTAAGATCTCAAAGACGCATAACTGTCAACATTCCCTCAACCCTGGAACCTTTCCATCCGTTGCATTATTTTCATGAAAAATTCATCAAATTCAAATTCGTTACTTGTAGTACTCCCTCATTGATTTGTTTCCGTCTTCTCTTTGTGCCTTGTTCATGATTGTATTTTCCTCTTCCTCCTTTTCTTATATCACCACCTTCATCATTTTGCGAGAACTGTGGCAATACGCCCAGTGAGAAGGCAGATTTTGCCTGTGCTTCTGGTGAAGTAAAATAAAGCTAAACAAACAAACAAACAAACAAACAAGGGACAGATGAGTTGGTGTGTCGGTATGTGTGTGAGGTTCTCAATGTGTATGTTCTCATGAGTCGTCGTGCGTATGGCTGCTCTGTAGTTGGTCGTGCAAGGTGAGGCTTTGCAGGTGAAGGGGAGTGCGGATGTACTTAATGTTGTGGGCAAGAGTAACCTGTCGTAAGAGTTGCCGATAGACTAATGTGGGAAGTTGGAGAAGGTGAAGAAGTGAGCTGTGATGGACTGGTGCAAAAAAAAAAGGGGGATCCGCAAGCAGATCTAGATACGGGCTGCTCGTCGCTGAACGCGTTCTAATTGGTCCTTCTGTGTGTGGGTGGTGTAACTGTTGGATAACACCAGACTGCAGTATAACTGGGCGAATGTAGATTACGAGCAGATTGGTGGTGTTAAGTGTCCTCGTGTTTTACGAAGTAAGTTGGTGAAGGAGTTTTTTGGATTTTTCTATTATGTGCGTGACATGTGAGTTCATTAAAAAAAAATTTTTAAGTAAATTATTGTGTCCGTTCCCGAAGGGACCTCACGACGGCCGCGAACACCCGGTAAACCCTAGCGGCAGATGCAGCGCCTAACGGTGGGGGTTGTTGTTCTTGTTCTTGTTGTGTTTATTTTAATTCGCAAACCAAACGGGCAGATGCTGAATGAAAAGGTGGCGAATGCAGATAGAAAGCAATAAAAATTGGGGAGGGATGTATTAAGGATACCGGTAGAGGTGGAGAGAAACTAAGCCAGCTGATCATCAAACAGGACGTTTGGTACTGGGTGAGTGGATAAGTCTCACAACCACTGGCACAAGTGCCGAGATACCCCAAAAGCTCCAGACATGTACCCCTTGTGCCTGGCCACAAGTTCCCAGTTTACTGTGGGTAGTGAGTTCATTGGAGGTTGTGTTGTTCTATGGTTCCAAGGTGACGGTGTTCGTTGACTTGCTTTAGGGGTGTGTCGTTATTCGTTAGAGAGTGATGTTGAGTTGGTGGTTTGGTGTGGACAGTAGCATGATTTAGGGATAAACCCTTGGCCTTGGCCTGGGTGAGATTTCACCCCAGGTCAAAATATTAGGACATGTTTAAACACCCATATGACGCACGCAGTGTGAAATGTCAACCCTGGTCATTGAGTCATTGACCCCAGAACATGTAGTACAATGCAGCCATCCATACCTTTGCGCTGACAAACGAAGTGAGCCAGGGTCATCGCGTGACAGTTCCAATTATCCCACTGTTCTCCTGATGCGTTATACCACGGGTCAAACCACATCGTCCCGCATTGCGAGCGAGAACTGTCGGGCTGTCCCGGAGACCAATTATGATAGTCTATCTCTCCCTTCGTGTCGATATACACCCACGTGCCGCTGATGTTTCTGATGCCCAGCCATATTGTTTGCAACGGCTTCGACGCGAAAACACACCCGTTCTCGACAGAATTGTGTGGAGTAGCTAACTGTCCTCCGGAAAACTTACTGCAGTATGCTACTGCTTTGTCGAACGTTCGTTTACCAGCTGAAGGTACATACAAATACTCGTATGAGGAGTTGGCACATGTTGTCCATTCTGCAGGAAAGATGATCATAGATCGGAGTGACAGCATGTATCAGCAGGCATGCCGGCAGTGGAAAGATTCACTGATCACTTCGACTGGACACCTGGTACACACACTGATCATGTAGATCTACATACAGTGTACATGCACTAGCTCATACTCACGTGTGCCCGTGCCGTGCTGTGCCGCGACGGTGCTGCTCTGTGGGACAAGTAATTGATATGCGGCGAAGCAATAGGCCGCTTGTGTTAGCATGAGAGGTCCCATGTTTTTCGTAAGCATCCGAACAGCGCCAAGAAAACGGCCTTTCTGACTCTAACACATCCCCCGCCGAGTCAGCGCGAATGTATCATTATGGGCAAAACTCTAGTTGAGTTCAACACAGGTCTGTTTTCAAAGCCTTCGATTGTAGCCTATGCGCTTTCAGAAAGGTTGTTTTGCTCCTCCCGTCCGTCAACCTGTCAGGGGCCCTTGATTCAAGGAGCATGACTCTGACCGCGAGCGGCCCGCTTTATAGTGATCTTGAAATCTTGTCTGGCTTTAGGCGTATCGCATGTAGGTCATGTGGTCTGCCATATGACGCCGGGGATTGGACCTTGAACATGCATGCCCTGGTGCCTGGGATATCGAACTATTTCAGTGGGTGATGCATGCACTCGTGATCAAGCCAAGAAAAACGCCCCTTGGCTTGTTTTGCGATTGGTACGGTGATTTAGGCAAAATTGCACCTTGAGGATGTGGCTGAAGCTGCCCTGTGTTGATATACACGTGATGTACAGGGAGCTGTACCGTGGTCCTATAAATGTACGTAGCATATATCCACTGGTAACTCGCCAGGACCTGTTGGCCGTGCTAATGATGCTATTACAGGATTGGTCCTCCATCTGCTCTTTTGACTCTCCCCTTGACTTGGTGTCACAGACTCACACACAACCATTCTCCTGCAAGTTGGGAACACATGACAGTCAGTTCTCTAACCTCGATTCATCATTATGGTCTCGTGGTTCAAACATATGGACCGGCCTTACTCCGAGCACAATCATGATCCTTTCCAGCAGGCTTTCTTGGCTGGCGTACCACTTCAATTCATCAAGGCTCATGGTGATCACGTCACTAGTGAAGCACTAAATGTATTACTAGTACCGGTGCTGTATGTTTTGCGTTATTATCAATTCAAGTAGTAGTACGGGCCGGGGGTACCTATGTTACGTAGAAGAATATTGGCCAAGATAGATGAGAGCCTGAGAACGCAAGAACCAGAGTTGACGATTCGGTCCGAAAATACGAGCCCCAAAGCTTCAAACGTCGACTTGGTGGATAAGGCGGGCAGAAATGTTAGCCATGGTTGGCTATAAAAACCCTGCAATCGCCACGCAAAGTGGTCATTGGCTACCCCAGCCATGTACAAGTATTGCTTGGAATAAAATAAATAAATAAAAAACAGCAGAATTTGGTACTTTCTTCGGTATGTTTCATGCAGTTCTCAAAATGCGCAAACTCCACCGTAGCCATAAATCCTCGCGCTACTCTCCAAGCGGTCGCTGGGCTGCACCAACCACTGGAAAAGAATAGTCAGCCGAATGTTCGGGCAAGGCCAATCTTCAGGTTCATGCATTATAATTATTATATGGACAAAGAAGGAGAGCGGAGGAATTTCCCACCATAAGCTTTGCATCAGGGAGTCGTACAGGGTCTATACGACTCCCTGCTTTGCATGGTTCTGCCTGTTTCGATGCTTCGGGAGCAGGATATTCCTGCAAGCCCTTGGGTGGGCAATATCCTCAGACTCCATTTCCTGATTTTATAATTTTGAGTGCTGGGCCCGCAACACCGCACACTATGACCACATTTAACTTGGCATAATTCAATGAAGCCAGTATAACCATGATATCTCCGACTTCGCTAAGGCTTATTCTAGAGTAGAACCCGGGTTAAGGGTCACACCGGATTAGGGATCGGAGCCCAAGGGGGGGGGGGCACTTGGCACGTACATTGTGCGGGTGATCCTTCGGAGCCCGGGGGGTCACTTGGCATGTACATTGTGCGGGTGATCCATATACCGGGATTTAATTTCCGGCCCAAGGGGGTCCCCCGTCGGTTTCCGAGGAAGCCGTAATTTTTTCGCTCCAAATTATTTTTCCGGGGTCCATCTACTCACAAAAAGTCGTTTTGCACACCTTTTTGCCCATCCCTGTACAACTGAGTCCAGCTATGTCCGCGCAGAGTTAGGTGGATCCCTAACCCGGGTTCTACGGTGAAAACTAAAGAACTTAAAAAAAACGGAAGGAATTCATCGACACAGGCCCATTTCGAGATGGCATTTGCCTACTCGCAGAAACTCAGAGGATATTTCGAGAGGGTGGAAAAGCAAAACGCATAATTCATTTCAGAAAGTTGTAAACGGGAGAGGCATAATTATTTCGTGGGTCTAAACGTCTCCAATTGTTCGTAAACTGCAACGCAGCTACTCTTACTTACACATGATTTTAAACTCTTCACTTCCTTCACACCATAAAAAGACATTGAACTTTCACATCACAAGTTAAAACTTGATTACAACAAATTACAACTTGTGCAGGCACAGTCGGTTGGTCAAAGACCATGATTGAGATACGAGAGGTACGCGGTTAAAGTCCTGCCTGGGAGTGGGAGCGATTTTTCCAGCCTTGCTGCTAACCCACAGTCAACTGGGAACTTGTGGCCAGGCACAAGGGGTACATGGATGCGGCTGATGAGGTTTCTCGGCACTTGTGCCAGTGGTTGTAAGACGTATCTCCTAACCCCCACCGTTAGGCGCTGCATCTGCCGCTGGAGTTTACGAGGTGTTAGCGGCCATCGTGAGTTCCCTTCAGGAACGGACACGATCATTAAAAACGTTCACATACTTGTACATGTTTTTAAAGGATTTCAATAAACAGAACCAGCTGAAGCGTCATTTCACGACGGTTTTATTGAGATGTCACGAACAAATTCTAGAGAAAGTGGTGATAGTAGCCTTTTCAAATATTTGTACATTGTCATTGCTCAAAGGTTAAACATGCCAACATGCCATGCCACTACCGCATTACTGCAGAAGTACTACAGGATCTATAGACCAATGCCAAGCAAGACTTCATCAACATAATCATTCATAACAACGCGTCAAGGGCATCATGACCACAACTACTTCACGTACATGCACATGACATCATACCTGGAAAATGCATACAGTACTAACGTTAGACGGCTGTGTGTGTCACATCGTGGAAATGCAACCGCACAGGGCATATGTGGTCATCTGTGCACGTCGCACAGCACCTGCTTGATTCCTACAGACTTCGGGCTCTTAGGGGGGATTTCATTTCCAAGATTGGGGTTCTTTACCGCTGCTTCAATAAGGGGCAGGGCACCATTCGGTACGACTTTACCATTCTTCAAGGTTATTGAGCCCCTATGCAGTGAGCATGGTATCTTGGCAGCCCGGAGTGCCTTGAATGTTGGCATGCACGCCTTCTTAGAATCCTGCTCTCGAGGCGTCAGGTCCTGCATGCAGAACACCTTTCGATTCTGGTGTTGCAGAGATTTGGAATTCCTCCATATCAAATCCTTCCCGGCTCGTGACGTCCGAATACGGACGAGGCGAGGAGATCCTGATGTCACTGACGTGTTTGAGGAAGGCGTTTTCCCAATACGGTGTGCTTGGAACGGGTGCTCACTGAGGGCGGGGATCATTGTAGTTATGACGTGTCGTAAGTCTCCACCGCTCTCCTCGCTGACCTGGCTCAGCAAGACGTTATTCTCACGCTTTCTGTGCTCCAGCATTTCGTCCACATCCTCCGTGTTTTGCGCGGACCGATGATTTTGGTTTGGGCCCGCATCAATGTGCGCAACTTTAAGGATATTGTTGGTATGGCTGTGTGCAAGGCTGGAGCGAGAACAATCATAGAACATAGGCCCAAAACATGATATTAATAGGAAACGGCACACAATCAATCAGGCCCGTGTGCCATTCATTGTCCCTTACAAGTACTCCTTGGACTTCAAATCAGTGAATTATTATTATTTTAATTTTTACTGGTTTGAGGGAAAGACACAAACGGGAAACGTCTGAAGAAAAAATTGACTGTCACCACCAGGACTCGAACCAGGGACCCTCGCTTGTACTAGCCAGCGATGCTCTACCCACTGAGCTATGGTGTAGTCGTCATCCCAGCAGAGACCGTTCAACATTTTCTTCAGACTTCGTAACTCACACTTCCTGTGAATCCACACAGGCGGGTGGGACGCAGCCCTCACTGTAACCCACACACTTCACGTACAAACTAGCACGCGGGGAGCCCCAAGTCATAAGATATTCACTGGTTTGAGGGAAAGACACAAACGGGAAAAGTCTCAAGAAAAAATTGACTGTCACCACCTGGACTCGAACCAGGGAGCCTCGCTTTTATTTTTTATTTTTTTTTACCATAATAAATAATATTATGTAACTCGGATGGTGAGCCAATTAAATAATTGTGAAAAGAATAAGGACAAAGTGTTACGAGTTATGACTAACTGTCCACCAACGTAACCAGATCTTATACAGTCAGCGAGTGCGACAAAATGGCACAAAACTGACAAGGGGTACTGAGACATTCGGCGACCTGACACCTAGCTCCAACACTTCTCCAAGGCGCAAACCAACAACCTTCCAACTTGGAAGATCTGGTTACGTTGGTGGACAGTTAGTCATAACTCGTAACATTTTGTCCTTCTTCTTTTCACAATAATATAAATTATTATAATTGTTTTTACCATGTATCACGCGCTGGTAGCAGGGAGCGTGTAAAAAGACTTTTTATGCGTGTTGAACTGCGCCGACACCCACGGTCAACTGGGTACTCACAGCTCGGAGTGAGAATAACAAGGATGCAGTTTACAGGGTTATGGGCCGTTACACGCCCGATTGGTTGAGAGACTAACCTCCTCTCCCCTGACTCACTTGTGAGGTCTGCATTCGCCACTAAGGTTAACAGGCATAGTGGTGGCCTGCGGATGCGAAGGCTAGTTTGTGTGTTCTGAACATTCAAGCGATGCCGACGCGGATCCCGCGAATATTATGTATCATACAATTATGAGATGAAATAAAACAGGAAAGGGCACAGGCCCTAATACGTGCAAGGGATAACAATCAACCTTGCACATGAATTGAGCATGTGTTCTAAATACATGTAAATGCAAATGCAAAACTATAAAACAAAACAAAAAAACAATGAGCACAAGTACCAAAAGGTGCAAGGGATAATGATCAACCTTGCGAGTTCGAGTCAAAGCATGCGGACTCACAACAAAATGGCATCAACTTAAGCAAAGAGGGAGAAGAGAAAGGAAACAGCAAAACAAAAAGCAAAGACAGAGGATGAACGGCGACAGAAGCAAAACTGGTGAACAAACCTGGGACATCATCATGCACAGGCACCAAAGACAAATTGAACCGAGTCAAACTGACATGAGCGACTCATGCTGCAGGACATCGCTAGGGTGATGGCTTAAATTCACCTTCCTCCGACTACCACGCAACATCATGACGGAGTCAGGGACTAGTGTGAAGCCAAGCTCACAGCGGATCCGTCCCATGAGGACGCTGTACGAGTCTCCGGTTGCCGCTGCCAGGCGAATGGCGAGACATTTCAACACATTCCGGGCCTCACCGCCAGCTCCCCCGACAGAGGAGAACACGAATGGAAAGAAGCTGCCCCTCTCCACCCTCCGGATCCGCTCACCATAAGCCGCTTTATTCTGCTCCGTATGCCATCTGTAGGTCGCAGAGAGGAACTTAGTCATGTAAGAGGACGCGAAGGGATAGAAAACCTTTATATCAAGAAAAATGCATCCTCTTGCATGGACCAGAGGCCCCTCCCCATGACGTCTTGGACTTCAAATAGTTATCAGCCGTGCCCTCTCTTCAGAAGCAATCCTCATAAACCCCGCCGTGGTTGGCAATCACCCACTCTCTTAACATTGACCGGTGTTTCCATCGAGTCTTGAGATGTTGCAATAAATATAATATAAATATAATATAAACGCAATGCAGTGAGGAGAAGACTCTTAATAAAATGCCAAAGATTAACGTAAGTCAATGTACAATGTATCCATGCATGTACGTCAAAGAACACGTATAAATGTTGATGTAACGCAATGCTGTGGTTCTGTTAACGTACATGTACATGTACTTCCGCAACTTATACAATACGTCATGTATGACTGTACACATTGCAGCAGTCGGGCGGCCGGCCATTCAGGTAGAGTATGCCGATTCAATCATTGTTCTCTTAGTCTATAATTATAATAAAATGCTGCACACTAGTAACTCTCGGTCTATATACATGTATCACCATGCATAACTCTCGGTCTATATTATCACCATGCATAACTCTCGGTCTATATAATTATCACATTGATGGTTGAGACTCACTGTTTCCTTCCGCGCAATGAAGGCAATAGGACTAGGAAGATAATCGGAAGAAGAATAGCTGAAGCTATTGCGACTAGAGACAGACAGACAGACGGATGGATAGACGGACAGACAGACAGACGGACGGACAGACAGACAGACAAACAAACAGAGGCAGAGAGACAGGCAGACACGATGACATGGCTTCTGTTTCCCCCTTGATCGATCACGATTGTTTTGACCTATTTTAAACTCTTCATCCCATTTTATCATGCGTACCCTTTGTCATGACTCATGACAATTTACCCACCCATCTCATCTCTTTAACATCTTGAGGAAAGTCTATTGAGATACATCCTTTCGCTTGTGGAGAGTCCATGAAATAAACTATCAATGTCGATAATGTGTGGTGATCTCTGCGACACAAGTACATGTATAACACGTACAAAAAATAAAATTTATACATGTTACATTAAAAACACAACTAGATGAACTAGACATAGGGATTCCTTCCACCACCTTTCCCTTCCTCTCTCCCTTCACTTCCGCTTCCCTCCTCTCCACCTCTGTATAATGGCTATCCGTGTGCAGCACGTGCAGTTTCAGCAGGTTTGAATATTGTACCAAAAATAGGTGAAATATGACATTGTAGTTATCAACAAGCACGTACTGTACATTGTACATCATAATACAGCTAACGTTAGTGCACGTACACATGTACCTTTGTTGTAGGTATGGGTTGATGTGTCCTTTGAAGCTGCAGAAGAAACAGCAGTGTCAGAATACACACTTACAAACCACTAGATACTTCACAGCATAATAATATTAATAATTATGATCATGCTGCAACTACTGATCCTACTGATTGGTTCGGGTGTGAGATTGTACACAGACAATGGTTGAATGGAGGCGCATAGAGAAGTCGGATACGTACTGTAAGGTGGGCAAGAACTCTCACCACATGTTGGCTCTGGAGTAGACCAGTGTCCACTGATGAGACACAGTGATGTGTGACTGGTGATACTCTGATTAGTCTGTCCAGAGATGTAGTATCCCGGATTACATTGGTATGTGATATTGCCAGGGTAGAGCACGCTGTAATGACTTGTGTATCCGTTGACTAGACTATTGTTGCTACGTGCCGCACAGGTTACATTCACTGAAGCACACACAAATGTATACACAAACAGACACAAAAGAAGTATGTCGTTGTATGAAACGACCATATTAAAGATAGATATAAATAAATTGTCATTGCAGCCACGCAGCTGGCATTATAGGAAAATAGGAATGAAGTAACACCTTTTGACAGTAGCTCTTGGTCATGCATTGGTGCCTGCTTTACTCCAGAATCAACAACATGCTTGGTCATCTGAATCCGTTTCGTTTAGACAGCTAACAGAAGGCTCCTTTTTGTCGTTTTGAACAATATGTAGACGCTAGTAAGTCGTTGCAAAGTTAGATTCAAATTTGTCACGAGAATATCATGAGTAATCTAGTCTTGTCTGTATCTCAGGTCAGTTTCTGTTCCACCAAGTACGCCGATCATTCTTACGTTTCAGCCTAGAGTCTGTGTTAGAAATCCACATAGGTAGCAGCGACCTATGCGACAGTAACAGCGACAGTAACATCGACCCAGTCAAAACCATTAAATTTTTTTTTTCGCGCTGCTCTGCTTTTGATTATTATTATTCTCGTATCCGTCCCGAATGGTACTAGGGGTAAGCGGATTATGGTCAGAAAATGACCAGATTATGCTCTAGCGGATGCTCGCAGGATGCTCGAGAAAACAGCCAATTATGCTTGTATATGCTTCACCAACAAGACCAAAACTGCAAAAGACCAGATAATCGTCATGAAAAAAGGACTCAGACCATTGGCATCATGCCGCGTGATGTGGACTGGGAGCTTTGTGGAAGTACAAGACAATAATATTATGCAAGAGGAATACCAAATTCACAAGCAAACGCTGAACTTTTGGGAGATGTGCCATAGTGGCTGCTAAATATTATTCCAAATCGACAGGAAGCGCTATGTATGGTCCTTCAATAGCAGGTGCGTATATAACAGCCTCATTGGGCATCTGCCTTTGTTTTTCGGATGCCATTTTATGCTCTTTCTCAAAAACGACCTAATCATGCCAAAGATTATGCCTTCAATAGCAGGTGTGTATAACAGCCTCATTGGGCATCCGCCCTTATTTTTCGGATGCCATTCTATGCTCCTTCTCAAAAAGGACCTGATTATGCCAAAAATTATGCCGGCATAGTCCGCTTACCCCTAAATGGGACTCACGACAGCAGAATTGACTGTGAGCATGTGTGTGTGAGAGTGGGAAAACGAAATGAAAAAGAAAAGGAGTCTCGTAATAAAGGTCAAATTTTTATGAAGAGCAGTTCTTGACTAAACGGCTGAGCAGATGTTACTCCATTGTTTTCTGTCGCGGGCATAGCTGCGAGATCACGAAGGCAGCTGGGCTTTTAAAAAAGCAGATAGGTCTGAGGCGGACGTCTCGCTGGAGACTTATGGTGAGGCAAGAGCGGAGTGCACCTCTTCGAAAGGGCTGACTGATAGTAGGTATATGTACAGAAAGCAGTGAGAGCAACATTTGCAGGGATATCACTTGGCTGGCGTAATATATGTCCTAATAGCTTCCACCTGTCCCGCTTGGCCATTTCAGATACAGAGCACTGGCCAGTAACAGCATAATATATATCTGCATTCGAGATGACATCTGGGTAAGTAATTCCAAGGGTACATCGCAGCTGTTTCCTATGAAACACATCTAGGCGGGTTTCTTTTGCACGGGACAGGCCATGGCAAGCAAGGTTGAAGGTCAAGATTGGTGGAACGAAAGTGTTATTTAAACGAATTTTAATGGGTGTAGAAAGCAGGTTGCGTTTGAACCATAACTTCAGAGTGTCTCCAAATGCTCTTGCAGCCAAGCCAATACGGCGCGTCACGTCCTCCCCCGAGCCGTACATTGAACCGAGCGTCTTCACCTGTCGCCAAGCTTCTTTACCACGAGCTTCTTTATTATTTATCTGCTTTTGATGCTCTACCAGATGGTGCGATAACCACGACTCCCCCGAGCCGTACCAGATGGTGCGATATCCTGTCAGTCACTTCCGCAGTTTGATAGTGAGTTTAAAGATTGTACACGCTTAAAAGCAGTGCTTGCTTGCTGGCCCAGTTTCTTTCGACCGATAATAAGCATTCCCAACTCATCACAACCACGCGCTCTTCAGCCGAACCATACAGACACCAGCAAGGACACTTCCGTTGAGAGATTATATTGCTCCACGCCTCTAGTTGTGATGAGTTGGGAATGCAATGAATTGAAAAAATATGGCCGAAAGCTCTGTCGCAATATTTTAGTTCGATAATAAGCAATACTGTTTTTGAGCACTTTGGGAACGTTGAGTCTCTCGCTCACGCTAACCATGGGAACTGGGAAGACCAAACTTCTTTCCCAGGTTTCGTATCTTTTCTCTTCATCCATTCATCCCTAACTTCACTCCTATTCCCTTTTAATATCAATTTTCTTATTTCAGGTCTACACACGAACATACTTTCTCATTTTCCATACTTACTTAGGAGACTCCCTTCGATAGGCATCTATTTGCCTCTGGAGGATCCGTGAAATAAAAATCAATCAATCAATCAATCACATGACGACGCTCTGCCCACAACCCACAATTCTATCAGCATCCATAATATTATACGGGTAAGAAGACGTTCCGCTGAAACAATAAATTATAGAATGGTAAATTGACAACGACTGAAACATTGACAACAACAACTACCACCACGACGACGACGACGACGACAACAACAATACGTTACGCTCTCCTGATCCTGACCTGTCCTCTGACATACGAAATAGGCCACGGTGTCGCAGTTCCAGTTGTCCCATTGCACTCCTGAACTATAAGGAAGATGATACCACATTGTAACACATTTACAGTGGGCATGATCTGGTTGCCCGGGCAGCCAATTGGCGTAGGATATCTCCTTGTTCTTCTCCAAGTCGGTCCAAATCCCTCGAATTTGTCGTACTCCTATCCATATTGTTCGCAAAGGTTTTGATTCAAAGATGCACCGGTCCTCGACGGCATTGCGGGGAATGGCTAGGTGGCTGCCGGGAAACTTGTTCTGGCAGTACAATACCGAATCGTTGAATGTCCGAAGAGTTGCTGGCACGAACTGATATTCGTACGTGCTATTGGCGCACCTTGTCCAGTCTGCATGAACAAATCAACGAGGACATCACTAACTGTTATACTGTCTCGATGTAGGGTTACAGAAGAGCAAAATGCAGAGAGTTCCACAATGGCATGTTCATAACAGCCAACCAACGTGTATATTCGCCTTAGGCATAGGTCAGAATATCAGCAAGAATCGCAATACATGTACATGTACAGTGTAGACTGTAATTAGGTGTTGCGATAAGTGATAGTTCGAACTTCATCTCGTGTGCTCCAGTCGTAAGTCAGTCACGTTTCAGGCGCGGGCTCCCATGTAATGAGCAGCCACAATCTTCTCATATTACCATTAAAGTCGCCAAGTCTCGTATGGTGTTGTCGACGTGAATGTAATCCGGGCTGGAGGTCAGTTTCAACTTCCAAGTCAAGTGACGCCATTCAGCGCTCGTGATTAAAATTACCTGCAAGTATTAACAACAGGTGCTGACTGGCGCCACTATTCTTGAAACTGAGCTGCAGTCAGTTTGTGGAAAACACTTGTCTACAAACACATACAGACTCAATTCTGTCACTTTTACAGGTTTGCCTTTTCCGTGCGTTTCTATCCCTGCACCTTCTACATGCACATGTACTTTATATATAGTACATATACATGTACGTGGCGCTGATCCACCACTCCATTGCGTTCCTGTGACACGCTAACTCCGACACTGCAAGGCAGCACTCCGACACTGCAAGGCAGCTACAGTAGACTGTAGGACCACTAGTGCCAGTAGTGGCCACTGCTGTGAGTGCATGCGGGAAGGTCTGTTTCCACACATGTACATACACACACACGCGCGCACGCACACACACGCGCGCACACACACACACACACACACACACACACACACGCAGAAGACTTCCTTCATAAACAGATAAACAGCTCTAGGGGCTGTAGATGGTCCACCTTGTTTTGGACATTGTATTATTTTCTTGATGTAGAACAACAAGGGCATTTCCTGATGTACGTGTACGTGTACATGTACAGCGATGGTGCGGTCACGTACATACAGCTAACAGTCAGTCACAGTGCTATATTTGACCTAACGAGGAGATCGAATACTATGAAGTTTTGTATTGTTGCACATGCCGTTGCACATACCGTGGCTTACCTGAATTGTCTGTGAATGCCGCTGTACATGGGAGCACTCCAAGTAACCAATGCACCACAACTAGGGAAAGAGCATTCCGAAACGTTGCTGTCATTTTCGGAGAAGGTTATGTCAGTGGGAGGCCATGGATTGACAGATCTAGCTGATAGCACACTAGGGCTTGGCTTCTATTTTCTAAACCATCCCTAACAACTTTCAATCTTAGAAAGTCGTATGCTCAGCAGCTCAGGTCAGTTCGCACCTGGCGACTTGCCTACGAGCGAAAGGTAAACTGGACAGAGATCTTGAAAAGCAGATTCGTTTTGGGTATCAGGACTTACTTCCTAGATTTACAATGTACACTGCGCTCGGAACCTCTCTCTCTCTCTCTGCACATTGGGATGCGTGGATGGGTGATAAAACCCTGGCACTAGTGATTTGTGATAGAGACAATAAAATCACGCGTAGATCTAACCATTAAACAGATGCATGGGTGATCGCATCGCCCTGATTGCCTAAAACATCACGGTGTTCTTCCCGGCCGTGGACAGGGGAAATCAGTTCTACTTCAAGGGTTACTTAACTTACTAGCTTAGTACATGTACTAGTACAATCATGTAAAATTAATGTGTTTGGAAGGAACACCGTGGAGTAGAAGACTACCTACAACTATAGTGCTTTTAAAATCACACGGGCATTCATTTTGGAGCATGTCCAAAAGCTGTAAACAAGTGGAAGCACTTGAAAGTCAGAAGAGGGAATTACCGGCGTTGATTAGTATCATGGCGAATTTTAGACATTTTATGGGCACTCCCTACTCCTCCTCGAGGCTTCTGCAGACTACACCCTCTGCAGATCTGGAGTGGCTGATCACAGTCACAGAAGTGCTCCATCCACTGGCCACTAGAAGAAGTGTTGTTGTTGTTGTAGAAGCCTATTTTAACGTCGCACCACAAACAGGCGCTTTCGCCTCCTTTGATACATGTGGACGACAGAGGGAATGAGGGAGAGAGAGAGGGGGGGGGGGAGGGACAGAAGTACGGAGAGAGGAAGGGTAGAAAATAGATGTGTTCCAATACTGGTCACCATGGTCACGTGGGTTGTAGCTAAAACGATCATTCGACTTTGGAACACCTCCAGGAAGCATTTCGTCTGCATGTACATGTACATGACTGTATGATGTATAGTCGACTAAACTAACAACGAGTAAGTTACTTCTGTTCTTATCTGTGATGGCTACATCGGAGTAACCATGGCCTTTTTTCTTTTCTTTTTCTACAAAGAACACAAACCCGGCTCGAGACAAAAAATAAGAATAAGAAAGATAACAAAGTTGCATGCAAGGAGAACGAAGAAACTACTAGACCACAGAAGTTGAGGGTTGACAGAACAAACAACTATTGAGTCGGGGCTGACTACTAGTATCCACTAGCACAGCTGTGTAGGCGGGACATTGTGGACTCCTCCGACCAGAGGTCTCGGTGTCCTTGCACACAACGCGCACCAGGGGGGGGGGGGTAAAAAAGAAAGAAAGAAGAAAGAGTTAGGCCATCAAGTGGCATGCTAGTCTGTGGTGTACACGTTGACAGCAGTCCCACAGGTTTGCTCGAGGAGGTACTTGTACACTGCTACTTTGAAGCGTTGCAGCGCTGCCTTGGATGGGGGAGCGTTCAGGATGGCAGAGGTTAGAGCATTCCATGTTGTTAGTAGGCCGAACGGGAAGGATCGGTGTAGGATGTCAGGACTTGTTGCGGGGAGGTGGTTTGACAACTGGAAGGCATGGGAGTGTTTCACTTGATGTTAGTGGCGGATTCTGGGGCGGGCGGGCTCAGGGGCAGCAGGTGGCAGCATGTCTGTCAGCTGGGCCGGACCGGAAATGTAGTGCAGCTTGAACAGCTAGCACAGTCACGAGACTTGCCCACGAACTGATAAGCTTGGGAGCATGGTCCCAGCGCCAATGCTGCGCATGCACCGTTGCTGGATGCGGTCAAGCTTCGCGAGGCTGGACCGCGCTGCGCCTTGCCAGACTAGGGGAGCATATTCCATGGTTGGGTGGATGAAGCCTTTGTATACGCTGAGGCGGCCGTTGCGGTCGAGTACTGGGCACACCTTCCTGAAGAAGCCAAGGCGCTGGCTGGCTCTGACTGCAACCTGGTGGAGATGGCTGCGGAACAGCAGTTTGCGGTCGAAGGTCACACCGACAAGCTTAACATCGGTTTCCTCTCTGATCACGGTACCATCGAAGCTGAGAGAAGAGGGTGGGAGGGGTGTTGATCGTCTGCTCATCGACATTCCCTGGCACTTTGTCGGCTCAAACTGGACCTTCATTACTACGCATGGTGATTGGTGTACCATGGTGTACTCTACATGTACATGATTGTACATGTATGGACTATGGATCACTAGTGCTACTGTATTATGCAGTATGCATATGTCATATCCGGAAATGCCCAACTGGAACTCTTGCTATTCATGACTAGATGCATGTACACGGTTACCTGCGAGCATCATGCACGCTCGCCTCCTATCCAGTGCATACAGCCTTGCAGGGCTGTCCAACACCGCTTCTCTTACTTGTATGATTATACCACTCTCTTACATGTATGTACATGTACTTGAAGTAATGTACGATCCACTGCGCCACCATCTTGTTTCTCCCCATGAGCCCTGACAGAGTGACAGTGCGACATATTCATACTACCCGTACATGTACGTGATTATTGTTAGATTGACAGAGAAGGACGCCATGGGCAGAAGTTGGAAGAAAAGAAGTTGAGGTTTAAGTAGCTACATGACTACCAGGACGACATCCAGGAGCGATCAAAGAATACACGACGGACGTAAGGAGTAGTCTCCAACCCCCCTAGCATAATGAGGGTCAGAACCGGGTTCAACACCCATAATTATGGTTCAAATGGTCCGCAGGGACCGGGGCTCTGCCAACCGCGGAAGGTTGTAGTAAGGTCACTGTTTCCGAACATAGTGTCCTCCACCTTGTTTCATGCTGTCAATCTAACAATATGCGTGAACTATAACAAGGTTTATCTAGTACAGGTGGAATCCTGATAATTCGAATATGGCTTAATTCGAACATACCGCACCTCGAACTGGACATGTCCGGTTAATTCGAAGTTCCACGGATTCCACTTACATAGAAAATGTGTGGGGTTTGTGCTGATAATTGGAAGTAAGCAAAGTGTAATTCGAAGTTCACTGTACACTGGACTGGTCAGTTCAGTTTGCATGAGCAGGCTGTACCGGTCAGTTCAGTATCCGTGAAATCTGTGTCTAAGAACTGAACCCCTCGATAGGCACATTGCCTTTGGGTCATTTCATAATAATAATAATAATAATAATAAGGTCCATAGCGCAACTCTGCGTGAACATGGGAGCATTTGGACATACATATTGTGTTGTGGGTAACCCGGTTCATGTTTGGATAATTAGAATGTCCGGATAATTAGAAGTTTTTTCCTGGCATTTGGAGGTTCGAATTATCAGGATTCCACCTGTACTAGTTTTGAACTAGTGTTGGGTTATAATAATAATACTAGTATGTACATGATTGTATTCACCTGTCATCGTGGTTGGCTTGCGGAGAAGCCTCGCGGTGAGGCGGCGGCAACAGTTGCCGCGACTACTGCTGCCGTGGTGACAGCGGAAGTATCGCGGGAGTTGCCAGTACATGCTCAGCACCTCCATGAGCGACACTGACTCCCGCTGCTATCTGGTTTTCACGAGGTGCTTGCCGCGCTGGAAACGGAGCGTCTCTAGTTTGTATCCCTGGTGATGTTTATGCTTGGAGAGCATTAACGTGGTGCTGTTCAGGCGCAATCTTCCTCAGCCTACTCAAGCTCAACTGATAAGGGATGAAATCCTCGAAACACTGTATCCTGAGCAGGGAGTGATGCTTTCTTGCAGGTACTTTCTTGCAAGTTTGCCGAATGAAAAAAAAGGTTCGATGGACTTCTCCTATGCTCTGGATTGCAGTCTTGAGTTAGCCAAGTGAGAATTCAGGTCGGCAGGAATAGCGCAAGCTCCCAAGCAGGGCTAGGCTAGGGAGCAACACACCCTTAGAGCGAAAGGAAAAACGGATTCGATCAGCGGCGGCACCGGGAGCGTTGCTGCCAATCTGTCCTGGCCCGCTTCCGCGGCTTCGGCCTAGTCTTCTGTGTGGCTGGTCCAGTCGCGATCATGGTAGATCTGCCAACTATAGTGCTGCCAAACCGTCTGATTTTTCGGACAGTGTCCGATTTTTGAAGGCTCTTCCGAAAACCGGGAGCTACCAGGTCCGGCCAGGGCTTTCACGACTCCCTGCTCTGGACCTGGCACACTCACCGGTCAGTTGTGCGCCGTCCAAGTACTAGAAGTTCTAGTCATGTAGATCTACATGATGTATTACTAGTAATATTTGGTCTACTCGTTCTGTCGTGGACATGGAAATCCGGTCGCGCGTCTAGCGGCCACAGCCCACAGGGCGCTGGCCATGCAGCCGTAGCATGAACGCGCTGCTAGCTGCTGGTCGCATGGGTATCGGCCAGGATCATGCAACGACTTACGTTCTGTACGCGCTGAGGGCGCCTGCCCGGGTCAATCGACTGGATTTCCATGTCCGCGACAGTAGTACAAGTCATGTACTTAGGGGCCGTCCGTAAATATCGATGTTTTTTTAGAGACGATATTGGTGCTTCTCTCCCTTGACCCCCCCCCCCCCCCTCCCCCCAGAAGACGCACATGTACATCTAGATCATGGAATCAATATTTTTGGATGCTCATTTTTTCAAATCCTTGTTCAGACAGTGAAGACTGGAAACTCTTGTGGAGTTCGTCCGTGTTTGTTCGCACTGCCTCTACGTCTTGAAAAAGGTCTCCTGCAGGCATCGTTCGGCCGATTTCCACAATCAATAGCTCATTCTTTTGCTCTTGAAATTCGCCATGGGCGTACAGCTTCCAATTTTTGATTTTGTTCGTGTGTCGCGAGTTTTAGGTCCGCGAACGGAAGCTGGTTTCACAATTCTTGTATAGCCATTTAGACGTCCGCGTGCAGGGATCGGCGAAACTTCAGATATTACGGAGGATTAGCAAGACGAAATTCGCGTTCGCTCTCCAAGGAAAGTCGAACTCAGTGACGGAATTCGCGTTATGAGAAGGATTAGCAAACAGACTTCGCACATGCATGACGTTGACACGTCGTCAGAGTCTGAAGACAGTATAGCGTAGTAAATTTATGACTGTCCTGACACGAATCCGCGATTCGTGTTCCGACTACTTTTCCGAACGAAAAATGCGAAAGTTCGCAATCCAGTTCGCTATTAGAAAAATGTTTGCGAACGCGAACGCGAATTTCGTCTTGCTAATCCTCCGTATTTACATCGATATTTTTCTGATGCTCGAAAAGACGCACATGGCTCAAACCCCCTCCCCCCCCCCCCCCCCCAGACGCACCAATATCGTCTCTAAAAAAACATCGATATTTACGGACGGCCCCTTAGTTAGTCGGTCCGCCAGGCCACTGACCCGTGATCGGGCCAAAGGCAAAGCTAGAGCTACCATGGCTACCGCTAGCGGCTGCTCCGTGCTGGGTACCGACATCGACGACATGCGCATAGAGTAGACCTACCGACCCTGAAAGTACGACATCACCAGCATCTCCATTTCGGATAAGAGAAAATGGGCTTTACTTGGACATCCTCATGATTACATGAGCATGGTAAACAGCAATCAACATGATTGACAAATTTTAAATTTGTATGACTCTATGACTACGAAAAGCATGCGTTCGGCACCAGTATTTCAATAATTAATATTTGAAAGCTAATTGCAGCAGGCAGCCAAGGGCATATCACCGACAATTGTTTGTACAATGACTTTATGTCCATGTAGGTACATGTATAGCAGTTCAAGTAACAGTTCATTGTTATGAAAAGGGTTCCGCGGTAATTGCTTTGAGGTCGCAGCACAGGGACCTCGTCATACAAGGCTAAGAAAAGTAGCGTGAAGTCCGATGCTGTGGCCCACCACGTGGAAGTAGCTGCTATCGACCTTCATCGGAGATTCTTGGCAAAGTCATTCCTCGCAATGAATTGGTATACATGTAATTCAGGACGAGCATAGGGAATAGCCTGTTGAAAAGCCGCGGGACGAGAACGACAGCTAGGGTCAGTGCTACCCTGGCTTACAGTATGGCAAGCTCAACCAGCATCATCAGGTCGTATCGTCAGATAGCGAGTGCACCTTGGACGATGTGTGTCCTCGCACTTCTTCTTTGTGGCGCGTGGTTAGCTGAAAGCAGTAAGCGCGTCAAATCATCAGTCAGTTGTACAATCACAAACACGTTTTGAGTTCACAATGATGAAATTATATACAGTACATTGTGTTGATGTTCAATGCATTGGCACGTAGCTGCATCGTTACTTGTTTTATGGAATACAGCTATTAGAAGTTGTGAATAATAACCCCGGATACAACAACATCTTGCGAGTAACTGCACTTTTCTCATGGCCGATCCAGGGTCGTTATTCGCAAGTTTGACTGCACTAACGTTACAGTGGTGCTCAATGACATCCAGTTGCTTCACTAAAGTACACTCGGGACGCTGCGGAGCTAGCCCTAGACCTGCGAACACTGGGCTGCGAAATGGTGCAAGGCGCAAACTTGACTTACGTAACCGAATTTCATTGAGAAGCACTGTAGTAAACTTGTCTGCATGAGCTTTGTGAATGGGATTAGGTGTTTGGCGTGGGCCGGTGGACGGTTTACGTTTAGCCAGCGACTAGGGTGGGTAAAATCCGCTGTGGTGTGTTGCATGCCAGTGGCATAGAAAGGGGAATAACACTATGATGAAGCTGCATTCGAATGAATCATGCAGGGCTAGTGGGGTAGTGATCTGCACTCAAACTTCCCTGCCACAACTCACCTGGTCCTGCTAACACTGGCACCAGTATGTTGTGGTGTGCATCACTTGGCAGTCTTAAGACCATGACTGCGCCTGCTCATGCATATCAGCACTAGTTGACAAAATGGTGGTCGGGTTGGAGTTCAAAGTACATGTATGAGACAACACTATGTTTGCCTCAGGGACCAATCATTCTGCCATTGTCAACTGGTGTCGTAGACTCTACTTTTCAGCATTGAGTACTTTCACAAGACAACGGTAACTTTGTTCTGAACCACAGCAAAATACCCTGAACAGATATACGTATCAACGCTGTTTTAATAAAATGTTTCACTGATCCTCCACTGGTCATCTGTGTGTATGTACTGTGAGAAACAGACTCTGTTTCAAAATGTGTCATGATCTGAGGACTTGTACTCGTATCCAGTCAACATTGTTATAGGCCTTTCACACAACGAAAAAAATGTCACGTCTTCTCGGCCTCGCATGAAGATCACCAAAGTGATCATCGATTGATTTTGAAATCTGAATCGCAGGACCATAGCCCTGTCCGCGACATCCTGACCCCAGCTTGTGCTTTTTTGGTTTTGGTTTCATGTTTCCTGTACTGGTTTGTGTGCGCTGTGTCAGCAGAGCTAGTCGTCGTGTGAAGTGCCATCCCGCGCATCATAGAACCATAGGAGCGTGCAATCGTCTGCACGTATTGTTGTGTGAAGGGCGTATTAGATTGTGTGTGTGTCATTGTATGAACAGTTTCTTTGACTTGGTTGTTCTCTATTCCTTCTGCATGTGTGTGTTGTTTGCAGCATGGGTCCAGTGCCCGTCGACACAACATCAGTACCAGTATGTGAATGTCAGCATGAAGTTCGCAAATTCACAGCTATATTGTAGAGACAACCTTACTGATGGCCGGTTGGCCACACCAACAAATGCAGTAGAGAACACGTGCATATCCCAAGTCAAGCCAGCAGTGTCCGTTCGGATTGGTGTTCTGGTGGTCGGCAACATGAGCATCAATGCACAGACCGGCATCTTTACGGTGTACTCCAACTGGGGACCTGGGCAGCCGGATGGCACTGCTGTAACCCGCTGTGTATCAATTGTGGGTACAGGAGTGGGAACAGGTGATAAGTGGGCGGATGGTAGTTGTGAGTCGACAAAAGGTTTTGTCTGTCAAAGGACAGGTGAGTGCATTACATTTATACTGTAGCATACCTCATTCATTGATGATGGTTAGCTTGCTTAACTTACATAATTATTATCATAATGGAAGACAATGGGACAAGGTAGAATATCGTACAAATCACAAAATGGCAAAACACAGACGAGAGTGATAGACAGACAGATAGACAACCAGGCAGACAGCCAGGCAGGCAGACAGACACGGAGACAAAGAGAAAACAATATTAGTGGGTGCTCCGGACAGTGGGTACAGGAGTGGGAACAGGTGATAAGTGGGCGGATGGTAGTTGTGAGTCGACAAAAGGTTTTGTCTGTCAAAGGACAGGTGAGTGCATTACATTTATACTGTAGCATACCTCATTCATTGATGATGGTTAGCTTGCTTAACTTACATAATTATTATCATAATGGAAGACAATGGGACAAGGTAGAATATCGTACAAATCACAAAATGGCAAAACACAGACGAGAGTGATAGACAGACAGATAGACAACCAGGCAGACAGCCAGGCAGGCAGACAGACACGGAGACAAAGAGAAAACAATATTAGTGGGTGCTCCGGACAGTTAGCTGTTTTGAATTTGTCAGGTCTCATCAGCGGGGCTCAGAGTGACTGGCCAAGCCGATAGCAAAGAGGTTTAGCGAGCAACAAAGTATTTTTACGTCGGCTCCAAACGTCAAGACCAGAGTGCTCTATTTGCGAGAATCACAGGAACCTTTGCATTAGGGCAGATAACTTTGATGCTAACCGGAAACAGTGTTCAACAAAGCCGAGGCGAGGGAGCATAATACTCAATCTCTGGGCAGGTAACTGTTAGATTTTTAAATATATACCTTCCCTGGTGAAACCACCGCTGGCCCGAAACGGCTGCTGTCTGGAGGAATATCAGTAGCAACATTCTTGCTGGTCCATTGTTGTGATATTGTGAGATTTGGAGGAAGCGAGTACGTTGGTCTGCTTAGTGGAGCGCATGAGGAGGTGAAGAGGAAGTTGAACACACAAAACAAATACTTTTAAACAGGTGTCGCCACTGTACGCCTTAACAGTTACACTAATCCACAGACTTTGCAATGCTAACGTTGAGCAAGGTAACTGATAACGCCAACGGAAACTAACCTGCCTGTCTTCATTCTCTAGTTTTTGAGATTCAGGGCCCCAAATAGATAGGATAAAAAATATAGGGTTGAGTTGAATATTTACTGCTTTCCTCACCCTTTATATCCACTGGGCCCTACCGATTTGCATCCGTTGTGGCCTGGTCCCTTACATCCACTACATGTACACCATGCCCCCTTACATCCACTATCAGATGTCCCGTTATATCTAATGTACCCTTCTCCCAGTACACCCACTGTGCCCTGCTTACTTGATCCATTGTGCCGGGCTCACTTATATCCACTGTGCCATCTCCTCTTACAATCCAGTGAATACCTATGCCTCGGGAACAATGGTCTAAGAATGGGTTATTGTTGTGTTGATTCTGTGCCTATTCTCGCTCGCCAAGTATGTGCAAGCCGTCCGAAAACCATTGCCAACGGTGTCATCACTGCGTACGGCACAGCCTACCCGAACAACATCACTTATCAATGTAATCCAGGATACTTCATCAGTGGGCTCGGAAACCAAAGTGTGACTGGAAGATCAGTGTTTTGCAAGTTGGATGGTATCTGGTCGACAATTGCTATATCAACGTGTAACCGTAAGTGCCGGAGGCTCTCGTCATTGGCGCTATGCTGTTGGCCCATTTTAATTCAGTCAAAGCGGGCAGGCGGATCCAATCACTTGAGAGAAAATATTGAAGTGGGCTGGATGGAAGGGGGGGGGGGACTACAAGATAGTTTACTATTACTAACGTAGCTAGTTCTGAGCAAATCCTAGGAGAAAACATGATGGGATTTCGAGCAGCTTGCGCCGGCTGCATTTTGTCTCAAAAGCATGTACAGTCAACTTGGCTAATATCGACTGCGGATATAACGACAATTCGCGAATAACGACATCATGTTCATGCCCAGAGCAAAGTCCCTTCCAACTGTGACATATATAATGAGACTTCGGGTATAACGACACTTCGCGAATAAGGACACTTTTCTGATGCCCCGCCGAGTGTCGTTATAAGCGAAGTTGACTGTATCAGAGAGAGAGAGAGGGGGGTAGAATGGAATTTTGTTGAGGCTATCATAGTGACATTGAATCACTGCATGCCGAGCTTCAATGCCACACGTATGTGTTCGTGATGTCACAGAAACCGCTTTTTTTGCGACGGGTCAGGGCGATCCTGCCCGGTAACTCATTTTACATTCGTTTGAGTTTGCATGCAGTAAGTTTGCATGCAGTAAGTATGCATGCAGTAAGTATGCATGCAGTAAGTTTGTATGGTCTGAGTTACGGGCATTTCCTAGATAATTGCTCGGTCCTAGCCTGCTTGGATTAGGGGAGTTTTACTGAACTTCACACTCACTCACACACACACACACACACACACACACACACACACACACACACACACACACACACACACATACATACACACACACACACATATACCCACACACACACACATATACCCACACACACACACACATATGCACACATTCACTCACTCAGTCTCTCTCTCTCTCTCTCTCTCACACACACACACACACACACACACACACACACACACACATACCCCACACACACATATGCGCACACGCACACACACGCACACACACACACACACACACACACACACACACATACATACATGCATGGTCAGAATATAGATCTCAATAGCAGTAAATCAAGTAATTGTTATGCTTTTTCATACGTTATACTCCTTTGGATATGCCAGCACTGCTTCCGAATTTACACACCTTATACATGTACTCATCTTTATGCCCAGATGGTGCAGTAGACTGTTTTTGTTTTATGAGCAAAACTGATCGGATATTCTCTGTTATGTACCGTGCCACTTATCAACATCTGAGCTATGTGTCGTATGTCTGGCCGTTGTCATTGCAGCTGTCACTTGTCCATGGCGAGGAACAACACTGGCGAATGGGAACATAACAACATACAGTCGATCTTACTCGGAAGGCATAGTCTACAACTGCAGTGCTGGGTTCTACATTAACGGAGCGTCAAGCGACACTATAACAAGCCGTTTTTCCAAATGTCAAGCAAATAGGACCTGGTCCAGCCCTGCTCCAACTTGCACTGGTAAGACATGTCTAAAACTGCATGTCGGATAGCACAGCCAAAATAATGTTCCATGCACAGACACTCCGTACGTCTGTACTGTACTGTACTGTACTGTATTGTTCAGTAAAGCCTGGTTTAACCCTTTACAACCGAATTACCAGCACAGCCTGCCACAGAATTACAAATTCCAGCACAATTTTCAACTTCACCAGGTGATAACTTCAGTCTCCTTTGATTGATTTCCACAATCTAAGGCTCGTTGGAAAGCTCGTGGCGAGAGCAACGCTAGGGTACCAAGCTCCATTTATATCCAGCCGCCAATAATCAGGCGCGGTAACACAGCAAAATCGTCTCCAAGCCTCATATGCAAGCAGATTCGTCCCATCGACGCCATTCCGCTCTCCTTCAACGCAGAACGCTCAAATTTTTTCGAGGTGATTCAAACTTCAGCCGACTACGCCATTATCATGTGCTCAGTCCCTTAAAGAACATGCGAAAAGGGATTTCCCCTGCAATGGCGAAGAGATGGATCAAACATTTGAATTTGCTGAGATAAGAATACGGCGCATGATATCTCTGGCGTCCGACATCGTAACTCTTTGGCAATTGTTGCATGGGACAGCTTGGAGTTTCTGCTACCACATAGATCCTCGATTGTTGCATTTGCAGAAGAACCGATAGAGTTATGAAGGTTTTAGCAATCGATTGTATATGATCGAAAGTCTGCAGGCCGGTAATAACGGGTTAAGCTACCAGCTTCCTTTAGGGGTGCTATTTCTGGTGTCAATAGTGTTAGGTACCTCCTCCCGTACCCTTTCTAGCTGGCCTGCATGCACTTGCGTACTCACCTTTTGTCTCCTTTTGTTCCGTTGGCCTGGGTAGCTACTTACGCGCCCATATTTGCCATAGCTACCCAGGCCCTTTATCTTGCCGTTCAGACTTGATCTCATTCTCTCTTTTCTCACTCTTCAATAATCACAATGTAGTCGTTTCGTTCGTCTTGGTCTCTTGTCTCGTCGTCTATAATAAATGTCGTTCCCCCAACCTACCTGTTCCCGTTGTAATGTCTGGATAATGTGTCGTCAGTCGTCCTTTCTCGTATTCAACAATAGTAAACGCAGAACGTGGCCTATACACCTATTTCAAGTTTATGTCCAGGCATTGTAGAAGAAACGAAGTAGAAGAAAAGAACGAAGTGAACTTAAAGGAACGGGACCTGAATCAAAATAAGGAAAGGAAAAGTTATGGAAAATGTCACATTATCATGGTGTTCTACTACAAGACATTGCTAAAATGCCCATATTGATCTATTTGCTGTAGCGGTCAGATGCAATAAACCACCGGCTGCGAAAGCAAACAGTGTACGGACTGTGACAACACGGAGGTACCCAGGATCTGTCACTTACAGTTGCACTGGAGGTACCTATGTGGATCATATTGCACCAATCACCCAGATTACACTTACCTGCCTGCCGAATAAAAGCTGGATTGGTGATGCGCCATCCTGTTTGCGTGAGTACCATTCTAACATTATTGAACATTCGGCACTCTGAAAACTATGATTGCTGTACAAAGTTTAGAAATCTCCCAATGAGCCATTTTCGTACTTTGCTGTACTTTTGGGTGCCGGTGACCGGCCGACAGGATTAGTCTAGGCCGTTCTTATGTTTCAGTTGCTATTGTCTATGTGCAGTTGAGTCGCAAAGTTTATAAACCGGCGTGCTAAGCTTAGTGGAATCGAAGCCTACCCATTCCTTGGTGCACAGTTCTTTGGTGCACGGTTCTTTGGTGCACGCCGGCCCCGTTATCAGGATGTCAACTGTCACGACCACCTTCAAAGAATGCTGAAACATGCTTAAGCAGATATTGATTGTGATAGGCAGAGAACACTTCATTGTCAGCTCGTTGCACTGGTGTTGAGTGTTCAGATGAAGCGTGAATGCTTGGTAAGACCCAGGCTTCAGGGGCGTAGCAAGGATAGTGATCAAGGAGGGTGCCAGGATAGTGATCAAGGAGGGTGCCAGGATAGTGATCAAGGAGGGTGCCACAACTTTCCCTACACAAAAGTACATGCACTCAAGTTTTTGATCTGCGATGCGGCGAGGGGGGGGGGGGGGGGGGCAAAATCAGTCCCACACTTGACGCTGAAAATCAATCAGTGAATGGCAAATATCCAACCGGGTCGTAGTAATATTTACTGCTCCCTGCTTCCAACTAATGATGAGCTTAGCCCTGGATGCTGCTTTATCCAGAAGTATCACACTCTCCATCGAACTTGAGTCAGATTTCTCAACCCTTTTTCTCTTCGTCGTGTTTGATAGTGCAGCAAGGCATCCTAGATCAACCGTACCCCATATTTCCCACAGAAACCGCAAACTCCACTTCAACGTTACCATGGTTACTTTCACTGTTCGGCTGCTGTACCGACACTTGAAACACATGAAAGAATCGTCTTTGCTTTTCCACAACCTCCAATGCGAACCGTGACTCAACCGTCAGAACTACATGCACATGTACATCGGAAAGGCTTTCTGTCTAAAGCCTTTCCATACTGGTGCTCGATGTTTCAGTTTGGTGACATGTACATGTACTAGTAGTAGTACATTATACAAAACATAGCGCGAACAAACTCCTATGCCCTATGTGTGATCTCCATGGACTGTGTTGCTACTTCTACCCATGGCGTGTTTGTATGACTCTTTGCTTCAGGCGCGTCGCACCGACTTTGGAGGTGGGGCGGCCATGGAAGGGGGTGCGGGGGTCCTCCTCCGGGAAAAAAATTCAAAAATTGAAGCCAATTGCAAGCATTTCCGGGCATTTGGTGCCGTTTCAGTGTACGGTAACTACAATGAAAGACTTTTTGATTCTGCAAAAAACCAAGAAGACGCTACGATCGGGGACAAACATTACCCTCCCCCTGAAAAAAATTCAAAAATTGAAGCCAATTGCAAGCATTCCCAGGCATTTGGTGCCCTTTCAGTGTACATGGACTTTTGATTCTGCAACAAACCACGATCGGGGACAAGGATTTGCCACGTTTGCGCTGAGATCATCGCGCTTTGTTGCAGTGTGCTAAAAAAATGGCCGAAAAGTGGGGCGGCCATGGCCGCCCCGACCGGTGCGGTTCCTACGCCCTTGTGCTTCTAACAAAACATGTGGAGTGCGATACAAATCATGTGCTGAGTCTGCTGAGGTCTGACGTAATGATGCGCAATGGCAGGGAAGCGGATTTGCCCTTACTGGCCTTAGGCCGGGACTAGAGGTTTCATTGCAAAAGGGCATGAATCACCAGACAAAAATCCTCAGCTGCAGTAGCACAATGCCTACATGTACCACATGTACTTCCTGGTCTGAACAACGTTTGCCACAGTGCGCCGGATGTGCAGAGTTGCACATGTGATCAGCAGTCCGCCTATTACGGTCTCTCTCGAACCAGCTGCGAACCACGATCAAAATTTTTGAGGGGGGTGCTTTGGCACCCAAAACACCCCCCCCCCTGCCCACGCCCCTGGGCTTGGTGGAGCTCATACCAGGGTGTGGTTGTCGTGGTGGATCACAGTTCGCTACAGTTTCCTTATAAGAAAGTTTCCATTGTAACACGATGTAATAGACAGTAATTGTATTGGCATGAACCATCACAGGTCACCACCATGTCCGAGAACGGAGCGTTCATTTTGTGAACTTTTGCATCCTGAGACTACTTCATTAGTCTCCATGCCATATTTACATCATACAGGTTGCTATCACAAGAACAACTGGCTGGAGAAGTGGCGACTTGCATCTCGTACAGGTCATATACTTTGCTGTAGGATTGTAAGGGGCCTTCTGTAAATACCGATATTTATTTAGAAACGAAAACTAGCCGTTTCTCTTCAACCCCTCCCCCCCCCCCTCCCTCCCTGAGAAACGAACACATACAAATAGTACATAGTATCGATATTTTGGTAATTTTTCCTTGACGTGCTCACATATGCAAAATGTACATCGATATTTTTTGAGAAACGATCAGGCGCACAACCCCCTCCCCCTAAGCGACTTGTTGCGTTTATAAATAAATATCTATATTTACGGATGGCCCCTAAGTGCATTAACTGCTGGTCACATCCTAGGCATGCGGAGAGGCTGGCCCAGTCCTCGAACACTCTATGCAGTCTGACATCCTTCAATCTTTTGGATAAATGGTTGTGCTTCTGCTTGTTATCCCTGCAGCTCCTGTCTCTTGTCCGAACCGGGTAAATACCCTGCTTAATGGGAACATCACAGCATTCAGTCTCGTTTACCCGAAGAGCATAGTCTATAACTGCAGTGCCGGATTCTACGTCGGAGGTCAACCTAGCAAGAAAGTAACAAGTCGCGTTTCGAAATGCCAGGTGAATGGAACCTGGTCCACTTCTATTCCAACTTGTGTTGGTAAGACATGTCTCAAGTGGCTTATTGCATATCAGAGCTTCGTGCACTACCAAATATGCCTATAACAAGACCTTTGTCAGTTGAAGACCAGTCCACAGATCTTCATACATAGATGCTAGAATGGTTGCGCATGTGTCCATTGCCGGTAAAGTTAGCTAGACATCATCTGTCCAGTGATCCTTGTCAGCAAAGCTGTAGTAGGAAGGGGCTCAGCTTGTCAAAGTCGAAGCATGTTTTTGCACATTCTGTATGGTGCGTATCGATCATAGTGTGGTCGTGTAAAAGAATATACTGCCTACAATAATGAACTTTTTTTAGCATTGCGTCGTATTGCTGTGAGTGCATTTGTTATGGTCATAGAACTCATGTTGCACAGCCACATGGTGCGCCTATGGCCAGTATGGGACTATGAACAACCGCATGCACAGTAGCACTACATTTCATGTACAATCTTCCTGGCTATGCGCACATGCATATGATACATCACACTAGCTTTATGGTCAGAAAGAATTATCGGAAATAAGAATAGAAAGTCGTTTTTCAAACACCCGGCACGCTATAAACGACACTGTAAAATGACATACGTGCTTGTATAGTCAAGTAGTTGTGTCATAGCATGGAATCTTGATGTTCATGATGCTGAATTATTGCTTCAATACCAGATTCAGGAGACTGTACATGTACTGTCAATGGCTACCTGTCAAATGGCAACCTGATTTCGTCCAGAGATGTCTGGCTTGTGGAAGATCGAGTGCCCTGGAACAGCTTGCGTTTACTATGGCATGTATGATTGTGTGTGTGTGGGGGGGGGGGGGGGGGGGGAGGAATAGGATATTCTGTAACTGCAATAATTTGGACTGTTGTTGTGTATGAGGTTTGTGCAGAATGGAGCTCTTGTTCTTGTCTCGTATCTGGTTTTGGATATGCTTCACAGGAATACAATGCAAAACTCCACCTGCGGCAAAGGCATTTAGTGTCGCCCAAGCCGGAGGACGAGCCTATCCTGGAGCAGCTGTTTATCAATGCTTTAATGGCTACTACGTGGGTGGTCAGACAGACCAGTCAATATTCTCTGTAACACTGATGTGCTCAACTGCCGGTGACTGGCAAGGCAGCTCGCCAAAATGTCAACGTAGGTTCATAACTGAGGCACTCCCTCGCTCTCCCCTCCCTTTTCAGTTACCGTATTTTACCGGTTACAAGTCGACCTTTTCATGACCTAAAAACCGGCCTAAAAAGGGGAAGTTGGTGTACAATCGGGGCATACCTGCTCTAAAACCGGTAAATCGAGTCCTCAAATGGAGGTCGACTTATATCTGGGGTTGACTAACAGCTGGTAAAATGCAGTCCAGTCAAATTCGTGGTTTACGACCTTTTCATGAATGCACTGTAGAGCATTTGTGAAACTTAAAACTCCTCAGCTTGAATGACGGTCTCGCTACTGCAATTCGAATCAAAAATATAACACCAATGTTTGGGCCTGGTCCATCATCGGGGTAATAGATGATAAAGCGGATCCAGTGCATATTGAACTAACTGTTTCATGTACAGTCAAACCTCATTAGGACGAACACGGATAAGGCGAACTTTCCAATAGTACGAACTAGGGCTAATCCCATGGTTGGCCAGGCATCATATCATGTCGAAATTATACGTTTATGACGAACTCCTGTGCGGTGAACTTTCGTTGAGACGAACTAATTTCAGGCATGATTTGGACAAAATCAGTGCGTAGTACGAACTTTCGGTCCACGTGCATGCGCTGGCTGTTTTTTCCGATAGTCGAGGCCTCTTGTACAGGCAAAATGAATCATCATGGTACAAAGCGGAGGACATGCTGTCATGAATTCATTGCACATTGTACTTACCTGTTGCTGGCTTATGCTATGAATAAATGCTTTACATGTGCCACATCATGCACGTTCACATCAATAAAATCCATTGATATGCATATCAAGTTTTTGTCAGATCTGGATAAGAAGAACTCCGGATAAGACAAACAAACTTGTCCAGTCCCTTGAAGTTCGTCCTAACAAGGTTTGACTGTACGAAGACACCATCTAATGATACTGAGAAAGATAACATTATTATTGGCGTGAATATTTGAGGTGAAGAACAGGAAGTAAGTGTAGGTGGTGTATGTGTCAGCGACAAGGTGTGTAGAGCAAGTACTTGTAAAATACAAGAAAGTATGGCTTCGAGTGATGGTTGTGTGGTGCTCGTTGTAGGGATCATCAGGAGACAAGACGTTGATCCCCATCAAAATTCATCGCGGCATGATTGAGCTCTGTAATTCCTCTTCACGTGTATGCCTGTCATTGTGTGACTCTGTGTCCATATTGTGTTGCAATTGTAGGCAAGACATGCCCGATGCTCCCTACTCCGATGTCTGCGACGCTATCGTACAGCAACAAACTCCTGTACCAGAGTGTAGCCATGATCAAATGCACACAGGGCTACAAGATCAAGGGTCAGCCTCTCAACTCTGTGAATGTGCATAACCGAACATGCCGCGCAGACAATACCTGGAGCTTTGCACAGCCAGTCTGTATAGGTACGTAAAGTCCATCAAAACTACTTGTGTATGCGTGTGTGTGTATGCGTGTGTGTGTGTGTGTGTGTGTGTGTGTGTATGCGTGTGTGTGTGTATGCGTGTGTGTGTATGTGTGTGTGTGTATGTGTGTGTGTGTGTGTATGCGTGTGTGTGTGTGTGCGTGCGTGTGCGTGTGTGTGTGTGTGTGTGTGTGTATGCGTGTGTGCGTGCGTGTGTGTGTGTTGCTATGCATGTGTACAGGGTTCGTTTGTGCCGTCGATGACCATAGCAAATTTCTTGAGCTGTGTAAATTTGAGCATGGGGTCTCTGCAGCTAGCCGATGTTAATCCTTGGCATATTTACTGGTGTAGAGTGTGCACTTTACATCTCCTATCTCAGGTCCCAAATCGTGGTTACGCAATATGCTCCGCATATTAGAATGCATGCACTTCGAAAAGTAGTGCAATGCATCAAGCTTTTGCAAAGTTTGCCACTCAGTCTGACCCAGTGCAAGTGATATGTATGCAATGTGTAGTGTTTACTGCCAGTCCTCTGCCAGCTACGCAGGACATTCATGATGGGTACGAGACACCATGCGTTATGCAGATGTACACATTGATAATTCTATCGTAATTTTGGTCGCATTATAATACAATCTTTATAATCGACTATTTCAAGTTCTCAAATCTAGGCTGTGCATTATACTATGGATATACGCAAAACGTTGGTCAAACAACGGGGGTGCGCGTTATACTCAGGTGCGCGCTATACTCTGGCAAATACGGTAGATTTGATGGTACAATAGTCTATGTAGTTCTATACTGAGTACTTTACCTGGTACACTGGGCCACAGACTGGGCTGGTCAGCTAAATATATACGGCGTACATGGCTGTCAGCTGCAGTTCAAAGTGGTCGGCATATTTGACATTTTCTTAATAACATGTCAGAGCATCTGCTGTCATGTTCTTTGTATTGTCATGAAATGCAGGTGTGATTTGTCCACCTTTGAACAATCAGCTCCCAAACCTGCTGAGAATAGACAATAACAATACACGAGTGTATGGAAATACCTCGACATATATCTGTAACACCGGATATTACATAGCCCAGTCTAAAAGCTACTTGGTCAGCACCTATGTCGTGGAATGTTTGTACACTGGGAAATGGAATGCCAGTGCTCCAACATGCTCGCGTAAGTAAATTCCTTGTATCAGAACCTTTCAGAAGCATGGTGATTTTCAGTAACCGTTAAAAGTAATGGTGAAAAAGGAGCACAAAATGTTACGAGTTATGACTAACTGTCCACCAACGTAACCAGATCTTATACAGTCAGCGAGTGCGCGTCCTCCTTTTTTCACCATAATTTAATTGGCTCACCATCCGAGTTAAACGTTATAAGTAAGTTTTTTATCATTATTATTATCAGCCCTTTCACGTTGACATCACCAAGCCACCTTGGCTAGTCTTTGCTACACAGTGGGTGGTCCAGTGTTATTAGGCATCTGCCTGTTTGGTTTCTCCGCTATTTAAAAAGAATACTACTACTACTTAGGCCAAGTGGGATGAAGAATGAGGCCCGAGGAACGAGCGGGGTCAAGGAGGTGCTTATATCCATGCAGCTGCAGAATGGAGAACACAGAAAATATCAAAATTGTCCTAAACACACACACGCACGCACGCACTCACACACACACACACACACACACACACACACACACACACACACACTCTAAACTATGTACTTCAACAAATAAAAACCGAAAACTGCTGAGTCCTGTATGGTAATCATGATGCATGTACAGATAGTTGACTTACAGAGTGTCAAAAGCCGCGGACATGGCACGAGTAAACAATTCGTAGAATTCTACTGATACACTACGTCATCATTTTTATCTAGTGAACAAAAAGATACTAATGTCTATTGCGAGGTGACCTACCCTGTGCTATTCTAACTTATGCATGCCACTGATTAACTGATGCATGCCACTGAATAACTTATTCATGTCTCAAAACTAGATTAGCAGCATCATTAGCACACCCGGCAAGTGCTTCTTAGTAAATTCTTAGAACATTGGCATCATTTGTTTGTATTGCTGCAGCGGTTCGTTGTATCCAACCACCATCTGCCATTGCCAATGGCTTGGTCAGTGGCATTGAAGTAACCTACAACAAGACATACTCATTCCACTGTCAGAGGGGTTTTCACATCAGCGGCAGTCCTGCGACCACCACGAGTCTCATCATTCAGTGCGGCAGTGATGCAAAATGGACCAGCCTGTTTCCTACTTGTGCAGGTGAGCTGCGCTGCAACCCATGTCGTCCAAACTATGCACTACTGTCGTGTTGTTGCCACACGTGGCAGAGCTTTTATACATGCCTTCTCTGAAACACTTAGGACACTTCCAGATGTCCATCTAAATTACCACCAGCGATAACTGATGTAGCTGGACAAAGACGCTTTACAGCCGCATGTTTTATGAGTGTTATTGCTGCAAGTCGTGGTAAGAACTGCCATACTGCCATGTTCTGTGTGTTAGTAGGTTGTGCATATGTGCTGGTGATAATTGCCTTGTCTGCCAATCTATACTTACTTTTTTTGAATGTTTTCCCCTCTTCCTAAATTGTCCATCCAGCTGTCATGTGCAGAGCCATTCCCAGTTCTATAGCCAATGGCACCGTGAGTGTACAGGGCACGAGCAGTTCATTCGGATCCATCGTCAACTACGTCTGCATGTCCGGCTTTCAAATCTTTGGCGCAGTACCAACATTGAGCCGTGCACTAACGTGCAAATTGGATGGGCGTTGGAATAACACCGTTCCCACTTGTAGTGGTAAGTGTAGGTACACTTCATTGACTACACAAACTTTGCAGTACATGTACAGGTATAATGATGGTGCATGCATTGTAATGCCTTGCTTATCGTTGACTATGCTTTTTCAATGTACAAATATGATGCAACGTGAGACGTACTTTGTGCTGTCCATTGCCAGTAGTTTCCATATCACCATAGCCCTTCGTCTGGAGCAAGACATGGTCTATGTTTATGGTCAGAGTGTGCCGTATTCCAAACGAGAATTTGGTAAAAATTGATATTGCTACTTTGGAATACAACTGCTACGTGGAGATCAGGGAGTCAATGCATCTACTAAGTAGGAATATGACACGAGACCATATAAATGATGCATGTTTTTTTGACCCCAGATTTGGAAGATCTACGTGATCTGTGGTGTATGGTGCTGTAGTAGTGGGCTTGCCCTCCTGATCCCAAACGGGTTCCGGACAAGCGATGCCATATGGCAGACACAGCAGTCTTGTCCCAAGGGCAACTGGAGCGGGTGGCACAGGAGCGAAACTCATATCGTTTCCCGTTCCAGTCGCCTGTATCTGATTCTTCGATGCTACGACTACCTTCGCGATGGATACGATACTTGTGGACAACCTAGCTTTGCAACCAGTAGGGGTCATGCTCGCAACATCTACCTGAGCGGAATGAAAATTCCTTTGCACGCACACAACATACAAAACTGTCTCTGCATACACACATTCTATTCACTGTTTTCAGGTGTTCCGATTTGTCCTCCACTGAGTAAGATATCGAATGGAAAGTTTCTAGCCACCAACGGGCAAAAGATAGGTTCAGTTGCTACGTATGTATGCCAGACAGGCTATCAACTGCAGGGCACCAGTAAGCGCACATGCCAGACCAACACACTGTGGACAAGCTCGGCACCTGTATGCAATAGTAAGTAGAAGCATTTCTGTGTGTGTGTGTGTGTGTGTGTGTGCGTGCGTGCGTGCGTGCGTGTGTGTGTGTGTGTGTTTACGCTACCTGGGGTAAAACTGGTATGCATACAACATACTGCAAGTATTTGAATAGAAGCCATTCTCGAGAAAGTTATAAGGTGCACTTTTGAATTCATCAAATAGCACAAAGGCTGCATTTGAATGATAACCATGGCTTCAAAATGGGACACTACTCTGCTACTGTAGGTGGGAGTACAATAGACTAGCGGACGTGAACTTGTGACCCACAGTGTACGTCATCAAGTGTATTAACATGATAGAGAGCTCGAAACTCAACTGCCGTATTCTGGTGACAGAACTCGTATCATAATTATAAGCAGGAGTGAGAGGAATGGCGAGATTATAGACGCAACATGTATTGAAGGTGTTGGTCGGCAAACATACACGTATTGACAAACCGTAGCAAGTCTTATAACTGTATTCTGGTGGTACTGAATTGACTTGTGGCCAACACACTGTGACATCGCCAGCCTCTCTTGTATAGAGTCAGGACTAGCAGAGAAGCCACACGAGGTGTTATACGAGAAAAAAACCATTGTGACAAGCATTGGCCTGCTTACAAGACTACCCAGTACCAACTGCCCTGAGGTCCAGCAATGGCGAGTGTACTATCAGACAACGCTACCACCGATGAGTCAGTATGTAACCGAAAATTGCCATTTACCTAAAGTGTTGCTAACCTGACTAGTATCAGTGGCAGGTTTGGTCATTTAGTTACAGTGCATTTAGTGTAACACATTGCACTGTAGTTTACAAATAAGCTTAAAGTGTGCCTAAGCTTCTTGGTTGGTCGGATTGTTTATACACAGGTCGATGGGATTGTGTTCATTTGGTGGCTTACTTGTGCACACCACGATATCCGTTTTCTATGTGGCTTTCATTGTGTTACCATGTGATGCTGCTGTGGCAGATATCAATGAATGTGTTCTAGGTGTGGATACTTGTAATCAAGTGAATGGCACATGTAAAGATACCAGAGGTTCCTACAGCTGCTCATGTAACCCTGGTTATGCTGGTGATGGAAGAAAGTGCACAGGTAAGGAAGTTATTGTAAGTCAAGAAATATTCGGCGCATATTTTCGGCTATTTTCAGCCTGGGCATATTTGGCCGAAAATTTGTTGTGGTTTAAATGTTGTTTTGCAAGGTTCAGTATGGCAGCACCAATACAGGCCGAAACTTTAATGCAGCCGAAATGTGTTTTGACCCTGGGATGCTGAAATTTGAACGGGCCGAAAATTTGTAGACTTAGGGTACCCGTCATGACTCATCAGGGTACATGGGTCAGACAGGATATGTATGGGCTGGTGAGAATGCGCTGTTCAATGTGCTAGACACACAAATGTAGGCACTATCGCTAGTGCAATAGTGCTCGATGCACACCCTACAGAGGCGTTCACAACTCAGCGCTCGAACAAATTTCTTCGCACTGTTCCAAGGGTGTTCTACTAAAATTAATACTTTGCTTTACATGACTGCTAGAGTTCTTGATTTTCATGTGGTACCATCAGAGTTCAGTTTTCAGCTTCTGCATCTTCACCTTGACATTATGCTATGTGTTTGCTCATGCTGTGTCTCCCCGGCCCGGGACTGTTGTTCTTGTACAGTTGTTTGCAAGGATCAGTGTATTGCAGGTCAAGGCTACTGTACTGCACCAGATCACTGTGACTGTATCGGTGAATATAGTGGACTGTCGTGTCAGAACTGTGAGTATGGAACATTGCACTACATTGCCGCTCGTTGGAATCAGACCCGTGCCCCCGGATAACTTACCCTGGCCTCGTGACGACCAAACTCAACCAACGTGTGCTTTGTGACTGGGATTGTGCTGGTAACATTATGTGGCTGAGTTGGGCTGACTTTCAATTAGCCATGCTAGCCAGGGGAGTCACTCAAGGTGCATGATCACTATTCGCAGAACTTATCGTCCATGCAGCCGACGGGTTAATTAACGTCTTGCTGTTCTAATTTCTTTCACGTGCAGTGTGGCCAGCTGTCACTCGCGTGCGGACTGCTTCGCTGAGCAGTGTGTCTGCACTGAGTACCGTGTCACGGCTATCCAACTTCTCAGCCGCTGATGGCGACTATCATCCGGGTCGCTGTGCAATACAGTGCTATCGTCGTGGCTTTGTCTTTGCCGGAATGCACAATGGAATAGTGTGCTACTGCAGCAGCTCCAATCCTGGTATTCTTAGCGTTGCCACTGGTCCAGCAATACAATGTGCCGGTGCACCAGCCTTCAGCTGTGGAGGAAGCAATACAATCAGCTTCTACCAGCTCAAAGAGGGTATGTTTATTTTTTCTGAGAGGAATGGATTGTTTGTCGCTTGTCCCTTAGGTGTCCTGGGAGTGTGTAGTTTAATGTTATTTACTTGAAGTAGCTGTAGAGTTATAGCTTGACGCGGTTGAGTACTCTGTAAAAAGTCCCTTCGTACATGTTCCCCATATCGTGTGCCCTACCATTCAAGCTACAAGTACATCAGGAACCCCCTCGACAGGCGAGCAGCCTGTAAGAATCCTTTGTCCAAGAATAGGCATATCATTTTCAGTTTGCCACCCAATGTACCAAATGCACGGAACCCAACAAGTTCTATACACCGTATCTATGGTAGCTGCTCAGGGCATGTGTTGTCCTTGGCAACTGAATACACCGGGATTGCCTGTAGTAGGGATCTCAGCGCGTGAACTGCGCAGCCAGTCTGCGCAGGTGAGATTTTCGATCCCAAATGCGTCCCGTGCAGAAATCGTGGAAAAGAACATTTTTTTCGAAATAAATCAAGTTGAAGAAGACCGTAGAAATGGCTGAATATTGCGTCCAGGAAAGCACGTTCTACGGCCATCTCCAAGCTACCTATCTCCCCAACACTCTCTCAGAGGAACTATGGAGGGTCAAAGAGCACAATCTTTCACTCTTGGACGCAGCGTGAACACCTCTTCTACTGAGCGCGATGTCTTCTCTCTGAGTGATAATGGCGGCGATGTTTGCGATGGCTGATTTACTGAAAATTGAAGTTAGGACAATCTAACCGGAGAAAACGTCTGAATTTTTGACTGAATCCTCTCTGAAGTGGGTTCTTGCCGCATGGCATATTATAGGAAAATCGACCGGGGCGATATCGCCTTGGCCACGCTGTCCTTCGGCGGGAGTTACAAAGTATGTTCGAACGACGATGAAGATGACGATTCCGCTAGTATCCACCGCGTCCGCTAGTGTCGAAAATCGACCGTCGCCATTTTCTGCTGTGTCCGCGAGCTGCACTCAAAACTCGATGACACAATGTATGCGCAAACACCCTGCGCACTGCACGCGCTGAGATCCCTACCTGTAGCAAAGAGAGTTCTTTACAAAGTCTCGACTCCAACGAAGTTGATTTGCCCCTGCGTGCATTTGCATTGTTCACAGTGCCTCCAACGCAGGTCACTATCAGCGCAGTTGGCGGGACAACGGTGAGCGTCAGTGGTGAGATCTTTGTGCTTCTCCGGTCTTCTCTGGACATGGAGTGCAAAGTAGCAGCTGGCACATCACCTATCACGTATACTTGGCAACACGTTGGTGCTACTCGGTCACGCCAGAAGTTACTACAAATTTCCCCAACAATGGTGACTGACAGCGGCCCTGTCACATGCATTGTTAGCAATCCACGCGTTACTTCCTCTCCCAACTTCACCTTACCAACCCAAGCGTCTGCCTTTGTCCGAGTTCATGTTCAGAGTGAGTTGCTAAATCTACCATTAGCAGTGTACTGTAGTCTCGTATGTGTTACATAATGCAATGCAACTGTGCTCGTTGCCAACTTGCTTGCACAAGCAGCAGCAGCTGCATTGTACGTATTGCTGTTATGAGGATGCACCGTCATGACTTTAAGGATAGGATGCCATCATGGTATGTGACGTGACTATCCAGGACTCAGCTTACTGCAGCACCACTTTCACTGATGTCTTACATGTCTTTCTCTCATTTCTTGATGCTTGCAGCACCACCAGTTGCTGCTCTTTCAGCTCTTGATCTTTATCTAGTCGAGAGTGAGACACTGAATATAAACTGCACTGCGAAGTCTAATCCTCAAGCCACTTTTGCCTGGAAGAGATATGATCCCATCACCGACATTGCAACTAGTTTGCAGGCGTCGGCAATTGTTGATGCAAAAAGTGGAAATCTCCTCATTGAAAAAGTATCCAAGTCCGACGAGGGCAGCTATCGATGCAGAGCAACCGATTCTACAATTGTCTTTCCGAGTGACCAGAGAAGTGATGTCGTCATGAAGTTGACAGTTACTGGTAAGTATTGCGCAGTGCTTTGTATTGCGCTGCACTGTGTTGCGCTGCACTGTATTGGTGCCATCCGAAACAGATTCACTATTCTTGCTGACTCTTCATCAGCTGCCTTCTCTGCCTGGTGCGGCTCTATTACACCTCGCCTTTTGTTCTGTCCCTGTGATCTCTTTTCTGCTCTCTCTCTCTCTCATACTCTCACTCTCTCTCTCTCGCTCTCACTCTCTCGCTCTCCTCCTGGCTCTTCTGTGTATCTGTGTATCTTCTAACTTTCCTTCATGCAGTCAACACATGCTTGGATAGATATCACCACCTAAGTTCAACAAGAAGCTGCGTGCATAACATTGTTGGTAGACAGTGGAACTGATTATTTTCGGGCATCTGAATAGCACTGAAATACCGCTTTCTGGAAATGGCAAGGAAAGGCACCCGAGCCGACATGCAAGATTCATTCCACTTTGAATGCTCAGCTGTTGTTTTTTATGATGTATTCTTTGCGCATTTCTTCAACAGTCGGTGCTCCGTGTGGAGGTCCATGCATTGTAAACAACTCACATTGCGACACACAAGCAGGAGAATGCTACTGCCTCCAAGGATTCACGGGAAATGCGTATGTGTCCTGTTCAGGTACGTTGTATTCCATCTCAACTCACTTTCACTCTTGCTTTACACGGGGAAATCTTCTGTCATTCTGTGCCGAGTATTGTCTAAAACAACATAGAGCCCCTTGGTAAAGAGGGAGGGTGGAAGGGAGATAGCAAGTGAGTAAGAGAGAACGACAGAGAGATAGATAGATAGATAAATAGAGAGAGAGAGAGAGAGAGAGAGAGAGAGAGAGAGAGAGAGAGAGAGAGAGAGAGAGAGAGAGAGAGAGAGAGAGAGAGAGAGAGAGAGGAGAGAGAGGGGGGAGGGGGAGGGCGAGGGGGAAGGGGAGGGGAGGAAGAGGGAGAGGGAGAGGGAGAAAGAATCCTCTATTTCACCTTCGCCAAATGACTGAATCTGGGTGCTTTGTGTTCTCTGGTGCAGATATCAATGAATGCATGTCTACGCCGTGTTCCAGTGACACGGTGTGCGTGAACGAAGTGGCTGCCTACACATGCGTCCCAAGGTGTGAATTTGACCGATCAGCAGCTGGTTGTGATCCAGGTGAGTTGCAATGAAGCGTGTGGTAGAGTTGAACAGCATTTTACCTGTCCCCCGTGAATTCCGCGGCAGAATATCAGAAATTCCGTGCAGAATTCTGCGGCTGAAAACAGTAAATTCTGCAAATCCTTTCAAATTCTGCGGCATTTCTGCATGGGAAATGAGCGTAAAAACAGATTGAATTTCCGCAACACCACCGAATTTTGTTGTCCCTATAAATTCTGAACCCAAATTATTCGAAATCCTGGTCCAAAAAAATTGAAAGCTCTAGAATGTACCGTGCAAGTGGATTTTGAAAGTCACAAGCGGGTTGGTTTGGCTGTGAAATACAGCAAAAGCCTCCAGAAGAAGCAGTTTTTTCTCTCTTTTCCGCAATATTCCGCGGGATTTTCTGAATTCTGCGGACACTACTGCGTTCTGCGGAAATTCTACAATCCGCGGAATCGCGGAATTCACGGGGGACAGTTTTACACAAATATGCAGAGGAGAAACAAGGAAAAATTGCCAAGGAATGGATATGAACGGAATAAATCGAGTGAAATTGATGTCTAATCTGCTGTATGTGGCTTATTTGAACATGTTTCACCGCAACAAATATTCTATCCTTTCGCTGTGTACTATTTTGCAGGTGGTCCCGATGACCAATCCGGCTCCGAAAGTGATGGAGCAGTTGGAGGTAAGCCACCTGCGAAGTAAAGTTATTCGTGCTAGAGTAGTTATTATAACATTATGATTCCATTGTGCGGAAAATAAATCATGGCACAAAGGCAGTTTCTGAACTTTACTCATGTGCTCATTCCGGAGGATCAGTTTTGATTCAATCCTGCAGGAATTTGATTATGACGCAAAGGTAGTTTCCGAACGTTACTCCAATGTGCTCGTTTTCGAGAATCAGTTGGAGTTGCTAACTTCAGATAACAAAACAGCATGTGAATCTATTCACAGGCAGATCATGAATGTTGCAACAGTCAGTATTGGTGTGACTTGTGTCTCAAAGAACCTGTGGACAGTCCCGTCTTGACCAAACTAATCGTCATGACTGTAGACATGCAGCTATGCAGTCAGTAATCTACGTACATTCTATCAAGTAACATAATCTACGCACATTCGATCAAGTAACGTTCCTCGAGTAACCAGGATTGTGAATTCTCTGTAATTGACTTCCATCTGTCACTGCTCTGCACAATGCAAATTGTTCTTTCAGCTGCCGTTGGAGGTGCAGTCGGCGGGATACTGGTTCTTGCAGTTGTCATCGCTATACTCGTGTTATATCTCAAGCGACAAAAGTATGTGTGTGTGTGTGTGTGTGTGTGTGTGTGTGTGTGTGTGTGTGTGTGTGTGTGTGTGTGTGTGTGTGTGTGTGTGTGTGTGTGTGTGTGTGTGTGTGTGTGTTAGGACGAACTTCAAGGGACTGAACAAGCTTGTTTGTCTTATCCGGAGTTCTTCTTATCCGAATCTGACAAAAAATTGATTTGCATATCAAGTGGATTGTATTTAAGTGAAGGTGCATGCTGTGGCACATGGAAAGCATCTTTTTCATAACATGACCCAGCAACAAGTAAGTACAATGTGCAATGAATGCATGACAGCATGTCCTCCGCCTTGTCACATGTTTTGCCAGTACAAGAGGCCTCCACTATCGGGAAAAAAACTACAGCCAGCGCACCGAAAGCTCGTACTACACGCTGATTTTGTTCAAATCACGCTTGAAATTATAGTCTGTTTCAAAAAGATTTACAATCAGGTTTGGGTCTTAAAAAGTATGAAGATAAGGGAACTTTGGACAACAAAGTACATAGAATGGCTTGTTAGGACACGGCAAATTGTTCTGTGAAGGTTTCGGAACAATTGGATCAGCCTTTAAGGAGTTAGAATTTCGGCCAGGTTTCCGGCCTTTTCCCATGGTTTACAATTTGCCCAGGAAGCCAGTATCGATTTTTTATCAAACCCACGATTTATCCTTTCCTTTTTTGGCGTTGTGGTTATGAATGCTGTCTGCTGACCATGAAGTTGTGAGTTCAAATCCCAACCTATCCTCAAGTCAAACTTTTTTTCTTCATTGTTTTGGTGATCAAGCTGGTACAAGACAAAGAAGATGGCTGCACCAAACGACTTGTTGTTGTTGGAGCTCGCGCTTCCTGCCGAACTGACTGACACTTGACTGGCTCACGCCATGTGAACACACCCTATCAAAATAATAAATTCTACTACTACTACTAGTAACTACTACTACCCACAACACTGCAATGCCAATGGTGTGAGTGAATATGGAAGTCATCGCGCTGTAGCTTTTTGAGATTTATTCTAGTATTTCAAGATCGCCAATTTTTATTTGAATTTAGCAGTCAACGCCGTCTTCTATCAGCGTTCACAAGCGTCTGCTTTTCTCAAAATGTTGTCGAAGTCACACGGATAGCTTTGCCAAGTCATGGCCTTGGGAATGAGTCCGTGTCGATGTCGTTTTCGTCACACAGTGAGTAAATTGCATCGCAGCTCAAAGAAACTATTTTGGTCACAAAACGAATTGGGACCCATGCCGCTCGTCAACATTTACAACACTTTCGTTTCGACATGTCCTCTCTGACTCCATTATCGATACGAGGAAGAACTCGTTTGTTGTAAACCAGATGTAGACGACAGACGTACATGACTGTATCAACGTGAGTGAGTTGTCATTTTTCCTGCTTTCGCGTGGAATATTTCTTCGAGTTCACAGTGAGTTTTTCCAGGCAGCGCTCGAGTGCTCATACGGTAAGACGCCAAACTCCGCGGGCAATCACCAGGATTGCAAATCTTTTTGAAACGGACTGTAGTTCGTCTTCAAGAACGTTCGCCGTACAGGAGTTTGTCGTAAATGAATAATTTTGACTTGATACAATGCCTGGCCAACCATAGGATTGGCTCTAGTTCGTACTAATGAAAAGTTCGCCTTATCCGTGTTCGTCTTATCAGTGTTCGCCTTATCAGTGTTCGTCTTATCAGTGCTTGTCTTATCAGTGTTCGTCTTATCAGTGTTTGTCTTATCAGTGTTCGTCTTATCAGTGTTCGTCTTATCAGTGTTCGTCTTATCAGTGTTCGTCTTATCAGTGTTCGTCTTATCAGTGTTCGTCTTATCAGTGTTCGTCTTATCAGTGTTCGTCTTATCAGTGTTCGTCTTATCAGTGTTCGTCTTATCAGTGTTCGCCCTAACGAGGTTTGTCTGTAGTGCTGGGAACTTGCGGCAAACAAGTTTCACATGTGCACTTGATGTGTCGTGCCCCATCAATTCACATGTGCACTTGATGTGTCGTGCCCCATCAAGCGGCTTCTTTACCGTTTGAACCCTGGTTTAGTGCCTGCATTGCATCCACAGAGGGGCTTCTGGTCAAACTGGAAACGATGCCTCCCACCGGCCTGCGTAGACTTGATGTGTGCTACCACAGTACCTCACTGGCCTCTTTTCTGCATTTCCTTAGGACCTATTACTAATCTGTTCTTTGGTTAATTGTCTTGATTTTTGTCTTTTCCAGAAAAGACAAGCGCATGTTGTCTCGCAACAGCAGCAAGTTGGTGCTGGTGAACGGACGTGGGCAGAAAGAGTCACAGTCACAGGATGCTAATGACTACGAAGTCCCGGAAGCCACGAATGGGCCGGGGCGAGAGAAAAGTAAGTGCACCGTGGTGTGCACTCACAGTAGAACCTGCCCTAGCCGCATGCCATTGGTGCAGAGGAAACTGTCCTGATATGACAGGATCCCGCTTGATCCAGGGATGCACGTTCGATCCACAGCACTTCGGCGCATGACAATTTGTCCGGTCGATACAGGATTCCGCTTGGTACTGTATGGTATGGCAAACACAGGTGTTACTGTGCTTGTACTAGTAAGTGAGATACGTGCTGTTGCTGACAGGGCACGAGGGAGGGGGGGGGGGGAGGGCAGTGTGGTGCTGCTAGGGGTCGTCACAAAAAGTTTTTTTGTCGTCCATGAAACGAGCATCATTTGTTTGGGTCGGAGGGGGGGGGGGGGGTGGGGTGCGAGCCAAATCACAAGTCAACCGACACTGTACATAATGTACATGCATGAGATATTCGTCGTCCAGCATAGCAAGCTGCATTCGTTTCAGGGGGAGGGGAGGGGTCCGAGTGCGAAATGAACGATGCTTGTTTCAGGGACGACAAAAAACACTTTCGCGCCGACCCCTTATGCCATCCTAATGATGCTTTTAAGCTGCTCATTCCAATACGGTTGTAGCACAGTCATTCATGCATACTTGGAGCACATTTTAAAAGACATTGCCACATCCAACATAGAGCTCAGCATTCGTATCAGTGCTGGCTCTCTTCCCACGCACTCACTAAAGCATCAGGTAGTGCTCAGGCATCGTCTAGCAGTATGCACAACAAGGTTTAGATGCCAGCCTGCCTGTGTGCCTGCCTATGTCTTCTTTCAGGGATATCACGGAATATGTTCCAAACTGCGGACAGTAGCTTTGGAAAGTCACCCTGGACAGGAGCAATCTACTGTGAAGCTGGAGGAGAAGCGAGCGTCGCACTCTTCCCTACGGTTAATGCTGATGATTTGGTTGATAATCTGTACGACACGATGACTCGAGATTTGAGCCGGCATGCCGCTGAAGAAGGCACGTACGACGTTTTACAGCGAGCTGAGCCCGTCAAGCACACTGCAGCATTCCCAAAAGGGCGACCGTCCGCCCGACCGCATGGCGACACTGGAGAACTAACGGATCTGTATGACACGCTGGAAGCTAGGGATGCTGCTACTGCGGGGGGAGATCCTTCATTCCAGGCGCGGAAGAAAGATAAAGAAGCAGCCAGCGATGACGGTACACACGCTCAATACAACACCCTGGCACCAAGATCAACAACAGTCAGTGGCGGCCCGCAGCCGATAAACCCCGTGCCTTCAGGCAGACCGCAGGTTGATCGTCAGCGGCACAGCACAACCACGATTGGCCAACGTATTGCTAAGCGACCGGCGGCATCAACTGACTCTCGCACTTTGCCTCACAGGCCCCGGGCTAAAATCCCACCAAACTCTACAGCGAGCGTCACTGTACCTGACTCTGGTGCCAGCGCCTATGAGGTGAATGACCTCGAGACCACAGAAAATTCAGTACGACCTCCACTTGCCAGTGTCAGTGGTCGGCCGCTTCCACCACCAGGGACTTGCGCGTATGAGGTGAATGACCTCGAGACCACAGAAAATTCAGTGCGACCTCCACTTGCCAGTGTCAGTGGTCGGCCGCTTCCACCACCAGGGACTCCGTCGAAGTCCCCGCCTGAACAGCCAAGAGCCACAGATAATTATGAAGTCACCGAACTTGAGGAATCCACTGAAACAGTTCAACATGACGAGGTGGGTAGTACTGTGCAGAAGCCGCATAGTGATGAGAGCAAGAACAGGGACAGTGGCCATGGCGCTGACCATGATGACACCACAGACTACAACTACGCCACTCCAGAGAGTATCAATCAGCTGAGCAAAGCGAATGCCGCTAAACTGGCAGCCTCTTCTTTGCAGGGAGCGGAGGTTGAGTCGGAGTACGACTGCCCTGACTCATTCATGCCAGCAGCAGCACCGGCAGCGGCACAATCCACCAGTGGCCTGGCGAGACCGTATGTAAACGAGCCATCTCCCAAGAAGCGAACAACGAAGCTGCCTGATCTCCCAGATGACAGTAAGCCAGTCACGGAGCTTTCAGGAGAGCCAGCAGGCATACATGAGTAAGTGCATTTGTTGATAATATACAATAGCAAGAATACATGCATTCAGGGGCCATTGTACATAATTATTGAGTCAATCGATATAACCATGTAGTTCTTTACCTCATTAACCTACATGAAAGCACCAACATGTCACTCTCCTAATTGTGCATGTACTTCATGTATTCAAGTACACTGCCACACCGAACAATGTGCATTGCGGCAAGGAATCCACGCAAGGCGAGACTTTCAATTGTTCCGAGTTGTCAGCTGCAACCGTGGCTTACAGTATTAGGCTGAAGAGTCACGTGTCTGCATGTGCATGTGTGTGTGTGTGTGTGTGTGTGTGTGTGTGCATGCGCGCGCGCGCGTGTGTGTGTGTGTGCATGCGCGCGTGCACACACACACCCGTGCAAACATGTTTGTATGTGCATGTGCACACATGTGTGTGTGTGTGCTTGTGTGTAAACTTGCGCGTACTGTATCTGCTTGCTTTTCAGGAGTAACAGCGCATCGGAATTGCAACAGTCAAATGAGCGGGATCTATACTCTGTGGCAGACATGTCAAGAAAGGCATCGGTAAGGCAAGACATGAGCGCGGAAAAGCCATCACCAGAAGAACATGATGTGTACGCCAGACCGGACATGACAAGAAAGACTTCGGTGAGACGTCCTGCCAAGGCAATCGAATCGTCCTCGACTGGGGAGAAGGATATCTATGCTGCACCCAACATGGCTAGAAAAACATCCGTCCGGAGACCCGCAAAGGATCAAACAGCAGCAGCAGCAGCAGCAGCAGTAGCAGCACCAGAGGCCCAGGTAGCCGAGTCGAGAATTCCAGAGAGTGATGAAGACGATAAGGAAGTGCCTCCGGTCAGGCCAAGGAGAGAATCAGATGAGTTGGAAAATGCTCCTGTTCCCAAGGAATCGTAAGTCGCTCACACTATGTGTCACATCTGTTGTTCGGGATAGATGGTGTGGCTGCTGAAACTTCCTTTCTTAGGTAGTTTCATCCACATGAAATGTCAGGATGTGTCAGCCGTTGGGCGGTTCACTAGCCAATTTCCAAGATTCCTTTTGAATCTCTCTCCTTCTCCTAGAGAGACCCACATGACCAGTTTCTGGGAGTGAGCAAGTGCAAGTGTAGGTGGGGGGAGAGGGGCTCTATGCACGTGTGTGCTTCTCTTCCCCAAGCAATCACTCACATCGCTCGATGATGTGCATACCCATATGCATTCGCAGTAATTTGCCAGGTTGAGCCAACTGCACAAGGCACATTTGTGCACAGTCCGTCAGTTCACATGCAAAAGTAGAAAATAGAAAAGATTGACAGTGAGTACAATGTAAAAAGCATGAAGACACAGTGAATTAGGACACGAGGACTGTAAGTTAGTCAACTAATATATTCGGCGCTTTTATATTTTCGGCTATTTTCGGTATTTGTTCGAGGGAAAGATACAAACGGGAAAGTCTGAAGAAAAAAATAGACTGTCACCACCAGGATTCGAGCCAGGGACCTTCGCTTGAGGCCAGCGATGCTCTAACCACTGAGCTATGGTGTAGCTGTTTTCGGCCTAGCATTTTTTGGCCGAAATTTTGCTTTGCATGGTTCAGCGTGACAGTGTATACAGGCAGCTGCAGGACAGGCCGGAATTTTAATGCGGCCGAAGTGTGTTTTAGCCCTGGGAGGCCGAAATGTATACGCGCCGAAAATGTGTAGACTTACAGCCATAGCAAGAGAAGCTAAGCTGCCAAGAGTGTGACACTCTTCATATGTTGGTCTCTGGCGGCGAAAACTCACCTCATGTGTTCAAAGTACGTTTTGTACTACGTACAACGCAGGCCAGCGTGCGCACAGTCCGAATATCTTCCATGAACATGCTGTTGATGACTGTGCTCACATACTGCCCCCCCCCCCTCCCCGAGTGGATTTCTGTCAGGGAGTCACAATGCTACTTTTTTTACTACTCCACTGCTCGCTAAAATGGGTGGGAGCATACACCTTGAACACTGCACCACTTACGTAGCACAAGTAACAAGGGGTTCTGAAATAGTACAGAACTGAAATGGCAGGATAACTTAAAAAAATTCATGGTTCGCGTGAGACTCGGTTAGACATTGTTTTCCGCATCCGTAGGAACGCCACTGCCCTCAAGGATCAAGGCACAGATCCTGCTCCTAAAGTGGTGGGATGTGAGTAGAGCAGATTAACCACCGAAGTGGACCAAAAGGCAGAATATTCTTGGTGCTTGATTTTCTACAGGAACGAAAGCGTGGGTCTACTTGGTCATGATGAATTGGAGAGAAAAGACTCTCCCACAGCTCAGCTACGGAATGGCGAAACACCCCATGCAGATGAAATGGCACAGGATGAGCCTGGAGATCAAGCAAGCAGTGGACAGCCGACAAGTCAAAAGGTCCAGACGACACGTCCAGTTGTCATGCCGGTGCGTAAGAGAGCCTCCAAGTTTGGTGCCGTCTCCGGCAAAGCACCACCGGTGACCCCTCGGTGGTGAATCTCAGCTGCCCATCATTTGCTCACCCGGTGGTGCTCTTTGCCGATTGGCTAAAGGAAAGTTGCACTATTTTGTGCCAGGAAACTATACACTGATGACCATTTGTACAGCAGTGGCCTTGCCAGATAACTCTGAGACACTTGAGATTGTTGAGTGCATTGTGTAGAATAACGGATCAAGTAATTTATAACTGTGATATGTATGTGAAGTTGTACCCAACTCACTTCATAGAAGAAGAGGATGGTCAGACCTCACTCGGAAGTATAGCATGCAAGTGCAACTGTATTTCTGTCTCCTTGTTACATATCAGCTACATGTACTTGGATACATTATTTATGGAAGCTCTATCTTTGATGCTGACTGATTCGATTACACCTGTACATGTACACGTACGGCAAATTTTGCAGAATGAATCAGGACATTTGCTGAGTATTACCTGGAATATGTCTCTACTTTGCTGTACTGTTACTGGTGCATCTTCTTCTCCAGAACCATAGCATTGGAATGTAAGTCTCTTTGCCAAACAAGTACTTGCCAAGCCAACAGTCAAGTACTCTAATTTCAGAAATTTTCGGTGCTCAATATTTTCGGTATGAGGGCAACAGGCAAGGTTAGCCATATAATAGGTGAACAGAAATTTTCGGTACAGGGAAGCAGTTCCCCATTGGATTATGTGTGCTAGTGTTTGTTCGGTGTATTGAAATTTTAGGTATGAAACAGACGCACCGAAAGTACCGGAAATAAAAGTACACCGAAAATTTGTGAAATTACGGTAATCAGCATTGTTCTCAAGACTGTAATAAGTTACTATTATGAGGAACCGGTGCACCTCCTGTTTCCTAATTCTACAGCAGGCCCAGGGAGACACCCATCGCTCTGGCTTTGTGCATGTACGAGACATGTGGATTAATTGGGTGTTCGTATTGATGCATGCCCTTGAATCAAATGCCAACATCCAGTGGGCTGTAACCGAAGGACTCGGGATAAGAAAGTACAAAAAAATAAGTTGCAGCTCAAGTGGCCGGGAAAATGCTGTATCAGTAGCTAAATATTGCAGACAGCAAACAAAGCATCCAGGTGCGTAGTACACAGATTCTCTCCCCCCCCCCCAGTTCAAGGCACATTAACTGTATTGCAAGCGGCTTAGGCTCTACACTTGGGAAGAGGACAAACTTCAGGCTCCTCACCAGCAACATTCTTTGAAAGCTTCCACACGTGTACTTTCATGCCTTCTCCTCCGGGTGCAATGCAGGCAAAAACGCAAAGAAACAAGAACTATGACTTAAGTTTCTGTTTCGTCATGTGTACACACTACGGCGCACTACTCAGCATTGAGAAGCACATCAAATTCACACCGTTACGTGACTTAGACTGTTAGGCAGGTCTATACATACTGCAAACACCGGTGGCTGTGCAGTAAGCACTAGCCCACTTCATTCCTGAAGTTACTTCCGTCTGATAAATGCGCTGTGCATCTAGTGACGGTGTAGGCTGTCGTCTTCCAAAGGAATATGCACGTTATCACACTGAACTTAGCTATACAACTCCGGGACTGCACCCACACTGCGGTTTCCCGCATCAATTCGACTGAAAATCAAACTGCACAGTAACAGCCGTGAGCGGCCCGCAATGAAACACGGAATCGCGCCTCGGGTAAAGCAACGGAATTTCTTGTGTGACAGTATGTATGCACCATAGGTTACAGTACACTGATGTAGGCTGTGATATGCTATATTTCTTTGGCTGCACTGCACTACACATACATGTACTTCGAAGTACATGTATAATTATCGTAAGCACCACTGTTCACCGGTTCCAGTACCTAGGCTATGGCCGATTTGGATGGTAGTTTGCCTGTGAAAGTGTGAATCACGAGGTTGCAAGTTCAAGACCTGCGCCTGGTCACAGGGAGTGTGTTTGGTGCTCTCTCAGCGGTGATCGGTGATGGGGGCTTTATAATACAATTATTATGCAATGAGCTCAGTGTGCCAACACCAGTATGGTGAACTGATTCACATGCTCGGAGGGAGGGTACCGAGGATGCAGCCAGTCAAAGATGGGGTTATTAACATAGGCCCCTTTCCCCTGACTCACTTGCAAGTCTGGGGCGCCTGCATTCGACACTAGGCTACAAGTTCATGATAAGGGTGAAATCCAGCTTGGTTAAAATTCACTGTTCAACCTATCCAAGGCCCGGCGGCGTAAGTATGTATACCAGTGGCATCATGTACTGGAAATTGTTTCCGTCTACTTCAAGTATTTATCATTTTTTAGACTTTAGTACTCCCTTGCAGTTGTGTTAGGCCCTGAATGGTTTCCGAGCAGGTCACGTTTCCCGAACATCATGTATGCCGAAAACCCCCTAGTCAGTTTCGTTCAATATCGAGGGAGTAGTAAATTGAATGGACTCGGATGGAGAGCCAAGGGCAAATTTATAGTAAAGAAAAAAGGACCAAGAAGCTACAAGTTACAGTACCATCGGTCAGTGTCGTGCAATGTTATCGCATGAGCTGATTGTTTAGTAACTGGTGGTGTTAGTGGACATTATAACTTGTAGCTTCTTGGTCCTTTCTTCTTTACTATAGAGCAGTAAATTGTCGTGTATTTTACGACTCCCTGGTTAACCAGCTAAAAGTAAAACCAGGGAGTCGTTAAAAGGTTTATACGACTTAATTAGAACATACTGCTCAATTAGAAGTTTCTTCTGGGACAGATTTCTATCAATACGATTTCTACATAACATTTTCTGTAAGTTAGCAAAACAAAATAATTATTATTAGAAGTTCACTTTATTTTCTGCAAAATTAATCAGTTTAGTTTGCATGCGCAGGCGGTTCAGTGTCCACTAAATCTTCTTCTTCTTCTTCTTCTTCGGTATCAAAACAAAGATGCTAGAAAATCTGTGTCTAAGGTGCATAGTACAACTCTAGCTCTGCGTGTCAATGCGAGCATTTTGACATACAATACATAATGATTGTGTTGTGGGTGCAATCATGTTTGGATACTAGTGAGGCCAAACTAAAGAAGGTGTGTGGTTCGACTCACCCGACCGACCGTACAATTTCAGCCCGACCGTAACTTTTTTTCGGCGGGCTGTCGTGTGACTGACGTACGTGGACTGAACACGTCCACGTCTACGTGCTGTGCGGCGTGAGTCTGCGGACGCAGGCGGCTCCTTTTGGACTTGACTTGTAGTTGTACTGCAGTGCAGTGCAGTGAGTGGTACGACTGCTGCCTTGTGCTGCTAGTAGAGTCTACTCGATACGCGTATACAGTGTATTTACATGTACTAAAAAATATATTAAAAAAAAAAAAATCCGCCCGCCCGCCCGTAAAAAAAATGTCCATGTTAGTCGAACCACACACCTTCTTTAGTTTGGCCTGATTAGAAGTTTTTACTTGGCATATTTGGGGTTTGAATTATCAGGATTCAACCTGTACCTTTTTTTCTCCACGAAGCTTGTGTTGTTGAGTAACCGCCATCAACTCAGTCAGCATCTCGGAAGGACTTCAGTCTTCCATCTAACCTTGCAGCATAGCACTGGCATGGCGGTGCTTGGACACAGACCTGCTGAGGTTGCGCTTCAAGTAGCCAGGCCAGGGAGTTCAAGTAAGGTTAGTTGTCAAATGCGCCACGTGAGCTTCACGATACGAGATAATAATCTACACACAATCAAGAAAATCAAAAAAATCATCACGAAAAAAGTTAGCGCGGGAGTTTCAAGTGCAAGTGGATTTCTAGCTCCGGCACGTGTCTTGTTCGGTGGAACACAGAACACAGCTCAGTTCAAGATCGAAAATGCAAAGAAACATGCAATCGTCATGTGAAAGGCCTGCGATAACTAACTTACTCCAGCGACTTTCCAGTCAGAAAGACCGTTTGCTGTACAACAACCTGATAGTTTGAAGCCATGTCAAGTGAACACCCGTCTCGAGCTCTGCCTGTGGATGCAGTTGAGGTGAGAGTGAATGATTGGCAATGTCCAAATTATTTTTGCTTCATGCAATCACACTGAATCGTGGTATCAACAGATCGTTTTCCTGTTGGAGATGGTCACCTCTCCTCACGAGCGCCATCTACTCTTATTTCCGTCGTCCTTTTCCTTCTCTATGTTCTATCTAATTCTCTCCTGTTGTCTTTCGTAGCAAGTTTAGATGATTTTATACTTGTGAGAAATAGACCTGACAGGTTACAGTTTGTTTTGGATTTCATTGATTTTGTTTAGATCAAGAAGATGCGAAAGATGCGGAGTGATTTAGAGAAACGCATCAAACAACAGGAAAAGAGGCTAGAGGTAAGGTTGTAGTGTGCCTGCAAATAAGAACACATCATTTTGATTAGACCATCTCATGATCTGACCTTCACACGTTTGCAGACAATTAGGGGTGCACATTGTGGACGCTAGCAAGAGTAGATAAACAAGAGTGTGTAACTCGAGATGGTGTGCAGGGCATAGCTTAAGGATTTCATTTACCTCGGACAAATGTCCTTCTGTTTTGAAATCTGTCAGGACATGCCCGGACATTTTCCACAACACAGTTTCAGATGACATCTTCCTCTCAAGAGCGAACAACTGCATGCACTAGCAGTCCAACCCATCGATTCAAGTGCGAAGTCGACACCAACGGTCGAAAGTGTGAATTGACTGTAGCAACAATGCGTTGCTACAGGCGGATCAAGTAAATATAGTGAAGTCTACGCCTGAGACTACGGACGTTGTACGTGGTATTTGTACGATATGCAAGTCGCATTTGGCACGAAGCTCCGAAGAAAGCCCAACTCTGCATTAAAAAGGTCTAAAGGTTGCTGCTCTTTTTTTACTTTTAAACCGGACACTATGTCTGGTGAAATTGAAAACGTTCAGTCAGTGGCCGAAAATGGCCGGAAAATGTCCGATGTCCGGCCGTTAATCTATGCCCTGGTGTGGCACACGGCAGCATTTTTTGTTGACGTCATCTTTTCTGGAAATCAGGAGTCATACTGTACAACGCACGCGCTGCGAGTCTTTTGGGAACGTTTGCCTCGTGCACTTGGCTGGGCTTTACATAACAAGGTGGGTGCCCAGCACGTGCTCTCACACTGCTCTGCGGCAAAATGCGCATGCTCTGTATGACACACGTCATGTTTTCTGAAAAAAAGGTGACGTCAACAAAAAATTCCGGGGTATAGTCCTTATGCACATTGTACAGATGTACGAAGTTCTGTACTAGGGCCGTAGGTGTGTACATACCCGGTTGGGTGTTCATTGTGTGCTATACATGCGTGTTTGACCCATGTAGCCTCATAATTCGCGGCGAACAATCACTTTTCCAGCTTCTTCACTTTGGGATTGAACTAACGACTCGCTAGATCACTGTCGAAAAAGTGTTCGTATGAAATGCCTTCAGGGCCCATTTCGTTGTGGAAATAGCAATAAACACAATAGGGTCCTGCACATTCAACACCCAACCGGGTCTACGGGATTCTACGGGATTTCGTGCATCTGTACTACGTGCATAAGGCCTATTGTGCAGAAGAGATGCGGAGTTGCACTCTCTTGTTTATCTACTCTTGATGATAGTGATGTAACGGACAGCAGCTTGTGCGACCGAATAGCCTGTTGAATATCTAGTCAACGAACGAATATTCCACTATTCCCAGGTCACAGGAAGTGCACTTTGAAAGGCTAAATTGTGCCTTACAAAGTCACCCTCACTCCCAAGAGGTGATCGGTATTCTCTGCCATTACCAAAACACTGCTGCCACGGGTTTGCAGAACATTCAAAGCAGCACTATTATATTTAGGGTCAGTTCGTACCCGTCTCGGTAGGTCTAGTAGGCATGGGACGGCCCGATCGGAGTTGATCTAGTTGTGCGCATGTGCCAGGTCGATGTTTGACCCTTCCTATTGAAATATTCTTGAAGCGATGTCATATTGAGTAAATTTGCGTTAAATTGAACATTCACTACATCTCTACAATTGTAGTGCCATAAAACAGCCAGCTTCGTATCTTCTGGGGAGCTGGCTGCATGGTGTGGAAGCAGACTGAGTATTTCAATGATAATATATCTCATGACATGATTGAAAAGCAGTTGTAGGCCACCTGGCAAATTTTCAAAGATCCGAATTGCGGCTTTTTAGTAATGTTGTGTTTTGAACTTTTGATGCTGATGGAAGCTGTCGTGTTTTCTTGTGCTTTGTGCATGGTCTTCGCTTGTTTATCAGCGAGCACTGGACAAGCGTCGCCGTTCCTCTGTGAGTACAGTATTTACAACTACCGTATTTCCCCGTAAGTTAGTTCTCCCCAATGACTTAGTACCCCCTATAAAAAATACACTTTCCACTGCCGAGGTTATCACCCCGAAAGACAGTTCCCCCCAAAAGATAGTAAGTTCGTACCCGTCCTACATGTACAGACACCATACAGTACATACATCATATGCACGGACACTACACGGGTGTTTCGCAGTGGCCACTCGTCAAGATGGCGGCAAATCCGAGAGTACAAAAATTTCGACTCTGCCTATGTGCGCGGCGGATGCGAATCTCGCACGTGCATGCAAAATCTAGCCTTCTGCAGAGCTGGGTAGAGCAAGTGTGTAGCCAGTGCAGGAACGACGACCTTTTCCGAGAGAGAATGTGGCTCTTTTCATCCCAACATTTTACTCGCCACGCTCTCCCTCCCAGCTTTTTGATACGAGTATGTGCTACCGAGTAGAAGTCTCCATCTTCAGAGTAGGCCAGGCAGAATCGCAAGGTTGTAATACTTGCTCACTTGGTTTTTGGTCCTTTGAGGTGTTGATGTGATTGTTGTGTACAACTCGAAGTGACAAACTTGAGACCCCCGCGCCACGAAAAACTAAGGCGCGCCACAAAGTTTCGTTTGGCTGTTCAATGAAAGGACGTATGGAAGCAGGGATAAAAACTATCGTGGCTGCCGGCAAAACTCTTAGTAATGTAATAAACGGGGGTGAGACTTTGGTAATTCCAAGGAGAATGTACGCACGGCCATTCCACAACGAAGACGAACTACGAGCTCAAAAACACGCCGATTTTCAAACAAACGACGCAGGAAAGAAGACATGGCCGCAGTGTTCCCGTGTGGCCTTCAAAACACCTAATTTTACTTCGATAGCGGCTGGTTCAGGGCAAATTCAGGCCCAATTCGACAGCGTCGTACCGCTCAGATTCGCCCAAAACACGAGGAAATGTACGGTAAATACAAATGCGTACGCATTTTGCGTACGGGGACGACTGGCCAGAGTTCATGCACTGCAAACACCCGTGACTAGAGTTGCGCAGGCTTCCCACTGCGTGTCATTTACCCCCGATAAAAAAGTACTCCCCGAAAGATAGTACCACCCCCGAAAGTTAGTACTCATGTGGCTGCTAAGTTCGAAAGTTAGTACGTACTAACTTACGGGGAAATACGGTACCGGTATATGATCTTATAGTCTGACTGGCCATTGTTCCCAATCCAGTGTTCGACTAGATCATACGGACACCTGTGTGCGTGTTGAGGTGGTGGCCCATCAAGAACTATGATGATCAGCATATGGTATGATATACGCACTGCACTCGCGACCAAAATTCAAGAACGTCACTTTGTCGTTTCCCCAATTTTTAGCTGTAAGGTTTGTTTTTGCTGAACGTGGCCCACGCCGGTGTATTATCAATGTGCGCTTGATCCAGGAGGTATGTTACACTGTATTGTTGACTGATTCCGATGTGATTCGGCATGTGTTTTGTGTTCCTGCTACAGACTCCACTCAAGTCACCCATCCAGTGCTGTACACCATCACCGACTACTGCTAGTGGTGAGTGGTGGCGGTGGCATGGACCTTGGTAGTGTGCTGACGTTCTTTGTCACTAATTCAGGGTTGCAGTTCAGACTTCTATGCACCCTGCTACCTAGGTAGACACTACAATCTGTTGTGCTCGGATGACAATGGGCAATTGGCTACGATCTAAGGCTACGATCTAACTAAAGGACCTGTAACAGGTAGCTGTGTGGCTGTAAACGTAGTCATTGCATTAGCTTGTGCCTGCCTGTATGGTGAGGTGTATGTGGAATGGTGTCGATTTTATAGCGTTGATAGTTGTTTTCAGGTGGTTGTGTATCAGCCAGTGTATGTTGCTTATTCCCAGCATCCATGTTATGTATTTTTTTACTACAGTGTTCTTACACAGTTTGTTCATTTCATTGTTTCCACTTGCCATCTCCAGGTCATCAAGCAGCAGCCCTGTCTGTTGTACGGCCATCCACCACACCAAACCAAGCTCAGAAGCCTGACGTCCGTGCTAGCAAGCCGGAACAGAACTCTCCTGAAAAGGTTGTCACGGCTCCGTCTTCTGACTGCCCCGACACTGGACATGCTGATTCACACAGCGCAGACACAGTGACCTGGGTGCCTGGTCTGCCATTCCCAGCCGAGTACTATGTCCGCACAACACGGAAAATGTCCGCAACGTCATCACAGCCGACTGAGGGGACAGGTGTACGTTGCTCTCCCCTATTGCCTTCTTCGACACCAAGCCCATCCAGGCGACCTAAAGGACGCGGCCCATCACAGCGGCACAACCGCCTAGCTGCTGCTACTACTCCTGTCCCTTCTGGTGCCCCTGATACTTGTACAAATGCAGCAACAGCTGCAACTGAGGCGGTGGTATCGTGTCAGAGTGCCAGTGAATCTGATTACAGTGGTGCAAACACCGACGATGCTCGGCTCGAAGCACGCATTGGCAACTTGATCACGGGTGGAGTGGCTGCTGATAATGCGTTCATTGCCACACACACCGACGAGGAAGAGTGTGATCAGTTTTGCTTGGCGGCACACTCGCCTCGCACGGACCATCTTGTGTCGGATAGCGTCTGCCCACCACCCAGTGAGCCTAAGTCTGTGCCTGAAGAAACATGTGCTAAGACCACCCACCCACCACAGGGAAACAGTAGAGGCGCAGGTGGAAGCGGAGAAGACATTGCCAGCTCTCCCTTCTCTTGTTATTCAGATACCCAGCACTCTGAGACAGCCGAGTCTTCGCAAGGCTCTGCAGATTCTCAGCCTCGGTCTGCTTCGGGCAAAAGTGTACCTAAAGAAGTCCTTGCACTACTATCTGATGCCCATGCTGTTACAGACTCTGGTCCACGCAAGCGGAGGTCCAGAGTCTCGCTGGACCGCTCACCGAGACCAAAGAAACTAGCCAGACCCATGCCATCTTCTCCGATGGTTGCCAAGGCCAGGGCATTTTTCCCTTCTCCCTCTGTTCTCCCGGACAACTGCCATCTCTTTTCGCCCAGAGAGTTCAGCCTGCCAGCAGAGTTCGACGAGCTGATATCGTTGAAGAAAGCCAAGGGAGAGCATTGTCCGCTGCCCCGTGTACAAAGTGACATTGTTGCAGAACCCCGACCTGAACTTGATGGGACCGAATGCATGAGTGAAGCAATGCCTTCCGGCATATCATCATCATCTGCTCAGAAGCAAGATGAAGGTGCTGCTCTGGTGCGCTGTCAACCAGCCACGCCTCTATTCCATGAACTGCCTTCGGAGCAGATACCTGTGTCCGAGAAAGGGTCAGGCTTAGCCTTCAGTGACGATGGGCATCAGTTAGAGATGGTTGGTACAAGCAATGCTGTATCAATGCCACATTGTGCTTCGCCACCTTGCAGCGAACCTCCACCATCGGACTCCAAAGTTCTGACTGAAACGTCACTGGATGAGAGTACAGCCCACCTTGACAATGCACTGATAGATTTCTCCATTGACTACACTTTACCATGTTCGCCCACATCGCCACATGTCGAGACAATGCCCAAGTGTGATTCACAGCAGCAGGCTGTCTCTTCAGAGCCCGTTTTGCGAAGCCAGTCACCACCTCGGCATGAATCTCTTGTCAATGATGGTTCCCCACCCAAATCTCAACTGCCCCGCTGTCACGAGCCTGTATTGGATGAACTTCAATGCCCTTCAGCGGCAGATGAGTCTACCAATACCAGTATGACCGGCAAAGTGAGGCATGGTGCTGCAGCTACTCCTACTCCTACGCCCGATCCGGATATCTCTCTGAAGCATCACTGTGTTTTATCGGTGAGTTTGTGTTGGTGTGGGTGGGTGCATGTGTGTGTGTTCAAATGGGTGTGCAAATTGGTATGCAAATTGGTGTGCAAATGAGTGTGCACGTGTGAGTGCGAGTGTGAATGTAAGTTAACTTGGTTGGTTTGGATCTCTGATTTGAATCATCATTGTAATAATTATCCACACAAGTAAGAGGTTGCAGTTTCCGTGTAAAGCTGAAGAACGCCTTTCTTTCGTTCTGCTCGCAGCATGTACTTAGTGTAGTGTGCGTGGCCGGGGAAAATAGCACAACATAGTCAGGCAGCATCCTGACTTTGGGCATATAGATGACTGAAGTCTGAAGGAACTCTACGCTGTGTAAATCATGTAATGTTCGGTGTAACGTTAAATCCTGATTTCAATGAAAGTCAAATCTAAGGCTATGATCGTTTGGTCGGATCCAGATCTCAGATCCGTCGGATCCTTCAGAATCAACCGATCACAATTTTTTGGACCTTAGTTGTTACCGTGTTGACGAAGTAAAAAATGGCGCTGACAGGTCACCCTCAGGGGTGAAAGTCGTACTGATCGCCCGCGTCGTACGAAAAGTCAACAAGAGTCGTCTAGTCGTACGACAATGAGTACGAAAATAATTTTTACCCGCCATATATGCACAAAGGTCACATTTGATCCGATGGATCCAGTCAACCCTGCTCCCGCGGCAGGGTTGCTCGGATCCAAATCCGAAGGATCTGGATCCGGATTCGACCAATCGATCACTGCAGATCCAGTGGATCCGACGGATCTGGATCTGGATCCGACCAAACGATCACAGCCTAAGATAGCTATGAATAAAAATGATACCCACGCTCATGTCACAAAACACAGTAGCAATGGTCTGGTTCCAGAACGTATTCTTGTCACATTCCTCAATGGAATCTCGTGACTGACAGAAAATGGATAACTAACAGTAGGTTATATACACTTGAGGTGAAGGTTAAAGTGTACGAAAAAAGGTACGTGAGAAAATATTCGTAAGCGCTCATAGGGAAGTGCGAAGGATGTTACTATTGCATCAAGATAGTGTTGTGTAGCATTTATGTGAGAGAAAAAAACACATTGCTAAGATGGGTGAGTGTGAATTGCAGAAAGAGTGTGAATGCAGTGACATTTTCATTTTGTTTGCATAAATTGTGGTAATCATCATAATGTTCAAGACAAACAGGGTTAGACATTAAATGCATCTTTTAACAGCAGGCCTCTTCTCCTTCTTCTTCTCCGCACCTCCGAATCACCACTTAGCTCATTGTTGTTACCATTGATCATCGTCGTCGTCCACTTGAGGACCATTACAGTCAGGTGGACGACGGATAGTTGGCACTCTACTGTATGCTAGTAGTCACTGTCATCCACAGGTCACATGGTAGTGGGTCACATGGTATTATATATTTCTGAACAAATGACACGTGCCCGGCGAGCACTAAATACGGAGCATCAGCAAATCGAATTTTCGATTTGATTATTCGAATGGCAAAAAGAAAATCAGCGCGAAAATTCGAACGAAAAAGAGGTTCAGCATGCAGCGCGCAGTCCAGTATTTTCGAATCGAGTTTTTTTACCTAGTGCAGTTAAGGACTGGAGATTTTGAGATGTGCAATGGCTGCGTTTGTTGCAGAGCAAGTCGATTTGTTGGATTCGCTTCTCCTCCTTGAGTTTGCGGAAGGTCATCTGGACCGAACGGAGTTGCTGCTGTTTCTCATTGCCGTTGAGGATGACGCAAAGCGGCGGATGCTTCATCCGATTCAGGCTATTGGCGACAGGATCTCTCTGGCTGATCTCGATGAAGAGACTGTCATCAGCCGTTTCCGCTTCAGCAAGGCACAACTAGAAAAGTTGGTGGCTGTCCTTCGATTTCCGGCCAAGATGACGAGCCGGTGCCGAGTGTCCTGGAGCGGCATGGAGGGCCTTCTGGTTCTTTTGAGGCGGCTCTCGTATCCTAATCGGTTGCGTGAAATGACGGAGGAATTTGGGCGGTCAAAAGCGGCGCTGAGTGCGATCTTCAACACCACGCTGATTTGGTTTACCGAGCAGTGGGGTCACCTTCTGGAGGATCCGTTCACGAGGCTTTTCTTCTTCACTCCTGCAAGGCTTGATATGTATACTGGTGCCATCCGTGAAGTAACGGAAACAAACTTACGAGTCTGGGGTTTCATCGATGGCACAGTTCGTGCCATTTGCCGTTGGACAGCGAGAATTCTACAATAGTCATAAGAGACATCACGCACTAAAATTTCAGGCAGTCGTAACTCCAGATGGACTAATTGCACATCTGCATGGCCCCGTAGAGGGCTGCCGTCTTGATGCTGGTGTGTTTGCTGAAAGCGGTCTCCTTGGATTGCTTCAGCAGCACATGGCTGCGGCACCAGGAGAGCCAGCATACGCCCTCTATGGCGACGCCGCGTACCCACTCAGTCCGTACCTTCGGACAGGCTTTCAAGGTGCAGCACTAACGCAGCAACAGAGGCAGTTCAACGCCAACTTCAGCAAGGCTCGGATGAGGGTCGAGTGGCTGTTTGGGGAAGTTGTTGCTTTGTGGAGCTTTGTTGATTTTAAAAAGCAGCAGAAGATTCTCTTGCAGCCAGTTGCTCTGTTCTACAAAGCCGCCTGCCTTTTCAACAACTGTGAGAATATCGTGAGGAACGGCAACAAGTGTTCGACGGAATTTCATGTTCCACCTCCTACTTTGGAGGAATATTTCCAGTAAGTGTCGCGAGTGTGCAGCACGAATAAGCAGCTAGTGGTTGAGGACCACAGGGATTGTTTCAAACAGCACTATGGTTTTAGTTGTGACAAAATTATTGTGTTGCGAAGAGACATTCGAGCGGTTCTAATGTTGTTCACCTTTGCATATATGCATTGCGTTTAAACTAATTATTATCATGATCGCTGTTGAGGTGATGCTGGCCAGAAGTAAAGAAAAACAAAACTGTAACAGTTGACACAACGTGCGCACAATGCTTCAGTGTGTGTGTGTGTGTGTGTGTGTGTGTGTGTGTGTGTGTGTGTGTGTGTGTGTGTGTGTGTGTGTGTGTGTGTGTGTGTGAGAGAGAGAGAGAGAGAGAGAGAGAGAGAGAGAGAGAGAGAGAGGCACGTGAGAACGCTAATGTGAACCAAAGGACGTGTTGAGTGTGATGTTCTCATTGCAACTTGGCCACTACTCCTGCCATCAACTTGAGAAACATGTCCTCTCTTTGGTCTCTTCTCTTCCCTCCTTCTTTCTGCTGTTCCTTCTGATTTTCCAGTTCCTTTTCTTGTAGCTTCACCTTCATTTTCTCCAGGTCTAGCTTGGCAAGTGCTAGCTTCCTTTCTTCTTTCTCATTATCGACCTGCTTTTCCTTTGCTGCTGTGTCTGCGTCTTGCTGCTTTACTCGCAATTCCATCTCTCTTTCTTGCATCCTTAGCTTCTCCCGCTCGATGTTTAGCCGCTGTGTCTCCGTCTGCTGGTCCTTGTCATCTTTTTCCTCAAGGTACTTCACAATAACTTCCGCCGTGCTGCCACATCGGCGCTTTGCTTCTGGTTCCTTTGCAGTTACTTGCACCTTCTGTGCAAGCGTAGCGTACGCATCCTCCCTCAGCTGCAGAGCCAAGTTGCGATCTGTTTTCGCTGCTTGCTGCGGGGTTGGTACAACATCCTTCTCATGAAACATCGCAGAGAGCTCAGTGAGGAGCTGTTGCTTTTCAGCGAACGCTTCATTAGTGCCACTTCTACAGGGATACACGAACACAGAAGAGTTTCACAGCACATACATACAGACATAGGCTGAGAGGTAAAACATGTTTCAACAATCTATTTGAGACATACATGATTGTGAAATGGCATGGAACTAGCTCATGTTCTGTCCCACTCTTAGTCTCTATTACACTTCAATTACATGTATCCGCATACAAAATGTAGAACAGGCCACTTTATAACATCCTCGTACTCGGGAGCAAGACATGGTCATATACTGCGCTACTACTTACTGGCGTCGTTGCCAATTTTCTTGACTCTTGTACTGCTCCACGAGCTTCATCATCCTATCTCGAACCGCCTTCTTCGAGACCCCTTGAAAAGGCGGATCTCGGCCGAGCTCCTCCGCTATCCCTTGCATGTCGGGAGACCCGCGGACGAATAGCTGAGGGTGGGCCCTACACTGCCTCAGCAGAATGAGGTCCATTGTGAGGTCGAACCTCAAATATTTGGCGGACTTTGAGTTGCCCTCTCCCTGCGGGGAACTCGCCACAGACGTAGATGCCGAGGCAACGCCAGCAGGGCTACTGGGAGCAGGAGGCATACCGGGGCTGGTAGTCGGCGACACAACCATTATTCCGGGATACTTGGAATGAAAGTTTATGAAACAAAAACCACAAAACTCTTCACAGTTCGAGAGAGAGGAAAGCGTCAAGAAGTCCGGTTCGACTTTGCCTTGTGCACTTGCAACTACTACTGTACTTTAGTAGTAAGAACTAGTAGCGACATGCGCAAGTATGAGTACTAGTCGTAGTGCGCCGTGTACTGGAGCACGCGCGGAGCATTCGAAAAGTATTCTCTGTTCGCGGGCATTTTTCAGTCGAACAAAGCCCTAGTTTCGACTGATTGAGGGCTTTTCGTGACAATTCTCGAATTTCACTCGAAAATGCGATTTGCTGATGCTCCGTAATGTAATGTCGTCAACGACATGCATGACGAGTGCATTGTAGATTTGTTAGAACAGTGTCCTTCGCCCGCTGCGAAAGATCTTCCTGCGGGGCTGGGAAATTCTCCGGCTATTTCTTTGGCCGCCTTCGTTGCTTTCCGTTTCCTCGTGTGAACGGAATGAGCCCAGTCAACAGTGAAGTTTAAATAGCCTCCATGTTCTATCAGTAGTGATGGGCGCTGTGCACGCACAATCCCATTTGCAGTTGCAAGTGTACTACGATGACGTACAGCACCTGCTGCTGATCTGATTGACCACACGTGATGGCAAACAAGACTGTCGATGTCATTGGGCAGCACGGTAGGTAGTCTGCGTGTGGGTTCAAGCGGAAGCGACTCGAGGCCGGCTGGATCAGATATTTTGCCCAGTTTTCTCCTGTACTGCGCCATCGTGCTTTGAATTGGAGTAACGTCTGGGTGCAGCAGCCTATCCATGCAACGTAGCATACTTTGCCATGTCCAAACGTTCCCCAGTTGAGTACTGCAAGTAGGGACCACGTTTGCTGGTGACAGTCGCAGCAGTCCGAGCAACTTTCTCAATTTCCTCATTTGCTGCCTCACAGGAACTCCCATCAGTTGGTGTTGCAACATCATTGGGATCAGGAAGTGCAGGCACTTTTGGGCTTCTCAAACTTTCCTACCAGCTTTGGATTCTTCTTAGCTCCCTCAAGCACAGGGGGTCCCCCTTCGGCGACAAGGTTTTGCAGCCGCGGGGCTTGTGTCTCTCCAGAAGTGGAACCGCTATTCTTGAGTGCATATGTGACCGGGCCTTTAGACAGTAGAGAGGTTTCGACCCGCGTGATTTGTGCTCTTACGTGAACGTCAATTTTTTGCGTTGACGCGAGCTCAGAAAGAGCTTTCATTTCACGTTGCTTGTGAAGCACGTCGTTTCGCTGACGACAGGAGCGAAAACTTCAAAAAGTGAAAAAAGTGATTTTTGTGAGCTTAGAATTTGAAAGTAGGTTGAAGTTTTGTTTCAGTAGGGGTTGAGAAGTGTTCTGAGGCCGCGCCGATGATGGATCCCCCGCAGCGACACACCGTTCCTCTCATCAGCAGTCTTCTTCGCTTTTTCTGCTTTTGAACACACTCCGTAGCTTCCAATCGCGAAGCTAGCTCGCCTAGAAGACCATCCTTTTGCTGATAGTCCTCCTCCACGCCACTTTTTCTTCTGCTTTTGTTGCCGTTGGCTTTGAATTGTTTTATCTCGCGCAGAGTCCTATCCCGCACGGTCCTCCCAGTCAAGCCTTTCGATTCCGGAAAAGTCTTTCGCAGACTGTCAGCCGCCTCTTCCCAGTCTTTCATTCCAATCCTCGGCTCGAAAATAGATGGCTTCCCCAGCAAAAATAAAAACATTTCAAGATCATGGCATGTCTTGAAGCGGATTGGGCCAGAGCTACTTGAACCACTTGACCTTGAAGCAGCTCCAGGGGACTCCTGATTTGAGGCAGAAGATACTGGACTCACACTGGCAGACATTGCGATGGAATGAGCTACGCTGAAACTAAGACGTGCAATTCGCCAACTTCTAGTAACTAATTACTTCCTCCTGTATCAGAAAGCAGAGAGGCCAAGCCAAGTGACTTTCCTTTCCTTTCGATCTGCGGCATGTTCCATCGCGACGCATGCAGTCGGGATTCCCTCCAAAAGGCCAAAGTCGCACAAATATTATTTATAGCTAGTTTAGGCAAAATCGACAAAATCGAGTCAATAATCCCAACCTGATAGCAAGGCTAAATTTGCAAAAACTCGCGTTCACGTTGAACGTGAGTTGACCTCAGCTCACGTCATGAACGGGCGTTCGACGCCAAAATTTGCCACACCGACGTGAAATTTCACGGTGAAGTGCAGAAAAACGTGAAACGAAACCTCTCTACTGTAGTCAGGAAACCAGCAGCATGGTCAGAAGAGGAGGGAAAAAGCACTCGCTGCAGTAGATCACTGACGGATTCAGTGATTCGAAAAATTACTGTTGCCACGAGGACATATTCCGGAGTCAGAGTACGTTGGCGCTAGGGCATTGTCTGGACATAGTCGATTCCACTAATCACCGGCCCGAGTGCTGCTGTGGAATGAATAACTCTTGGCAGAGACGTTAATTATCCAGTGTATTTCCTTGGACAAAATTGTATCTATGCAGGTTTGTTACAATTTGTTAGTGGAGCACCTTATAAAGTCACACATGACAAGCAAATCTAAGTAAATATTCTAGTGTCCATCACACTACATGTACCTAGTACCTCTCAACTTGCCCCTTTGAGGTCAAGTTGTCTTTAGTCATTGCCATGGTGTTCAGCTGCGGCTGAGTTCTAGTCCAGAGTCAGTACCCACGCTATCAAACTTGTTTACTATTCAGTGTATTGATGTTCTCCGTGTGTCTCTACCTCTGTGCGCGCGCGTGTGTGTCCGTCTTTCTCTCTGTCTCTCTCCCTCTGTCTCTCTGTCTCTCTCTCTCTGGCTCTCTCTCTCTCTTTCTGTCTGTCTGTCTCCCACGTCACCTCATCTCATTTCTTCATGATCAGCACGATTTCATAGGAACGACAACTCAGCCTGTTCGCTGCATTGCATTCGGTTCACGGCGACTGCCGGCAGCTAGTAACAGCACATCACCTGTGCGCATACAGCCGGTGCTAGCTGTTGCATTTCCACGTCTGCTGGTGCTATGGGCAGCGTGCGGTAGTGTTTCAACAGCATCTGGTGGTTCAGATCAGTACTTGATGTGGGAAGTTCTTGATAAGTGGCACCTGAATGAGGTAAAACCCAGCTGATGTCTGTATTAAAATTGTTTTCAATATTATCCATCATCTGTGGAATTGTAAAAAAATTGGTTCATAACCAGTTCGAATTTAAATTTTGTGCAGTATGTTCGCTGAGTCACTTTGGTTTCAAGTAAACACAATGGTTTTTGCCTTGATTCGTGGGAAGTGACCATTACAAACGAACCTATTTTACTGCTGTTTGTTACCTATCAGGAAATTAGGCCGACTGCTATTTTCCTCTGAAGCTCAAAATTTCCAGGCCAGATACGAAGGAAGAAATATCTGTCTCATCAACAAATTTACCAAGTGTATAATCTAAGTTGAAAAATCAAAAATCCCTCATGACATGTTTCTTTTTCGTCATCGTTGTTCTGTCGTAGGATGAGCACATTGACATGGTGCGTGTACTTGACCAGTCACAAAGCGACTCAGCCGTTGCTATCGTTGGTGGCCAGTTTGCTGACACCCCATGCTGGTAAGTGGGGTAGCGAGTAATCATGTTTGTTTGCTTTGGCTTCCACTTTGGATGGCAGGATTTATTTTTGAACGCACGGGCTATAAACTGTTTGTCAATTGACACTGCTGATGTGCTATGTCCCATCCTTCTTGCCTGTGATCTCGTATGCAGTGTGTTTGGTGTGGATGGTGATGATGAAAAGCAACGCTGCCCTCTGGTATCCCAAGACCCCGTGCACAGCTGGTGAGTAGCCGCCTTGTGGGCTTGTTTGTTGTTTCAACATGCTGAGCCACTGCTGTACTTTTCTGGCCTTCAGTCCATCTATATGGCACTGTAATTATCTCGACACATCACCGAAAGACAGTTCACCGCCACAGTTCGAACGACAGTTTGCCAAATGGCAGCTCACAGAGTAACCCATTCACAGAATGCCCATTAATCAGAGTTCTCAAGTCACCGATTGACTGCGGATTCACCGAATGGATATTTCACCCAAAATTCACGGTCAGCACCGCCTCACCATGTCCATATGTGTGAACTCGGTTGTTTCAACACAGGAGTGCTAAGTAACATGTATGTACACAAACGTGAGAAAGAGAGGGCTAGAGGAGAGAGGATGAGAAGAGGAATTTTACAACAGTTTGTGCTTGTCCCGTCGGTGATGTAGCCATTCGGTAAAACGTCTTTCGGTGGAGTGGACCTCTGGGGGACTGTCCATTCGGTGATAAGGCTTTCGGTGAATTGCTGTCCGGTGACCCGTTGGCGAACCCCCTAGCAGCATTGTTGCAATGAGTTGTTTCCTATGTTCTCTGGATTTCTTTCGAACTGTTTCGCTAGGCCCTCATCCGATTCCAGGCAATTCCAGTGCCTCTCTGCACACGTTTTGCCTGCAGTGGACAAGAAGCCAGGTACACACGAGTGCGGTGACTTGTCATGTCAAGTTGTGCTCTCTATCGCTGATCATCTTCTCGATCAAGTTCAGATTTCAGTGTGGAATATCAACTGCAGCGGATGGTGAGCATTTGGTCGTGTTGGAGTATCGTATTCCTATTCTTCCCACAAGTTCATTGTCGAGCATCCCGCTGCAGATGTGAAGTTGGGTGCATGAGATGGCTGGTTACTATAGTGTTCTTTGGCTGAACGTGGATCTCTACAGTACATGTAGTGGGCACTATCTGTTCACCCACACTGTCTGTGTCTCTCATATACATGTTGTATCTTAATTTGTTTTACTTGAAGTACTGTAAGACATGTTATTATAACGAGTCGCAAATTTAACGATGGTCCAAAATTCATAGGTTAACGAGAAGATATGTTAACGATCTTGCAGTATTCTGCCATATCCACACACAGCATATATGAAGCAGTACGGCCTCAACGGATCTTATTATAACGAAGAAATGTCATCCGTTAAAACGTTAGATTTGCTTCCTCGTTATATATACATGTCTTACAGTAGAAGAATCTTCCCTGGTCCATAGAGGGTGGTGGTGCTCCTAAATCCAGCCGAGTCTCACGCGCACCATGAGTTGTTTTCTTCGTGGGGTTCGTATTGGCTGCTTTGTATGCTCACATGTAATGTGATATTGATTCGCATGATATTGCAAGATACCACATACTTCCTCCGCGTCATTAAAATTGTCGCTTCGCACATCGCAATATTTGAGACTTGGCTCGTCTTAGTCAGACTGTCAGAATCGCTGTTTTCTGTGTTCGAACACTGGTGCGACCCTTCTTTCGCAATGTCGACTTGTCACTGAAGCCGTGGTGGTCTCGGACTTTGTCAGAGCGCTCTTACACACCGAGCGAATTCATCGTGCTTCGCACTATTCCGCCCCAGAGCGCATTTCGTTTCTGGAGTTCGTGCCGTCCCACATCGTTTGCGTGGGCATATATCAAGACTGCAAGCTCGGGTATAAGAATCTTTGTATCTCTCCTGAATACGAAATGCTGAAGTTGACGATGGCAAGAACAAAGCGGTCTCAAATTCCTAAAATGCGCTACTTGTGGCGCATGTTGCTGCGAAGGTAGCAGGTCTGAAAACAGCAACAAAATCAGCGAAGCGCTTGCCAAGGAAAGAAGGTGCGAAACTGCTTACCCTATCCCGCTGGAAGGTCGTTACAGTGTACTTGAAAAATTCTAGCTTTCCTTCATCGCCTGCCACCTGGAGGCATGGCTCGCTTGAAAACGTAGTTTCTTGACCTGAATTTGACCGCGCGTCTTGCTCAGCATATTGTTCAGTGCTAAAGGGTCTGCCTCAAACTCTGATGAAGACGTCGACCTTACAGCGAAGCGGGGGGGGGGGGGGGGGGGCACAAACTAAAGCTTGGTCCGTCGACAATGCTCTGCCTCAATTTCTAGCTGATTTCTTTGCCCTTCGAGTGGACAAAATAAATTCGAAAAATCGCTCTGGGAAGCGACAATTTTAATGACGCGGAGGAAGTACAATGTCACACATTGAGTGCTAGATTAGATCATATTGATTATTATCACAACAACATCCAATCTTGGGCTATATTGCCTCTCAAAATGACTATGCGTGGCCCATTTGTGTATGCAGGCGATTGTTGGAAGGAGAATACTCTTTGCCCACTCCACACAGCCTCTTGGGAGTGAAGTCCTTTGCACACGCAGCAAACTCATCCGGTCTTCTTCTAGCTACTTCACACGATTCTCTTCTTGTTTGGTAAGGTCTTTATGAGTGCATGTAGCAAGCACCCTTGGTAGGGTGGCTGCTGTGCAGCTTTCTGAAGCAAAGTCTTCATGATGATCTCATCACCATGAGTTACGACTGAATACAGCTTGGGCAACTCGGATCAATGGTCGACGAAATGTATAAGGCATTTGTGGGACCCCATATGGCTATAGCTGAAAGTTGACCATGATGTGTCCAGCAGGCCCAAGTAATTATGTCAATGAACAGAATGTGTGTACATCAGCTGATATAACAGTCCTTTGTCTCACTGGGTCACTGTACTAAGAATATCACAGTGTGTGGAGCATGGAAAGCATGAATTTGAAAGTTTTCCACAGACTTCAAATGGTGCTGGCCTCACTAAAGTGCTCTGAGCCAAGTCGAAGACTAGAGCTAGACTGGAGAGTGAAAAAAGTCACTTTGTGTCCTTTTGTGACGGCACATTCCAAATGTAGCTGGGCTTATCTCACTCTTGTTGCTACTTCAGGAACTTGGAGCAAAGGACACTGTGTTGCTTACTGCCACTACACTGTGGAGGTCGTGTTGAAGAGCCGTTACTGCTGATTGCAGAACAACAGCAGCAGGTGGGTGAATGCTGAATATACATTAGAATGCTCAATCTGCGGACGGAACTGTTTCGTCCTTTGTAGACTCATCAGCGCAGCACAGAGGAAATGAGGCTGAACCTGATAGCAACGAAAGATAAATTTTCCAAAGCCAGATTTAAACCAAACCCGAACGTACCTTGCCAGAGTGCTCGAACTGACAAGCCGGCCCGAACGTACCTTGCCAGAGTGCTCAAACTTATACATAAGAATGCCAATGTTCCGCCCAACCTGCTTGTTGTACAGCTATGACTAGTGGACTCCGGACCGATGTACGCTGACAGCGCCAATACCATGTTGCCTCACACACCCACACAGACAAGGTGATCGAAATCGGTCAGCGACACTGAAAGTGTACATTGGTCCAGCTTTCACCTCAGTATATTTGAAAAGTTTCCCAATTGCTTTGTTTGTCACAACTGATTTTATTTTTTAGACTTTTCCACCGAAACTTGGCGACTGCGTCCTACTAGATGATGGGGATCTATTTGCAAAATGTCACTAAAAGCGCCATTTCGTTCTTATAAAAGCACAGATGAATGAGATTGGCCCATATGTGGTAGTCTTTTGGACGCTGAGTCAACTGGTTTTGGTCCGAGAAGCAGTTGGTTGACATGTACGATATCCAGACATGACCGGCTGGGACGCCGTTTGTGGAACGAGATGATATTGTCAAGGTGGAGTGAGGTGGTGAAGGTGAGGTGAAGTAGGAGCCCCCAAGATGTCACAGTTTAGGTCACTGACCACAGTCATTGAAGCTCGTGTGTGGGTTATAAATAACATCAAGAGTATATAAGCCCCCAAGAGTGTGCAACTCCTGATACCCTTTCTATGGGGTACGCCGACGGCGAAAACTCACATCACGTGGTGCAGTGTCGCAGTTGTACGTTTCCAGCCCGTTTTTAGCGAGCAGCGGAGTAATAAAAAAAGCACTCTCAGACAGAAACTCACTGCAGGTATGCAAATCCCCATCATGATCATGGCAGATATTCGGATTGCGCGCACGCTATCCTTCGTTTGTACGTAGTACGAACGTATCTGAGACACGTGATGTGAGTTTTCGCTGTCGGAGACCCCATATGCGGAGTTGCACACTCTTGGGGGTTGTATACTCTTGATAACATCTGCAGCGTTGTTGAGGTATTGCCAGAAGGTCACGGTTGAGTTTGGGGGCCAGTAAACGCAGGCTAGCGTTAGCTGGGAGGTTTTAGGCCTGCAGGAAGATGCATGAAGCTTCAAGTTGGTCTGGGTTAGGGAAATGGATGGGGGTGACTGTGAGGGAGTGTTTGACATAAAAACAGGTGCCTCCGCCTGGGTGGGTGGTTATGTTACTTCGGAGGATATTATAGCCGGGTATTATGACAGGGGCATCGCTAACGGTGTCATTTAGCCATGTTTCTGTGATAGCTAATACATTGTGTGTCTAAATGGAAATTATGCAAGACAGTGTGAACTTGTCTCTCATATCTCACATTTGCAACAGCAAAACCACAGTGCAGGCTGGCCCGAAAGAGCTGCTGCTGCTGGGGCTTCTTTGGCTTCAAGCCACCCTTCCCCTGTTTCGTGGCTTCGATTGCCAGGCGGAGACGTTTGCTCTTGTCTGCACTGGCCAAGAGGCCAGCCATGCCGTCACCTTCTGCAAACGCTGTGGCAGTTTCATGGCCATGGCGCTCCGCCACTGCCAGCCAGTCCAGCCACTTCTGTAGGACCTCGCTCGCGCCCTTCAATTCCTTTTAAAATCGCCTTCGTCTTTTGGGATTTTTTGATTAGTTTTTTGGCTGCTACAAGGTGGCCAGATATCTGAGACAGGCATTCAAACTGGTGCTGATAACTCAGCCGCTTCATACCTGGCATCGTATTAGGCACTGATTTGCTCCTCTTATTACTCTTCCGCTTCTTACATCTCCTCTCCGTAGACGACTCCGAGGACGAGGACGAGCTGGGCGACGACGATGAGAAAGAGGAGGCCGACCGGGGGCGCTTCCTCTCCTCCAGCCGAAGAACTTGGCGTTCCAGGAGACGCATCCTCAGCTCTGCCTCGTCCTGCGAGAAGGCTTCAGCTGTCTCCCGAGCAGCTTCAGCACGGCGACCTCTCGGCATGATTGCAAAAATTGGAATAAACAAAAGAAAGATTTTCACATCTGCAACTAGACAGACTGCACCCTTGACAAGCACGTCTCCTTGTAATGGAATGTCGGGTAGCGAAGTTCTCGGTTACCCCGCGGCCTCCTAGGCTTGGGCTGACGATGTTCTTGATTGTGGTCTGGGTGCTGATGAAAGCAGAAGTGTGATGGTGTCATCCGTCATCGGCTATCCTTGGTCGGCCAAGATTATGTCGTATGGCATGGAGCACCTTATAGTCTGCACACACAGTTGCTTGTACTGGGGACCATCTTCATGCGCTGAGCCTGTTGGGTCCTGGTAAGGTCGTGACCCACGTACAATGGCACGTTGTCCACGTTTAGGTCAAACCGCCTTCGGTATACTTCGCCCTTCGCAGTACTACGTGCAAATTTCACTCTGACAGGTCTAGGCTTAGGTGCACTGGCGCCTGGTGCAACCGGTCTGGTCGTGGACAGGTCACGGCCCAGCCGTTCCACGGAGAGCACTATGGATGCGGGTACTCCCAAGACCTTAGCAAGGATGTTGGTCTCGTCACCCTCAGGCGGCTCCTGGAGACCTTGCAGGATGATATTGTTTGCACGCTCGCTTCTCTTGACTTCTTCTTCGGCTATTACAGCTCTCAGATTCGAACCTGTGTGGTATGGTTGCACATTCCATGCTGGTTGTACACTACAACTGCTACGGGGGTCCTGGGTGTCATCACTGCTCAGTCTTGTTGGCGTTCCTGCATCCTCCGGGCGGGAGAGCCTGTCCTCGTAAGAGCTCAGCTTCTCCCTCAAGTCCCGGTTTTCGACCATTACTGGATTGAGTTTTTCGGCAAAGTCTGCAAATGCTGCATCGAAGCGCTTAGACATATTTCACTGCTCTTCTAGCATGAAGGCAAGCAGTTTTGAAACGCTGTCAGATCCAGCACTGAAGTCTGCATTGGCTCCAGTCCTGGTCAAGTCTGAGCATAGCTGGTCCGGTGGAGTCAGGGCGGACTTCTGATCTTGCGGTTGGCCGCATTGGCCTGTCTCCCCGGCGTTGTTCTGAGGTCCACCTTGCGGGCACCATTATTCCTACTAAGTAACGGCATTACTTGAGCTGTCTCAGGGTTGCAGGGAAGTCTACATGCAGCTTGAACTCGGAGCGACGAAATTGCATGCCCACTAGGGGTGAAACGAGTATCTATTTTGACCAATCGATCACTTGTTCATAATATTCGATCGAGTATCCGATTATTTCGAGTATTTTATCAAAATTCAAAAGCGCTAGATTTGCGAGTTCTCGACCAATTTGGAAGAAATTATCTGTGAACATAGAACAAAAGTCGCCAACGTCTTGTACAGAGTGTGAAGTAACGATTTTCATCAGTACTTTCAGATCTCAGAATGTTACTTGCCGTGGTGATCGCATCGTCCAAGTCTTAAAATACTGACTCAAAGCCATGCATAACGCATGCGTACCAGTGGACCAGCGGTACAACAAAAGTTTTTTTTTTAATACAATGCCAATACAAAAACAGAAAACAAAAAAAACGATCGAGTGCAAAATTTCGAATACTCGCTCGTTTGAAATTTTCGAACTAATACTCGAATATTCGAACTAATCGTTTCACCCCTAATGCCCACTCTAAAAACCGAGTCAGGACAGTGTAAGTAGTGTTCAGCATTGCATTAGAGCACACCGAAGGAGAAGTCCAGAGAATTTCTTTCCTCCATTTCGAGGAGAGATATCGTTTGTTGAAAACCGGATTGAAGTCGGGCAGTGTAAAAGTACCAAAATGTTGAATTCACGATTAATAAAAATTAATATGGTTTTCCCACTGTGGTCGTGATCCCTGTTTTTGATGACGTATATAGCTCTCTCTAGCCTGAGGGCAGTTTCGGCAGATCCCTGGTCAATTTTGTGTTCTGTTTGTCTTTCTGCAGGATCTTCTGTTTGTCATCATTGGTCTGGTGGGACCTGAACCTGATTCAGTAAGTACCAATTAGTCGTCCTAGCAGTGCACTCCTCAACACTAGGGTCAACACTGGTACTGGCAATGAGTGACTTCACCTGCTGTTACCCTCTTTGTTGTTATCACTGTCAAACCCTGCTGTTCTTTTTACTAAGGGCCCTGGGAAGTATCAGCATCATCCCATGTGCTACTGTTTGGCACTACAGATTTGGCGATACGTGTACCCTATTTTCCAGTGCGTTAGCCGCACCGGGGTCACTCTAAGCCGCACCCCCCCCCCCCCTCCTTTCGGGCCCAAAATTCGTATCTTTTTTTACATTTGGAGTATAAGCCGCACATCAGTTTTTGAATTTTTGGCCTTCAAAACTTGATGGGTGTCGGCACTAGACAAGAGGTTTTATCATCATCATCAGCCTTTTCGCGTTGACACCGACAAGCAAGCTTGGCTATTCTTCGCTTAGGCCAAATGGAATAAAGAATGAGGAACGAGCGGGGTCAATGAGGACTGAGGTGCTAATACGCACGCAAATGCAGGCAACAACAAAAAATAATACATCAAAACAGTCCTAAACACACACGAACTGTCAACACGAGGTTTACCAATGGTAAAAACGTTGAGAAACACGACTGATTTTCCAGCAAAAGTTTCTTTGTCCTTCACTCTGCACTGATAACATACCGGTACACGTAGAAGGATCGTACAACTGCAATGATGAATTTCTGTGCGTGAAAAACACATAACAAGTACAATGTAGTCGAATGACACGGTTCATGCATATTGTGGATGGCACACCGTATGTATCACGGGTTGATTTATGGCCAGCATTCGGAGTCTAAGCCGCATGGGGTGATTTTTGAGTCATCTTTGGCGTTTCAAAGTGTGGCCAACATACAGTAAATATCGGATATAACGTGCCCCTTTGATTTTCGAAAATGTATCACTATATCCGGTGCATCACTATAGCCGATTTGCATGTTTGACCGACACATGGCACATGACTGCACATGAAATGATGCGTACACGCTGGAAAAAGCATGCTGAAAGTGCATGCATGCTCCGCGGACTGTGTACCGGTGCATGACACAGAGCAGTGCATGGCAGTGCAGTACGAGTACAGACTGTACATGTACTAGAACTTCGATACATCATGTGGCATGGCTGCTTCTTCAGCGTGTTCTCCAAAAAAAGCCTGAGCTGGATCCGTGCTCACGTAGATCGTAGATCTACGTACTCGGTGTCCAACGAGTTGCGTAGAGCCAGAAATAGACATGAGTGGCTGTGTACGTGAGTTGGCAACATCATCGTGAGAGGCAACACAGCCAGAAACGGACAAGAGCATGCAGAAAGATCACTCTTGATCATTATATGCGATATTTTCCTGTACATTTGATATGGTTTGCTTCCTGAAGGCCATCACAATAAGCGATATATCGGTATAGCCGATAATAGTGTATATAGTGATATTTTAGCTGTATTTTTTCTGATTTGATTTTGATTTTGACGTGTTCTATCACTATAACCGGTATATCATTATATCCGGTCACTTTATAAACGATACTTACTGTACCAGGAATTACAGTATTATGTTTCCAAGTGTAGAAGTATGACATTTTGTTTTCGGGGGTTTTGCTCTGTTGCCTTTGCAGCATGGTACAGGTCACCAGAGTTGTGCCGGGTACCTGTTGGCTGTGGACGTGGCAGCATCACGATGTGCGCTTGTCCGTGAGTACAAGCAACAAGAGACAAGCCCGCCTTTGAAGTAAGTAAGCCCACCTTTGAAAAAGAGGAAATGACTAGCTTCAACACTCGGTAGCTGAGACCTCTGGTGTGGCGCCGCGTGCCAACCAACTGTGATCTCTGTAGGATGGCTGATTTTTGCTGTGATTAACTATGTACAGTCAGCCTTGCGAATAACGGCCCTCGATTGTGCATTAGAAATATGTCATTCGTGAGTTGTCATTGCTCGTGAGGTTGAACGTATGCAGTCACGTGGTTACTAGGCTTGAAGGTTGTGCTTTTTAATATTTGCAAGTTGTTGTTATACCCAAGGTCGTTACTGACAAGGTCTGACTGTACACGTACTCTGGACGGCTAGCTGTTTCGACTTTGTTAGGTCTCATCAGCGGAGCTCAGGGTGACTGGAAGTTGTACACATACTGCAGTAGGCAAAGTACAGCATCCGGTGTTCCTTTTCTGTACGGCCATCTGCCTGCTGTCTGTCTGGCTAGGTATGCAATATTTTCACCAGGGTGTGTTGCTCTGCTTCTCTCTCTCTCCCCCTCTCTCTCTCTCTCTCTCTCTCCCCCCCTCTCTCTCTCTCTCGCTCTCTCTCTGCCACAGAAACGCTGTAGCCTCTATATCTTCGTCACAGAACATCCTCTCAGCAGCCATAGGCAGTGGTTGTGTTCGATTTTGGCGTTCAAATCAGCCTCAGAGTTCAACCATCTTCAAATGGCAAGGTGAGTTTTGCTTCAGTTTTTCCCATGTTTTCTGCCCTGGCCAGCATACTACAGTCGACTCGAGTTATTACGAACTCACATATTATAGCGAATTTCGTGATGGTAGTGAACCATCGTCCATGCCCTTGTTTGAACCCATGCAAACTTGACCATGTGTAGCAAACGTATTTCCTTGTAAACAGGGTGAACCAATAGTGCAATTGTCACGGGCCCCATACCAGTCATGATAATATTGTGTTGCTCGTATGGTCTACCGGTGAGTGTATTTCTGTTATAGAGAACGTTGGCTATAAAGAACGAATTCTCCTGCACAATGGCGTTGTGCATCAAAGATTAGAGATGTGTGTATGTGTGTGTGTGTGTGTGTGTGCGTGCGTGGACCATGTGTGTTGTATCCTGGTGTACGTTGTGTTTGCTTTTGCAGGTCCTGTGGACCATGTTGCTTGCGCCTCTGAGCGCGGTCTGCTGGCAGTGGCGGCCCGAGAACATGGCGATGTTAGCCTGGTATCGGTGCAAAGTTGATCAATATTGTTTTCTTTTTTTCGCGTCATGGCTGTGGGCTGGCAGATCTTGATGTCTTCATTTGCTTTGTGTCAAGCTGTGCTGGTCATTTACTCACACTTCCTGCTGTACATGTATGCATCATAGGAATGACGCATTGGCGATTACTTAGAAAAAATATTATATGCTTATCCGTAAAATATGTTATGATTGAGTCACAAACTTCTACTGTTCACAGCTCTATCCGGGACTCACAGTGTCTGCTACCCCGATGTGGTGCTATTCTAGTCATTGCACAGATATGCCCTGTTCTAATAGTTATATGAATATGATAAATGAAAGCCAGCATCTCATCTAGCTTTGTGGTGTTGCTTTTGTTGTGTATTTTGCAGCACCCTGAAGCGCACAGAATACGATAAGCACTACTATATACCTAAGCTAGACAGCTAAGTCCAATTCATTATGAATATCATGTCAATGCCGTAACTAAACCAAACAATTTTATTAATTCTACTGCTGAACCGGTCAGTTCTCGACGCAGCGCTCGCATTCTAAGTACATTTGTATTTCCCCTTTCCTCGTGATGGATCTCCTCCACAGTATTGGTGATGCTTCTTTTGAAGTTAAAGTAGAAGAAATCAGATGGAAACGAGTTATGAAGCAACTATCCACGACTGTAACAAGATAATAAGCAGTCAGAAAGTACGATAACAGTGCACACAACTGACATGTTACTGAGACATTCAACGACCTGAGGCCTAGCTCTCACATACCTCCAGTCTTTTGAAGTACATGCAGTATACATGTTATCTATGGCAATGTGCCACATCTCCCCAGTGGCGCTAACAGTAGACTACCGCTATTACATGCTAGTCTTTTAATTGCCATGCTTGGATGGGATAGACGACTTTCACTGACTGCCAGTGTAGTTTTCCAAGTACAGAAGAGCAGGAGAGAGCCCTGCCACTGGCTGTCACTCCGGCAGAGGTGGGTGTGGGGGGGGGGGGGGTGTTCAGAGCAGTAGGGACCCTGTATCGGAGTAACACTCTATGGACCATACCCATCCACCCACAGGTATGGCTATTACAGTGGCACCTGGAATGATGTGCAGGGCTACCTCTCTATGAGTACTGCAACCAGTCCCTGGTGCACTGGGGACCAAGAGGCAGGTGTCCCATTTACAGAGTACCTCGCCTCCGTAGCAATAGTAAAACCTGTACAGATGTGTCCTCGGTACGTGGAGGTGTCTGTTTAGGGAGGCTGTGCTGTACATGTTTTGTTCAGCTGCAGATCAAATAAAAAAAGTGATTTCGTTGACTTTAGGTATGGCCCAACTTGTTACTGCAAACGACCACCTGTCTTGACTAGCTGGAAAACCCTCGTCTTGAGCGATTTGCTCTTTTTCTCTCTACTGTGAAATCCTTACTGTAAGTGTAACCAACCACATAAAGACAAGTACACCATGTGTGAGTGTGGGTACAGCCTGCCGATGAGTTATGTGTGGGTGTTGCCGAAGCAATGCTGCAATATCCTAAGAGTTAGTCCTGGATAAGCTCAGGCAATCTATAGACAAGCGTACAAATTTTCAACTAGGAGTTCAGAGATCACTTGATGCATTTCAACTTTCTTTGTGTTCGAATTTACGATACATCGTTTTTATACAACAACAATAGAAAGAAAAACAATTGTTAGACAAATTTGACATGGTTTCCAGTGGAGAGTGGAAAAGTCCCTTGATAAATATGTTGTGTCAATTTCTGTTCCGGGATAGAAGTGTGGCTCGCAATGCCTGTTGTCGTTCATTGGTCGTTGTGTGATTCAAACTGCCGTGTGGACCCTTTGTTGTGACGAGGACTCGCTCACGCATGTTTTTTTGTACACGCGATAGACAGCGTAGAGTAGGCGCAATGTTGCCTTCAGGTCTGCTTGCATGATGAGCTTCGGGGAGCACAGCTTGCGTGCTGGCAGCGGAACCGTGTGTTGCAACAGCTCAAATGCAAGAGAGACATTGTGCAGGCGCTGGCTGTCCGAGACGGGGCACACATGGTACGAGCACAGCGGGACAAAGTACCCTTCGGCCAGCGAGATCAGATAGATCAGGTTGACACCGTCCATGAACTGCTTGCCGATTTCGCACAGCGTGACTTGAACCTTGCCCATCTGCTGGTTCACAAACTTTATTAGATTGCGCTCCACGTCCTCCACCTTGTCGGCTGCCCGGTCAAACAGTTGATCAAACACGTCTGTATCTGAGACTGCCCGTACTGACCTGCCAAAATAGTCTTCATTGCCAGTGAGCTCTGCCACCAAACGTTTCTGTGCCATTTTGTGGGTCTGTCGTTCGAAATAGCTGGCATTGACGGATACGTTCTTCGGCAACGGAATAGGACAGCGGTAATGCCTAGCCATGGCCACGAGCAGGTGAATTGTTTGCACTAGATCCTTGTGGTAGATTGCGTCCGCCATCCATTTGATCTCACCCCGGTATACACTTGCGAAGTACTCCAATGCCTTATCAAGTGTGTTTCTTTTCTGATCGCTGCTCAGTGGTACCTCGCTTCTTGCCATGGAAGGGTTCCCTTCAAGCTCTTCAAGCAGCTCCATGAAAACGAGACCGTCGTGAAAATTCTCGCCGATATCAGCTACAACAACCCGACGCCTATGGAGAACGCCATGTACCCAGTCCAATAGTGCTTCCGTCAAGTTTTTGAATCCTTCCGACGCCAGACTGTCCGGATGTATAAATACGGTCTGCTTGTTCACCAAATAATCTTGGTCGTCCTCCCGCTTCTTGCTCGGCTCATCCGATAGGGCCTTCGCGGCCTCTCTCGCCAAGGCTTTCACCTCTTCTCTTTCCTCGCGAAGACGACGGGACAGAGTTGTTAGTCCGCTGAAACTACGACTGCGCGGAGACGCTGTCAAGTCGGTGCTTAGCGAGCTGCTAAACAGTCTCTTCCTTTCCGGCCCGGCCTCTCCCATCCTAACCGCCTTGCTTTGCCTCCACCATAAAAAAAACTGAACCAACGAGTTGTAGTGGCTGAACTAGTGAAGCATCAATAAGCGCAAGCTCGACACAAGCCAGGAGGGCCGCAGTGCAGACCTACGCAGCGATGATGGAAGTAACTACTTAGTTATTACGAACCCGGTGCGCGTTGCCGTTCAGCTCTCGCGCTAGGCACTGTCTTTTACTCTGCTGCCCACTCGGGTTGCCAACGAACTCGTCAGCTGACTGACATCGCTCTTTTTTCTTAGCCTACAGACGTACAGTACAGACAATGACTGCAGCCAGTGCAGGATGTAGCCTAGCCCAGGCTCGGCTGTGAGTGTGAATCTGGCGCCCTGCCTCGGTCGGTCTCGTCCGTAGTTGGCCTTCCGTAGATCTACAATACTCTACAAGTACAAGTACAAGTCTACACTAACTGTCATAGTCTGTATGTTACTCACGAGAGACGATCCTCGATCCGGACTCACATCGTAGACGATCTAGTGTCCTCGACTCGAGCGCCTTTCAAACTCCCCGACACGACCTCGCACTCGCAGCATACACCACGCATGTCATTGTGCAGTCATGTACAGGTCTAGCATGTGGCACAAGCCTGTCAGTGTTGTGTCTAAAGAATCGTTACGTAGCGCATGCATGGCATGTACACTGCTGGCACACTGGCCCACACGCGCCACAGACGGCACAGTGCCAGCCCTCGACTGGGAGTGGAAACCTCATTCCTGGGATTCCACACACAGTGTGAATGAACTCCTGAGTGAGTCCTGGGGTAGACCTTGGCCCCTGTTGTTGTGCATGCAATAATGCGAGGCCATGGCGAAGTGGCTTGAATGGCTTGTGATTGATGGCATTATCAATATCAGTACCGATATCATAGCACTGTATCAGTTCCTTGATCTTTGCGGTTTGGTTTCGACCAGCGGGACATAGTGCTGTGTACTATCAGCACTACCATAATTATTCATAGCGAAGGGCACACAACCCCATAGTCGTGATTCATGACCATCCTCTACCTCTCGTGGCCTCTCTGAGTCTCTCCTCCTCTTCCTCCCTCTCCACTATTTCTTACATGCGTGTGCAGTGCGCAGTGCTTATCATAACGTGACATATTATGGCACGTTCATGTGCCATCATGTGTCATGTACAGTACACTGTGATGTACCGGTACGTCTTGACATACCGGGATTACCCGTCATTAATTCCAAAAGAAGTTAGAACGGTTCACATTGAGATGAGCTACTTATACCCGGCAGCAGGAGGCTACACTGAGTCAGTGCGTCTGAGTATGAGGCTATTGCTTTCATCTACCACCCACTGCCACTGGCGTAGTCCTTTCCAGATAATGCCGTCAGAAAAATTGGTAGAATGTGGTACCTTTTCTGGTATGTTTCATGCACGTTTGGCGTGTGGATAAAGAAATGGAGCAGAATTCAAGGAAATGCCTGCCATACCGCATAAGGTTTGTGTGGTTCTGCCAATTTCACTGCTTTTCCAGCACAACCTGCCAATTTTCGAGCATTATTCGCCACGGGCTATCCACTGGCATCATCAGTACTGGCAATCCACCTCATCCGCGAACAGCTTTGTGGTTGCTGGCAGATCTACATGTACAATTGTAGTTAGAACTCTAGCAGGAAATTATGTGTAGGCTCTACTTCAGTCGGCTAGGGAAGCCGCATGGTTGCTAGGCATAATAAATAATATTTTGCGGATAATGCCGGCAGAAAAATTGGCAGAATTCGGTACTTTTTCTGGTAAGTTTCATGCATGTTTGGTATGTGGGTAAAGAAATGGAGCAGAATTCGAGGAATTGCCCGCCATAAGGTTTGTATGGTTCTGCCAAGTTCACTGCTTTTCGAGCAGAATCAGGCAGAATCTGCCACCTTTTCGAGCATTATCCGCCAATGCCTAATGGTTGCACTACATGTACCTGATTACTTGTACAAGTAGGCTATCTACTACTGCTCGCAGTCCCTTTCCTTGCCTTTCTGTACCTAACAGAGAGGTTCAGTCCTATCCTGCCATTCCTGGCTTCTACTGGGGTGTGCTGAGTCTTGTAGTTGTACTACAAGTGCCACGACTAGTGGCCTGCTGTCATGTTTAGATCCTAGGGCCAAGGCCACAAGGCACACCGGCACAAGAGCAGTAACTGTTGAGTGTTGTCTGTGCAGGCTCGCTTTCAAGGCATTGTCTCGTGCCTGCACATAACAGGTGCAGATCCATATCCGCGAACCCAACCCAAAATAATAGTTTTGCCCCTTTTATCTGATCGATTTCGTTTTGTTTTCTTGGACTTGTGCTGTTGTAGTTTTTGTTTGTGTACTCGCCCACTGTACTGAGTCTTAGTCGAAGTCTCCCCGAAACAATACAATACTATACTATAGTCATTCACACCGAGACTGATTTTAAATGTAGTCTTGTAGATCTACAAGTACGTGGCATGTAAACCATGGTAAACCCTCGCACCCACGAAGTATGGCTAGTTCCATCATCCCTTGTAAAGTTGTATTGTGCCTGAGGTGGCAACGCAACTATGACATGTGCTCGGGACCTGGATGGGTTGCTCCGAAGGCCCGATCCGAAGAGACTAGATTATGTACCCCCCCCCCCCCCCTCTCAATCGTCCTGAGTCCTGACCCGCGTAGTGCCTAGTGTGCGGTGCCGGTAGTGCCCAGTGCAAGTGGTACATCTGGAACAAACTCATAGGCAATCATCAGATCTTCATAATAGTTATTAAGGTACTAGTACTCTTTTCGCGGCTGTATCTGGGCCGACCGCACAAGAAGAGGCATAACTTTGGTCCCACACAAGCAAATCACTCCAAATTTTCTCCACACACAGATGAAAGGGTAGTGATTGCAACAGCAGAAAATATATTGTCATGCTTTGCGAGATCCTTGGAAAATATAAATCAGAATGTACACTTTCTGTCGATATGACGTGCAACACATTTTCTTAAAAAATTGTCCAGGGAAAGACTATTTGATGGGTCCAAATTTGTTGGATCCAAACCATCTAGGTCTGTGGAAGGGCACCTGGGTCAGCAGAAGTCCATCCAAAGGAACAAAGGACGCACAATACACCTTATAAAACAACATATATAATACGCGATCGTGTTGCAACATTTGAGAGAGGGCAAAGATTGTTCCAGTTAAAGTGTTTCTCTTGAAAACACCCAGGTGCCCTAGGCCTGGGCATCACCTTTCCAAAAATGTATACTTATAGGGGTGTCCAGACACTTTATCCAAGAGAAAACTTCAGAAAACACACTCGCAGTAGGCTAAAAACAGTGAAAAAAGGGGGTCCAAAACAGACAAAAATGCAGGTATAAGCTGTAATGTCAGCAACAAAACCTCACCAAACCAAGCTAAAATCCACCAGGCTCATATGTGATACCTTCCTGCTCTGTTCTTTGCTCTTCCCAGCCCTTTTTCTTTCTTCTCCTCTTCTTTCTTGTGCTTTTTTGCAATGCTGAACTGGCCACTTCGGCATGCGCAATGCGGTCAGTATCCTCCTTCTTCAGTGCCTTGATGGTGTTATGGCCAACAGAACACGACATTTCTTCAAGAACTTGACAAAGGCTCATGGCACCATCATTGAAAGTGCATGTAGCAAGATTTGCAGCGAGCTCCACCACACCGCGACCTGCATTGACCTCCTTCGGGCACATGCGCCACACGACACCATTGAATGCCTCGTTGGCATTTTGCGTGGCACCAAGCAAGCACCGTTTCAGAAGTGCCTGGTCTGCCAGTCTTCGGTAAACAGGCACCAGCAACTTGTAGATGGCCTCTGGCAGAATGTTGTGATGGATGTAGGTCGGTTGTGCCCCTGCCTGCACGCGTTTGAATCCACACCAAGAGTCAGCACCACCGGGGCATAGGAAATGCCGAGGTTTGTCATCTGTGGAGTAGCGGTGGAATAGCCCAGCCCAAATTGCCTGTGCCATCTTCACGGCATCATCAGTGTTAGCTCGAACAGCAAGTCCATAGTATGTTTGGAGGGTGTCTATCACCTTGTCAGTAAGACGACCTGCTCCACCGATGGTGAGTCCGTCTGACAGCTTCTGGCCCTTCATCGACTTCTTCAGGTCTCGGAGGGCTTTTCCTAGCCTCTTCTGAACATGGCCCACACACTCCTCTTTAGTTACTGCTACATCACCATATGGCCTCGCCTCACACACCTCCTTGTGCCCCTTGCAGTCTCCATCCCCAACATAAGTGGTATACATGAGGCCTCTTTTCTCCACAGATCTGCACCAGAGTAACCGTGCCGCCTCGCTTTCCATGCCAGGAGAGGATCGTTTCGTGTTGGCAGAGCAGGAGTCTGCATGTTTCACCTGCCACTCCTGCAGGGTAGCAGTTGAAATTGTTCCACTCTCTTCCTTGGCAGTCCACACAGAGCACTGATGGCAATACTTGGCGCTCGTATGGATGTCCACAACCTTTCCTGATGACCAGGAGATTGCCGTGAACACACCATTCAGAGAGGAATACCCTCTGCGCTGCCATGTGCCGTCAAATGTTACTGCAATTTGACCTTCGGGATTTTCTGCTAACAGCTGCTGGGCAGCGTAGTTGCGGCTTTTCTCGCCAACCGTGTGTGCAGCCTCGATTGCAGCTTGTTGGTGCTTCTGGAAGTTCGTCTTGTTGACAGGCTTCGGGAGGTCCATAATGGCACAGAATTTCTGGAGACCAGAGTGTCCTCGGCCAATGCGCCTGGCAGCTAAAACGGAGCGTCGGTTGACGTCAAAAAATCTTGTTTTTATGGACGATGAAAACTTGACATTAGCACCAGGACATGATTCTGATGAACAGGATATGACCATGTGTGATCCTAAGCCTTGCTGTCTCTCCTCTTCCAAAATGATACTGCCAACTTTACAAACTGCACACACAGCACATTTCAGCAGAATCTCCTGCAGCTGCTCCAAGTCGAAAATACGGTTTCCCGCGCCAGTATGGGGCTCATCAGCCTCGAGACAATCACTGTCATCACTGCTGTCACTCGTGTCTGGGTTCGAGGTCAGCGAGGTATCAGACTCAATTCCAACCTCGCCATCGCTGTCTGATGTCTCCTGCTCCCACCAGGGTTTGCAGCCGACGAGCTTTGCAAACGAGGAGCTACGTCCAATATCTTCTGGCTCCGCTTCCACAGGAACAGGGTTAGAATCGGGAGCTGTTTCAGGCTTCCTTCCATAATATTTCTTCTTTTTAGCAACGTAGTATCTACCTTTCCTTTTTTTGTTTCCCATCTTCAAGCTCAGCACAGCGAGTGCAGAATAGTTGCTCTTTGTGATGCAGAAAGCCCAAGGGAACGCAGTTTTTACGCTGGGTCGCCATTTTGTGCAGTCATGGTAACGAATATTTGAATTTTTGCCACGTGGCATGAGTACTCATTTTTGCTCTTGTGACAGCATGGTCACGCTGCAGTGCGTACATACCCACGCACTTCACTGGCCTGTAACTCTGCAAAGACTGTGCCGATTCGCCTCAAATTTTGGATTCCACAGGTTCAAGGCCTTGTGCGTCCACTGAAAGTGTCAAAAAAGCCGATTTCTAAACTTCGATTTTTGACCCTACAAAGGAGTACTAGTACCTTAATACTGTAGTATCTACACTGTTTACTAGAACAGTGTAATAGGATACTACATATACTACATGTAGTATCCTATTACACTGTTCTAGTAAACAGTGTAGATACTACAGTAGTATGTGAAAATCACAACAGTTCCTGGCCCAAACTAATAGTAATACTGGTACATGTAGTTAGTTACAAAAGTGTAGTGATACTGATGACGCACTCACACTCACAGTCACACCCAGTGTTACTGTTTGTCTTCTCTTTTTTTTCAGTGTTTCAAGCCTCTTGCAAGCTTGTACCATGTGGACGGGCAAAAACCATCTTTATCAATGATAGCAAGTGAAAAAAACTCAAAGCAAATGAAAAGAACCCAAACTACAAGGCCAAAGCAAATGAAAAGAACCCAACCAGCCGCACACGTTACTGTTACATGTAGTCTGCCATGTAGCAACAAGAGTGCTGCTGTCTGTCACTCTGTGTCCATGTGCTACGCCACTGACCTGCACATGATGCATGCTATGTCCCTGCATGTTGAACGTTGCCTCTCCGCGATAATATGCGCTCATGCCATCATGTTCAGCAGATCTCCACATACATGCACGCTGAAGTCTGTAGATCTACACGATCTGCGAGGCACGACCCCAGAGAAAATGTATCAGTGGACCCATGTTGTTGTGGCGGTGTGAGAAACAGGCAAAGGTTTTCTGTTTCCGTTCGAGCTTCGTGCTCCCCGGAACTGGCCCGACATCGCCGCCATGGACGAACGAGATGTTTGGGCTCCTCATGCCAAGGAGGGCTTTGTCAGAGGCAAAGTTGTTGACCTGGGAACAAGCACTCTTACGGTTCAACCGTATGCCGGAGGCGAGGTGAGACAAAGATCTCGCCCAACGTGTTGTTTTTCTGCTTTCAGAACGATAATTGTGTGGATAATTCTTATTGTCATGTCTCCGCGAGCAACCTGCTAGCATGCTACGGTGGCAACTGGCACGCTAATTGTGACTGTGTGCTTGCATTTTTGCGTGTACAGCCCATCGTAGCGGCGTACGACCGAGTGTTCCCGTGCGAGGATGAACGTGGAACGAATTTGGACGACAATTGTATGTACACGTACAATAGTTTCATTCAAAGATTTTTTTCTAGTCGTTCCTCGCCCGTCAGTCGTCTCTATTCTTTACTTTGTCCGAAAATGAAATGGGATACCACTACAATGGGTGGAAGTTCATGACATCGGGATCGTGTGAAGTAATGTTAGTTGAGGACAAGTAATGTCAAAATTCATGTAATGTTACTGAATTTAAAATTGTTTGCAATGCATCACTGCCACCAGCCACTATTGTTCTCGGAATTTTGCATCTTATAAGTTGTAACGTTACATTGCACTCTGGTCGAGTTCCAAAGGGAATACTTCCGAATAGGGACGTGTTGATCCCTGGCTTCTCTGCCGAAACCATGCATGGTATTAACTAACTGCTGCTTGTCCTATCTTGTCATATTGACTACTTGTGGACGGTTTTCCGCATTGTGTAACTAAAGATGCAGTTACTCGTGAGAAGAGGGGAGAGACAGGTTGACAGGTCAACACAACAACACAGCACTCCTTTGTCTTTGGGAGAAGGTACTAGTATCCGAAGTAGGATCTCCCAGAACCTCCCAAGTTCAAGCTGCAGGGCCTAAGGCCCAGTAAGGGGTTAAACACACAAGGCAGAGTTTAGTACACAGTAGATTAGTGGTACAAGGCTTGGTCGTTGCAGCTCTGAGTTTCACAATCATACTGTATTGTTTTGTATTGTTTTTATTTGAATTCGCGAGTACAAACGGGTTACAAGCCCAATTACATGACAGCGAATGCGAGCAGGGAATAACACGTTATTTGAATGGTAAAAGAAGAGGGGGGGGGGGAAGAAGGAGAAGAGGCGGAAGTGTCCTGTGGCAGAGAAGGTGCCACAGGCTGACAATGGCAATGCATATCCGCAGTGCAATCATCAGGTACTGATATGATATGAGCATGAAACTCAGAGCTTCAATGAACTAGCCTTGCTCCACTGTTGTACAGTGTAACACGCTCTGCCTCCGCCGTGGTATCGAGCACTCCCACCACACCGGGAGCATCCCCCCGGTGGTTTTCGTAATAATTATAAACAAATGAGAGCAAGAGTCTGTGCTGGTGAGGCAAACCAACTATGCCAACATTTGGTCTTCGCTTTGGCTCCAGCTAGGACCACATAGAAGATTCTAGGGCAAGAATGAATAAGGACATTATGGAGAATGAAAGAGAAACACAGTAGGCGCATAGACGACCGGAAGAGGTCTTCTCTCTGGATGGCCCGCAGCCCAAAGCCAGTGCATTTACCGAGAAGGCCGACCAAACCTTGCTAGAGCCGCGCAGGAGCAGGAAAGCGTATGCTTGTCAAACACCGCCAGCAGTGCTGGTACCTATCGAGCTCCTGGACTCGCAGGCTATCTCATCGTCCTGAGGGTTTGTTTTGGGCCAGAGCAACTTGTGCTTTCAAGTTTGAAGTCTAGTTGATCCTTCAAAAATTATATTGTCTTCTGTTATCATTGCTGCCTGTAGGTGCCCTGATGTTCCTGAATGAAGGCAATCTGCTGGATAACTTGCGCCGACGCTTTCAGAGTGGAAGCATCTACGTAAGTGCACTGCGGTGTGGTACCGGTACGTTAGTAGTATAGGTCGAGGGGGTTCTGGCTCACCTGACGCTTCTTTCTTTGTTTTGTAGTGTCATTGTCTAAAACTAGAAACTAGTTTCTGCTTCTCTAACACCTACTGAATGCAAGCGTTCCGTTAGTGTTGGGTAATGTTACAAACGGTAGAATCGAGGGTTACCTGGCTGAGTTAGTGCTGTAAATGAAGAAATGGGCCTGCTGTGATTTCATCGTTTATTTATACTTTATTATGTTGTGTGTTTCTGTTTTGCTCCTAGACGTACGTTGCAAACATATTACTGTCTGTCAACCCGTGTCAGCCGGTCCCCGAACTCTACTCACACAAGACTATTGCAGCGTATCAAGGCCGCTCACTTGGGTCTATGCCACCGCATGTCTTTGCAATTGGTGAGAAAGACGTAACTGTCGGTGTACTGTAGAGCACTGTGGCTGCATAGTTATGGTATTCGAAGCGACCTAGTGTGGTGCTGACACCCCCCCCCCCCCTCCCTCAATGATAAGCTGCCAGCTTTTCGAATTGAAAGTATCACTGTTCAATGCATGGTTCGACTTGGAGTTCCCGGACTGGACTTGGTGCCCTTGTGTGAGATCTCCCTGCAGCCCCTGGTCATATGGCCGGGAGTGCTACATAGCACACGGGGTCTGCCCTTTGTGCCAAACTCGTAGTTTGTGACTAGCCTACTGTGATGTAGCTGGGGAGACAGACTCTGGCTACCATGGTGTAGCACACCACGGCCATACTGGAAGTACATCTCTCAACCGGCTTTTGTCGCAAGAGTGTCCCAAAGTGGGTCAATGAAAAAGCAATGGCGGGCAGCACCATGTCCGCCAAAACCCCAAATACCTGCACTGCTTCAGCAGTGCCTGGCTTCCCCAGGGCAGACAGTCCACGGGAGAGCAACACGTCCTGTCCTGTGTAGCTATTGAGGAAAGAGTTACTTTACACATACCTCTCCTGCCCTGATGATCGATCACCCGGATGTCGTCCTCTGAACATCTGCTCCGTGAAGCAGCTTGACGAAGAAGGCGTGGTCCTCAGACGCCAGGTCCTTACTGAGGCTGATGCAAAAGCTACTGAGGGTACTGCTAGACATACTTGGAATGCAAGCTGAGAAAAACCGCAGAGCGAGAAAATCCGTAACCACACTCAAATACCAAAGTTGTGATAACGACACTCTGATTGGCATGTAAGCGAAGAGCAGCTTGGGCAAAGTGACACATGTTGCAGGCCACAGGCTCATCACTGCGTGTCTATGTAGCAGTGGCAGAGGCATCACTCTCAAGACATACAAGCTGCAGAAACACTTGAGGACATGTAGGAAAGCGGGCCTGCCTGTTTGGTTACAGACTTTGAATAGACAACACAATATCGAAAAACGTACCACTCTTCAGTTTCTCGTGACGTAGGCTCGTATAGAACTACGAAACGATTGCTGTACAAGAGGTCAATATAATCTTTATCCCCAGTGCATACGATGTTGGTTTCTTTGCTTGTCCCTTTTCTTGTTTTTCCAGCGGACAAGACATATCGTGATATGCGCACATCAAACCAGAGCCAGTCCATCATTGTCAGTGGTGAGTGCTCGGGTCATGTACAGGCACGCATGCACACACACACGCATACACACACACACACACACACACACACACACACACACACACACACACACACACACACACACACACACACATGCTAACTGAGTATTGGTGGTGTGGTTGATCATAATTGAAAAGTAACATACTTTTTGATAAAACATAGTCCGACTGATTCAGGACATGTCCGGGCACCGAGTAATTCATCTGATTGTATTGACAGTACGACAGTGTTTCACTAATGTGGCCTGACACCAAGCAATAGGGCCTAGATACTAGTAGCCGGGAATCACTTTGAAAGCACCCCGGTGTATGTCCCTTCGGTGAGGTTGCATGCCTGCACTGTATGCCTGTACCATCTCATCTTGGATGGTCTTGTTGATTGCATTGTTGCCATGCCTATGTAGGTGAAAGTGGCTCTGGAAAGACAGAAACCACCAAGTACATTATCCGGTAAGTTGGTGTACCAACATGAGATGTGTGTCGAGCGTGTCATGATACATGGTCAGCATCTGTAGCCAGTGTGGAGGGATGAGAAAATGGCTGCCGGTTCTTTTCTCTTTTTTCGGGGGGGGGGGGGGGGGGGGTAAGGTAGCTTTTCTTCAACTCTTGATCCAGGCACTTGCCTTCTATTCTGACAACTCTCCCCTTCTCTATCTCTCTCCCTCTCTCTTTCTCTCTCTCTCTCTCTCTCTCTCTCTCTCTCTCTCTCTCTCTCTCTCTCTCTCTCTCTCTCTCTCTCTCATGGCTTACATCACCAGCATATGAACCCCATGTTCCAAAACTCGTGCATACAGTATGTGTAGGCGCAGCAAGCTTTTTCTCTAACACTGAGTACTACCATTACAATTGACTTGGTATCGCATTGAATCTCGCTTCTGGTATGCAGGTACTTGACATCTCTGCGAAGCTCTAAGGCAAGGGCAACTAGTCAAATTGAGCAGCAACTTGTTGAAGGTACGGTACTATGTACTGTACTGCTATGTAATAGGTTTAGCACCTTGTGCGACCAAGTGATACCCACTGTTCACTGTCTGTTAACAGGTTGCATGGTCACAGAGAACATGGAGACTTTCCTCACCTCCTATGCGTTTTCAAATGCACAGTGCATTTCATTTTGGTGTTTCCTCCAATTCGTCCAAGGCCAGGTATAAAAGAATAAAAAATAAACTGCAGCATGCTGGCAAAACCACTTCCATCAACTAAGAAAGTGAAAAGGCAACAGCACACAGAACATTGAACGTGCGATGATTGACGAGAGGCTCTACACATCACCCAACAACAGCTGACCATTGTCGCCGACCAAGGTAACCATACAGATATTCATACTGTTGCTACATTTTAATTTTTTTGCTGTGTTGTTTAGCAAATCCTCTCCTGGAGTCCTTTGGCAATGCGAAGACCACACGGAATGGCAACAGTAGTCGGTTTGGAAAGTACATGGAAGTTCACTTCAGTGAAAAGGTACATGTATGTGTAGTGCTAAGTGGGAATATCTGCGTCACTAATAGCTTTTTTTTGCTGTGTATCTTAATGCCTTGGATGGGGCGTCCAGAATGTGTGTGAATGTCTGAAAGATAAGTTTTTTCTAAGTTTCTATTGAATTTTTTACATTCACATACATGTAGAGTATGATTGGAAGTGTACAAAAGCCACTGTTGTCCATGTTCTTGTTGCATCTTGTGTTAGGTTCGTAATCCAGGGCGCATTGACTATGAAGAGGTAAGGTATCAATATGGAACATTTCTTGTTTTTTTTGTTTTGTGTGTGTGTGTGTGTGTGTGTGTGTGTGTGTGTGTGTGTGTGTGTGTGTGTGTGTGTCAGCTAGTTTGGTTGGTGGGTACACTAATGCCTGATTGTGCTGGGTCTGTTGCCAACGGGCTCGGCTACTTGAAGATGTAATGTTGTACCTGCCACCTTTGTTGGTTCCAGGGTTCATATACTTTCTGTTTGAAGTATACATACCTGTTAACCATGGACTGCTTCTGGCTAGATTAACTCTTGTGTAATCAATGGTGCTAGTGAAGCTTTTATCAGATCCACTCTGATTTAGCCACTCACACTAGTAGCAAGTATTACCTTCACTGGGGGCAGGGGTAACTGCAGTTGGATACCGGGACGGATACCCTGATGCCGTCAATCCTTTTTCTGCACCTTGTCCTCACCCACTTACTGAGGTGTGGTGAGCCCATAAGTGGGATCATTTTCAAGTCCACCCAGAGTTTTGGGGATTTCAGGGGGTGTCGGCCGTTGGGCGGTTTAATAGCCAATTGAATCATCTTTCCAAGATTCCTTTTGAGTCTCTCTCCTCTCCCGAGGGGACTCACGTGACCAGTTTTGGCAGTGAGCAACAAGTACAAGTGTGTTTGTGTGTGTGTGTACCAGTATGTATGTACATGAAATATATATGCTAAGTTTTTAATCCTTTCGGCTTTCGAATCCCTTGCAGGCCACAGTTGTGGGAGGGTCCGTGTCCCATTACCTGCTCGAGAAGTCCCGCATTGTCTCGCAGGCGCAGGAAGAGCGCAACTACCACGTCTTCTATCGTCTTTGTGCCGCATCACCGCCGGAGCTGCGGCAGGCCCTCTTCCTGAGCCAGGCCAGCGATTTTCATGTAAGGTTACGGCTGGTGCCATGTAGCTGGAGATGTTTTACATTGTACATGTACCCTAGAGAATATACTGTGTTTGGCTTATAATCCGTGTGCTGTTATCTCTTTGGGGCTTGTTATCCGTTTTGAAATGCGTATTGCACGCAGCACAGTGCAGAGTTCTGAGTGTGGAATTGCTGTTGGCTTGTCTCTTTTGCACAGTACCTGAAACACAGTTGCCTGACTGACCCATCAATCGATGACGTAGAGGATTTCAAGAGCCTGCAGAACTCCATGACGCAAGTTGGGCTGGAAGAAAGGGAGAAGATAGCTATTTTCACGGTCATTGGCGCTGTGCTTCATCTAGGCAATATCGAATTTGTGGAGAATACAGAATCAACTAAGGGTGAGTATACTCGGGGTCTTTTGTGGTCGGGTACAACACCTGGCTTTTGTTTATGACTTTTTCTTTGGCTTGAGCATTTCAGTTTTTCCCCATTTTTGTGCGGGGGAGGGGGGGGGGGGTACATCGGTTCTCCACTTGTAGTGATATATTGATTCGGTTCCACCATCCATGGATGGGCACTTGCTTGTGGGATGCCTGTGCGTGCATCGGTCATAATTATCGTGCTTTATAATAGCTTGGTATATCAATATGCGATAATACTCATAAAACTGTTTATTTATATCAATATGCGGTTGCGTTGACAGTAAGACATGTTTTGCGTGCTTGCTCTGTTCCTATTGTTGCTTCTTGCTTGCTCTCAGGTGGTTCACTGATCGCCAAGAGGGCACTGCAGTCATCACAGCGGGCAGCGTCACTGTTAGGTCTGTCAATCGACACACTGTGTGAAGCACTACTCACACGGGTCATGACGACGCGGCGAGGTGGTGCCAAGGGCACTGTGATCGGGTATGGAATGCAGTGTGTTGACGATGTGTGTGTGTGTGTGTGTGTGTGTGTGTGTGTGTGTGTCTGTGTCTGTTTGTCTGTGTGTCTGTGTGTGTTGGTTTCCATGCATGTGTGTGCTTTTGTTGTATAGTTCTTGTGTTGATTTTAGCGTACACGCTAAACTACACTCCGGAATCATTTGCTTGGCAGTCTTCGTGCATGAATCTTTATGAATGTTCAAGCTCATCCCCTCACTGTGCGTGTCTTTCTTCCTAGTGTCCCGTTGAAGCAAGATCAAGCTACAAAAGGCCGAGATGCTCTGGCAAAGGCCATCTACAGTCGCCTCTTCGACTACATCGTTGAAAGGGTCAATAGCTGCTTCCCTGTGGAGCGATCTGCCAACTTTATTGGTGTTCTCGATATTGCCGGATTTGGTGAGTAACCTTTTACATTGCACAAGTATTGCGCACAGTCGGCAGCAATAGCCAATAGGACGAGATTGAAACTCTGGATACGTTTACATTGGTGAATTTGAGAGGATTTTGATGTCCTCGTCCTGCTTTTTGTGGGGGGGGGGGGGGGTAGGCAGGGAAAAGGAATTTTGTTCCTCTTAACCGTTGATTGGGCACACAGCATTCCTCGTCTTTCCTGAAATTGTTCACACACCAATTCTGAATGGCAACTTTACAACATCTCGGGATAGGAGTGTGTCTGCCGTGTCTGTGCCGGTGTATCTTCAGAGTATTTCCAACGGAATTCGTTCGAGCAGTTCTGTATCAATTACTGCAATGAGAAGCTCCAGCAGTTCTTCAACGAGAGTGTGCTGAAACACGTACGTACGCATGTGCATAGATGCTGGTGTAGATATCGATGTGTTGCTGGCAGCTGGCAGCTGGCTAATTCACTGCGCCCTGTTTCAAGTCTTGGCCATATCATATCCTTTTGTTAATACTCTCCCAGCCCATGCCTAGGGTTTTATTTGTGTAGACAGGTCTTTTCTTGGCAAGGAGGAAATCCTGTGTTTGGTATTATCTTTTCTGCGTACAGGAACAACAGCTGTATAAAACCGAAGGTCTAGGACTGTCACATATTGAGTACATTGACAATCAAGATTGTATTGGTGAGCTACACTTGACTATCATACAGTGGATTTGGTGTGGACTGTATCGCGGTCCCTTTACAGCACCGTAATTGTATGATTCGTGTTTTTTTGGTTAATAATCATTTAATAAAGGATGTGCAGCATGTCTACATGTGACTGTCTCAGCGTTACCAGTAACTGTTATGACCGGGATCCGTGCAAGGTCACATGATGATCAATCCTCCTTCGTTTATGCCGTAGTCGAAAGTGCCGAAGTACTGTCTTCTTTTTCTCCTTGTGTTCTTGAACACAGAGTTGTATGAAGCTCGTGGTCATGGATTGATTGACTTGCTGGACGAGGAATGTCGTCTCCCTGCTGGTTCAGTGGAGCACTTTACGTCCGTTGTACATAACAAACATGGCAAGCATTTCAGATTGATGGTGAGTGGTGCTTGACTGTCAATGGAATATTGATCTGTGATCTTCTTCGCTAGTAGTCCGTCCCTCTTACTGCAGTGTTGTATGAAAAGCTCCTCTCTAACAGAAGCTCTCCACGTAGGCGTTGACAATATAAAGTCCCTGCCATACTTGTACTTCTACAGCCTGTGGAATTCATACTGAGTGAACCATAACTTGGGCATCGTAATAGCAGCGAGCATGATTTGCATCACAGCAATCGCTCACAAGGCCGCATTTCATAGTCAGCTGCTCAGTTGAAAAAACTTGTAATGGTGTTGTCAACTTTCCATATCCTCCCTGGGACTGCAGGCACAAATTTAAGTCAGTCGGAGAGTTAGTGAAGCGGGGAAAGAGCCCATTTCTGTCCAGTTGTTCGTTTACTTTTTTTTATTTTCTTTGGCGTAATTCAATGATACAAGTCCGCATCCTCGGTAGGATATCCACAGCTGTTTCGAAACGTTTCTTGCTGTGGATCTTGATAACAACTTGTGAATGGAAGAAGAAATATTTGCTCTCTTACCTTCTGTTCGTATTTTTGCTCCTACTGATGTAGTCTGCATCCTAGCAGCAGTCCTGCGACTTTTCAAGTCATCAGCAAAAAAAGTACATAAACCAGTGTGTGAAACTCCCCATGATAGTTCAGAGAACAGTCGCAACTTTCATAGCTAGTCCCAAAAACTATGTAAGCCATTTACCGATCTCGTATTGAGATGTACACTGTGCAGTCTCTGGTTTATCATTTTGTGGGCAAGTCTATCTTGGCAGGAAAAGACAAAAAAAGAAGCACCCAACGTGGGGCTCGAACCCACGACCCTGAGATTAAGAGTCTCATGCTCTACCGACTGAGCTAGCCAGGCTGCTGAGAGGTTTGTGGTGACCGTCGTATATGTCGCGAACAACGCCCTGGACTTGTGGTGTGAATGCTTCTGGACGTGCACATGTGCAAACTCATTGGTGTAATCGTAACGGGTTCAGGGCGCCAGCTTTGTACTTTGGGTCGGATTTCACCAAGCGCAACTGACTACTGTATTTTTATGGAAATAAATACTCTTGCCAATCTCCTTGTGTTCATATTGCTGTGGGTTTTCCCAGGGTAATTCAAGTGCACGACCCAGCCTCACTAGTGCCCATTTTTCACCCTGCATACCTTAGTTTCCGGTCTTGTGTTTATGCCCCCCCCCCCCCCCCCCCACACACACACACCGCCACCACCGTTTTCTCTATGGATGTTATGCGATTTCATTATCAGTTGAGATTCTTTGTTGAAGTCGCGGCACAGCTCTGCACTTGCACCAGCGACTCATGCTGCATACATAGCGCCCATAAGCGATTCCGCTGACTCACAATATACACTCCACGTGCTCCAGAATGGACTGGAGGACACCGTTGGGGGTGAGGAGGAGCTAGCTATGGTCAGGCATAAGAGGACATTTGGCAGGCATGGACGGAGCTGCGTCCAAGGCTCGCGTGGGACCTCACACTCGGATTGTCATGGACTAGATCATCTGGATGTGCATTCCACAAACCAATGAATGCTCAAGTCAGCAGAAAGATAGAAACACCAAATTGAGTTTCTGCAAAGCAAGACAAATACTGTCCTGAACAGCACCCGTGGCTGTGCACACCCCCCCCCCCCCCATCCCCTAAAGAGCTCGACCTATGTTCAATATGCACATAATGATCATGATGACATGCACCAGCCATCCTACACGTATGGTACAGATGGCACAATACTTGGTGAAATGGGAGTGGACCCCCCTAAGAGGGGGACCAGCTATGCCCCTGGAGTTGTAGCTGTTTCTTGTTCATTAACAAGGCCTAGCTCACATGCTAAACACCCATTTTGTTTAACGCTGAGGCCGCTTTCTTCTGTGCTGGACAGAATCCACGACGTTCGAAGCTTGCATTCTACAAGTCGATGCGTGACAATGAAGGCTTTGTCGTACGGCATTATGCTGGAGCTGTTTGCTACGAAACAGTAAGTGCGCTCATGTACATATTTGCCCTTCTCAATATACAGAGGCTGTGCGCCTAAACCTGCAATAGTGCCTTCTCAATATACAGTGAAACTCTGGTAATACGTACCCTTTGTGGAATGGAAGAAAGTGCTTACTCTCAGAGGCACTGCTTACCCAAAGTTGAGTCCCGCGGCATGACTGACACGCAAATTATAATCGTGTTGTATGTCACAAAGTGCTCGAATTTTGTTGTTGCACTCAGAAACGTCCATGGCTAGTGTCACTGATCCTTGTATTGCTGCGAGGTCAGGCACCACGTCGGGTTACCTGTGCTGCATATCCTGCTCCGTACTATCAACGCACTATTACTAATGGTGGTATCCTGATAATCCGAGCATGATTTTTATTCGAATATACCGCTTCGTTAGAACTTTCTTTGGGAACTAATTTCTTTCGATTACATGGAAGTGTGTGGTGTTATTGCTCATTTTTCGAAGGTACAGCCTTCTCAAGTTCTCACGCATTCTGAGCTGCATTGTGCAGTGTATAGTTGAAAATGAGCAGAGAGATGTTATTGTACTTTGAAGTACATGTAGGAATACACTTTCTAAGTTTCTTTTCTTTCCTGCTACAGACGCAGTTCATGGAGAAGAATAATGATGCTTTGCATGACAATCTTGAGTTGCTGATGCAAGAGTCAAGCGACCCTCTCATCCAGAAGCTCTTCCCAATGCGCTCACCAGCCACCGAGTCGAAAAAGCCCGGCAAAAGTAAACTGATCTTCGCGAGCATTGCAGATAAATTCCGCGTAAGTTTCTTATAATTATCTGCTTACGAACTACCTAAGTCACTGTCGGAAATCTTGCCACTGATGTCTTTACAAGCTGACATAGACTTGATAGAGGATAGCCGTTGTGTATCTGATGGTGTAGTTATGTTTTCTGGGTTCTTGTCTGCTCCTCCTATACGTTGATGCTGGGAAATCTGCGCGGTATATTGTATGTGTCAATTTTCATTGATGACATAACTCCAGATGAAGCAAGTAATACCGAATCCTTTCTGTATTATGTATACACATGTATGCAGGCCCAGTTGAAGCAGTTGCTGGAGAAGCTAAACAGTACTGTAAGTACATGGTCCTGTGCTGCTCACCTGTACTTGGCACCTCTATTGTATGGTGTTGTGACGATGTGGAATGTGCCCCGTTAGTTTTTCTAGGTTTACACGTAGTGGCTGCGTTGGAGTTTGCGGACAATAAGAAACACTCAATTTTCTCACTAGAAGAAGATTATTCAGCGCAGCATCGATAGTGAAGCAGCTTTGCCGGCTAATCTTAAATTCAGAAAAGCAAAGTGAAAACTGAAGAGAAGAGGCCACTGAGTTTGCATTAAAGCGCACCAGGAAATTTTGCAGTGCCCGCGTGCGGTCCATGTGAGTTTGCACCGGTCGATGCGAAATCGCTGTAATGTTAGTTTCCTTTGCTTGGTTTTATTAGGGTAACTTGTACCTGAATGCTGAAAACGTCTGCTTTCAATGGCGAAACACGTATCCTCTTGACAAACCAGGGGAAATGGTGCAGAACTGAACATGCCGACTTGTCAAATTTATTTGGGAAACTTCATGCACTCCGCGTCAAACGTCTTTTTTTCTCAGTTTGCATATGCAGCCCATAAAGGGGCCCTTTCCAAGTGCGCTGACTCCTTTGTTGATTTACAGAAGTAAATGTAGTAGTTTTGTATCAGACCATAGCGATGGAGTATGAAGTGAGGGTGCATTGCTGTGGTTTCATTGTGAATGCACGTCCTTGTCAATATCTGGACGACTTCCCCGCTGATGACTTCATCCGTATCTATGTTTTCCATTGCTTAGGGTGCCGCGTTCATTCGATGCTTGAAGCCAAGTGTGAAAATGGAGAAGGGTGTATTCAAGGGTGGACAAGTCTTGAGTCAGCTGCAATCTGCTGGTAGGTGGAAAACAAATTGATTAGTTTGTGTATGGGGTGGGGAGGGGGACGGGGGTGGGGGTGGGGGTGGGGAGGGGGCAGCATATGTTCCTACACTCCTGTTGCGCTATGGTGTTGTGTAGCCTTGCGTTTGACTGTCCTGATCAGTTATCGGCCCGGTGAGCCGTACATCTTACCGGCACCACCTGCATGCAATGGACTGAGATCTCCCACCAGGACACCAATCATACCATGCTTGGCATCATCGTTTGATATGATTGTAGTTGTTCTGTATTGATTTGCTGGTGATTTGTTGTATCATGCTGTCGCTGTGCTTGTCATGCTGTACAGGAATGGTATCGGTCTTGTCGCTGATGCAAACCGGCTTTCCATCTCGGACGGGATTCCAAGCACTCTACGACATGTTAGTGAGATGCTTGGATGTGTGCGTGTGTGCATGCGTGCATACATGTGCGCATGTGTGTGTATGTATGTATGTATGTATGTATGAAGTATACATACCTGTTAACCATGGACTGCTTCTGGCTAGATTAACTCTTGTGTAATCAATGGTGCTAGTGAAGCTTACATCAGATCCACTCTGATTTAGCCACCCACACTAGTACCGAGTATTACCTTCACTGGGGGCAGGGGTACCTGCAGTTGGATCCCGGGACGGATACCCTGATGCCGTCAATCCTTTTTCTGCACCTTGTCCTCGACCACTTACTGAGGTGTGGTGAGCCCATAAGTGGGATCATTTCAAGTCCACCCTAGTTTGGGGATTTCAGGGGGTGTCGGCCGTTGGGTGGTTCAATAGCCAATTGAACCACCACTTTCCAAGATTCCTTTTGAGTCTCTCTCCCCTCTCCCGGGGAGACCCACGTGACCAGTTTTGGCAGTGAGCAAGTACAAGTAAGTACAAGTACAAGTATGTATGCGTGTATGCATGTGTGTGTATGTGTGTGTGTGTGTGTGTATGTGTGTGTATGTGTGTGTGTGTGTGTGTATGTGTGAAAAGCAATCACGGTGCTTGAATGTGTGTGCTGTGCGTGTGAGGTAATACTGAGCAGGAACAGAGTACTCTCACCCAATCCAACTTTGGGCAATTTGTGGAGTATTTTCAACTTGAAGCTTACGATTTGTTTCTATTTTCCATGAGATCATGAACCAAATTCATGTGTGGGTTGGTTTTTACCTGGTCTCCAGCGACCTACTTGCCTATGCATTTCACAATGCTGGTCATAGGTTAGATTGTCCTTCTGTGTGTATATGTGTGTGTGTGTGTGCGTGCATGCGTGCGTGCGTGTGTGTGTGCTTTCTTAGGTACAAGGCATACTTGCCAGCTAAACTTGAAGGACTGGATCCGCGTACCTTTTGCCAGGTATGTCCGTGCCTTAAATTTATTCATTGGTGAAAAATAAATTGCATACTTTCGGTACAACATGAATAGGCCACAGGTGATGAAAAGTGTGGAAATTAGTTGCGGTGTGATCCTTTGTCTGACAATACATGTGTGCTCGCCAGTGTGTGCTTGTCCAAGCTTGCATGTGAGTGTTTACTTCGGGTGTGTATGTGTGCATGGGTGCATTCGTACGTGCATGGGTGAGTGCCTATGTGTGTGTGTGGGGGGGGGGGGGGGGGGCATGTGTGCGTGCGTGAATGCGTATGCATGTTTGTACCTATTTGTATATATAATAGTGAGTGAAATGCCTGTGTGTTGCATGAATGCTGTGTATGTGTTTGCTTTGCTAGGCATTGTTCCGGGCACTGGGTCTCAGTGACTATGACTACCGCTTTGGACTATCCAAAGTCTTCTTCAAGCCAGGGAAGGTAAATGCCTTGATTGTTATTGGTGTTGGTGGACCTGATCTATCCCCCCCCCCCCCCCACACACACACACCGTTTAGTTTCTGCATCTAACGCCTGATCGTGGGGTGGAGGTGTCCCACGGAAGCGGAAAGGTGGTTCGCGAACCCAAGCTATATTTATTTTATAGTAAAGAAAGGGACCAAGGAACTACAAGTCCACTAACACCACCAGTTACATATTTATGGGTGCCCGGCAAGTACCTGCATGTACGCGGCAAGTACCTGCATGTACGCAGCACTTTATTGGAGACACCCTCTGGCTGGTAGCGGGCATGGTTTCTTTTGCCGTTCATGGTTCAGTGAAATAGGACGTATTCCTGCGAGGTAATCTGGGCACACTCTATCACATGTATCATCTTTCCATTTTTCCACCCTCTATACAAATGTACTCCCCCTTCCTCTCCCCCTGTGCCTACTCCTCCCCGCTTTTTGGTGCACTGAAGTGTCGCTGAAGCCGAGACCTCAGGTCGGCGGAGATGCTCCAGTTTCACCACCACAGTTGCGTCTGCAACCACCTCTATCATGCAGTATTCTGTTCTTGGGGTTCGTGGTTTCTCGCAAAAAAACAAACCTAGGCGATACGCTGTGGAAATGATAGTGGATTGGACCTAGTTCCAACCTGGTGGCTTTATCAGAGCTTACCTATGGACCTAAGCATCCTAGTTGGCTGATATCAAGGGGCATTCCACTTCCCAGGTGACTGTAAGTTTGCAATGAACACTTTGTGCTTAGTAAACCCCTAAATTAAGGCTGTCTGTGTCTGCGCACGTGGTCTTTATACCTATTCGTTCAGTTTGCTGAGTTTGACCAGATCATCAAGTCGGACCCGGAAAACATTGCTCGGCTGGTCAAGAAAGTTCAGAAGTGGCTTGTGTGTAAGAGGTGGCGTCGTGCCCAGTTTGCCGCCATCTGCGTCGTCAAGCGTAAGTGACGGTCATCTTTCTTCTTGGGTGGACGCTGACAAGTAAGCTATTGAACAGTGTGTACGCTCAAAGTGCTAAGAGATTCTTCCACATGCGCACAGATATATGTGGGACTCAGTGACCAGTCAAGGCCCCATGACCGATCACGGTCCCCGTGACCAGTCAAACAGTCACAAACTCCCCATGACCAGTCACAAATTAGTTTACCAGTCACAAATCACCATACTGTACATGTGTAAAGCACACAGTTCGTGACTGCTCGCGAAGTGCTTCGTACTGCAGGATTTGTTGTGGAAACTAAAATTCCCTTTGAGCGGTCACAGAATACAGTTGTGACCACTATAATTCCAAGCGAACAGTTATATGCGGAATGTACAGTTGCGACCATTCTTTCTCTGTGAGTAGTCACAGGCAGAATATAGGTATTTCTGTATTACAAGAGAGATTGGAAGCTTTGTCACAACTCTGAGTTTCACGTATTACTACGATCGTTAGGCAACTGATGGCTCCAAAACGGGCAGCCTGAACATAAGGGGGAGTAAGGTGGGGAATTCTGAGGGGTATGATAGGCGACGTGTATCATAGCGCAAGAGTCAGGTGCAGGCGTGAAGTTGCCAAGTCTTCAGACTTGGGGCTATGCAGCAGCAGTTTCAGCGTGAATGATATAGAATAGAGCTGGGGACTTAAATGCCAAATCCACACATGCTCACACCATTACACACCCACACTCTGTCCCTTTTCTCACATACACGCACACACACACATCCACACACACACGCGCACACACACACACACACACTCATTCTCTAAATCTCACACACACACACACACATTCTCTCTCTCTCTCACACATACACACACACACTCTCTTTCTCACGCATGCACACAAACACACACACTCACACATGCACGCGCACACTTACTCACACACGCACACACACAAACACACACGCACTCACAAACACACTCACACAACACACACACACAAATTGGCAGCGGGAATACCAGCTAGATTCACGTGACCTTGCGGACAAAGTTACGGAGGTAGAACTTGTTTTCATGACGACACTTGGACACAAGTATTTCTGTATCATTATTAATATTTTTATCTCTTTTCAACCAATCCACAAGCCAAGAAGAGATGCGTAGACGGGAGAACCGTACTCTTGGTGATACTGATATGCCAGTTCAAGGAGGATCGCCCAAAAACACTGACACAGAGACAGTAAACCATGGTAAACGGACACAGTACTCGTATGCATGTACTTATAATACACGTTATAGCAGCACAACGAGAAAGACCATGTACATGTACCATAATGTTACATCAATAAATTTTACAGAGTTATTTTGGGAGTAGGAATGAAGATGTGTTCGAAGCAGTAAACTGCGTAAGCACTACGTTGAGCCACAATATTGAAATACAGTTTCCTGCAGTCAAAACAAGACACTCACACTTCTCTGGTCTAGTTCGCCATTCTTATCGCTAGCATGACTTGATTTAATTTCTTACGATGGTTCTTGAGAATGGATCAATGATGTCTTGAATAGATGTCTTCCATGAACGACTTCAACTGAGAGGCAGTTTCAGTTTCAACAAGCTGGACATTGTTTTTCTGTGGAGTCTTCTACAAGAAAGACAGAGCTACACACACGAAGGTGCTTGATGTACTCAGTACCTTCTTGGAGATGAACATATTTTCTTTTCCATCTTCATCATTTTTTTTCATCTCTGCATCGTCGACGATGTGATTGTCCACTTCTGACTCCGTAATCTTGTCACCCATCCTCTCCAAAAACACAAAGCGAGTGCTGCTTGTATGCTGGATCAGTTGAAATCAGTCTCCGTTCTAGCAAGATCGGCATGCAAAAATTACTGGACTGAAAATATTCCAAAATAGCTTTTCTGAACGACGAAGTTTGTTCTTCAAATATGATGAATAGCACAATCTACTAGCCAGAACGTCCTCTCAAAAGAGATTCTATCTGAAGCCTGCAAGATTTTCGACCACCCTTCGTTTTGGAGAGGAGCCCACACACACACCAGACTCGAGCTACAAGTAAACTACGCGGAGATCGAGAGTTGATCGAAATCTTTCTTGCTCACTTCTACCTGTGAAGGAAAAATGTATGCTGATCGCGTGAATGCCTACAGTTGAGTCGTAATAGTTTGACGTGGACCCTGTGACCGTTCACAGAGAAAGTCGCGGCAGTTTGTGACTGGTCATCGGGATTCAAACTGGTGTGTGACTTTATGACTGCTCTTCGGGGATTTGTGACTGTTTGATTGGTCACGGGGATCGTGATCGGTCATCGAGACGTGACTGCTCACTGAGTCCTACATATATGCCCATGCTATGGGTGAATGCGTTCATGGTAGAGGCAGTACAGCAATACATTGTCTTGGTAACTTGAGTTTTATTCTGCCAGCTATTTAGTAATCAAGTCCTATATTTTCATTTATATCTGTCTATGCTCGCCCAGTGCAAAGGAAAATCCAGGCAAGAAAGCAAGGTGCTGTTATTGTTCAGAAGTCGGTTAGAGGATACTTCGTGCGGAAACAGAATCAAGCAAGGCAAGCCTTATTCTTTCTAACCCCTTGTTTGCTTTGCACCAGTATATGCTGAGTCTTTGCCATACTACCTCATGACTCATTAGTGTGTTCTTGATGTAGTTGTCTTTGTGAATTGGCTGTGTCTGATAGCCCTGCTGTGGTGCTCACATGCACAGTCATTGCTACAGAATCGCAAGCTGTACTACCCCTTATGCCTGAAACTATGTTGCTCGGTAAGCCTGAATTGTGTGGCTTGTTTGCTTTTTGAACATGCGCCCTTCGTTTTTCTTGCAGGGTGCGTGCCTATCCGCAAGCCGTCAAGCTGAGGCATCAGCTGGGTACCATTGAAGAGTCCTGTAAGTCAGTTGTATCCATGCCAACAAAGAGCCCGTCTGCGTATCAGAAATAAGCGAAACACATCCAATATGCATGTATCATTACTCTACAGGTGCGTGGCTTGATAAAGGAAGTTTGCTGTGCGAGTACTTTCTTGTACTGTGATGCGCCATGTTCTCTTTTCTATCCTACTGATATGGTCTACTCTGCGTATCAACCACTGGCCTGTACGCTGTGGTGGCTCAGTCTTGATCGCAGGATCATGCTTGGGGGTCAGAGGTGCAAGCAAACTTGAATGTCTACACTAGTTAGGAAGACCATGTTGAATCGTGTTAAAACTGGTAATATATTGACTTCCTCCCTTAACTGTCACAACAGGGTTTTGTTTTGTTTTTGTTTTTCCTCTCCTTCAGTGGGAACTTTGACAAAGTACCGTGCCAACCTTAGTCCTAAACTAGGAGACCTGAAGAAAAAAATCGATACATTTGTTCAGCAGCTGAAGGTAAGCGATGAAGGCGTGGAGCCACAACTCTCTGGATTGAGTTTGAGATATTTCATTGGTAGCCCGGCTGCCATCCTAATCGCCCGCAATTAAGCACCAGGGCATGCTCCTGCAAGATGTGGAACCAAATCCCACTAGCAGAACCTATGCCAGTGACGCATATTGCAATATCGCTTATCAGTGTTCTCTCAACTGGAAGCATGTGGCTGGACCACTCCATTTCTAAACTATGTATTATATCTACCTTTGCTCTGTCTGTAGTAATTATCACACTTTCTGAAGTATTCAAGGCTTGCATTCACAGCTGGCAGGACTGCTAGTAGTAGTATGTATTTTTGATGGTGCAATTGCCATGCACATCGGCTATCGCAATGCTCGCCCCTACAGAAATGCTCATGATTTGCATTCATGCTATTACTTGAAGTAGATGATGCTACTACTCCAAACCTGAATTCAGAATGAAATGGATAGCTGGACTGCATGTACTCTTGGTTTGATTTTGGTTTTCTAGGCAAAGCCACTTGCGCAGTCCGTTGTGGACACATCGCTGCAGACATATGCAAGGCAAATCGACGACATCACACAAGAGCTTCACAGTCTCGCCCGCAAGGAAAAGGAAGAAAAGGAGATGGAGCGAATCCGTCTCATCCAAGAGAGTCTGGAAAGAGAGCGCAAGACTCGTGAAGAGGAAGAGCGGCGACGAGAAGAAGAGGAGAAGCTGAGAAAGGAACGCGAGAGGAAGTAAGTTTTCTTGCAGTTAAATAATGTAGCTGTGTTGTACTGTAATCTGATCTTTATCACATGCTATGGCTGGTACGCACCCCAACAGGTGTCCGTATACTCCACCACGTTCTCTCTGTTACCGATATGCAAGTGTCTGGCACACATGGAAAAGAGTAATCGGCATCATTCTAGCAAGTAGTACAGTCACGGTTCTCATGAACTGCAATGCTATGTTTCATCATGCAGGCTAAGAGAAATTGAGCGGCAGCGGAGGCAGGCTGAGGAGGAAGCTATGAGAGCACGGGTTGAGGTGCAGCGTCGCCAAGAAGAGGAAGAGGTAAGGAATGATGAAAGCATTGTACAATTGTGTGGCCTGCTTGGTGTTTGATGAGTAGAGTTTGCTCGTTCCTGTACGGATGGAGTGTTTGAAGTGGTGTATAAGACGAGGGACAGTACTCTTACTGAGATCAACGGTTGCTGGCGCTGATTTTTGAGATGTACTACAACACTGGCCTGGTAAGCTAATATTCTCTAGTCTACTTGTGAAAGAAGTGTTCATGACCAAGTTACACCCAAATACCCTCAACCCTAATGAAGAGCAGCGGGTCTCTGTCCAAAACACTCAAAGACCGGTATGCGGCTGACTGCACTGTACTCAGGTGTGAGGAATAGACCGTGCTAACCATGTTGCCCTATGGATGTGTACGTCTTCTTCAGGAGCGTCTCTTTTTGCTTCACGAGCAACAAGCCGAAGAAGAAGCGCGTCGGTAAGTCACCGTTATGCTGGCGTCCCTGATCTTGGTAACACCCAGAACTACCTGCTGCCCTCGTGCCTTTGGCGCTCCAAAACTCAACGCTACATTTTCTGTACCCATTCTGCCAACTACTTGCTCCTCAGTTCGCAATTTGGTGCCCATGTTTTGTGCTGGTCTTTGTTCAATACATTTGCTGGCAAGTTATTCCTGTTTTTTTTTGTTACACGTGCCAATGCGTCTTTTTAGCATGGCTGCTGAGGAGCAGGAGAGGAGAGATCGAGAACTGGCAGAGCGGCTAGCACAGGTATGCTTATACACATCCTTTTTTTGTTGAACACAACTTGCACTTTTTTTGTTGCTGAATCCCAGCCAGTGGACTGCAATTCCATTGGAAATCAGTATTTACCACCCTGGCAAGCCATCCTTCTGGTAGGTGCCAGCTGCTAAGTACCGTACTTGCTGGAGTATAGTGCGCACTTTAGATGTGCTATTTTAGGATCCAAATCGCAGGTGCGCACTATGCTCCGAAGTATGAAAATGCATGTGCATGAACTTTCAAAATTAGTGCAATGCATCAAACTTCTGCAAAGTTTGCAGCCTCTGAACCGGAGCAAACATATGGTTGTGTGTACTTCTAGTGTCCACTGCCAGCTACACTGATAACGCATGATTGGCAAGAAACCCCCATCGGCAGTATGTGCATTATACAAATGGTAAATGGTCGCTATAGCACTGCTGGTAATGCTCTCTAATCTAGGCTGCGCATTATACTCCGGATATACCTTGACTCGCCAAAACATTAATCAAAAGAGGGGGTGCGCATTATGCTCAGGTGCGCGTTATACTCTGGCAAATACGGTAGTGGTCTTTGCTCAAGAGCATTGATGCTGAATATACAAAATGGAAACAGCTTTCACCAACCCATGTGGCACCAACTACAATTGGTTCATACGAGCAGATGATGTGGTAAAGACGTGTAGTGGCTATTGCTGATTGTCTGTTGTGAGCTGTTCTTTTCAGCAGGTAGTGTCTGAAATCAGGACCTTGGCAGATGGCTATTACCTGCAGCATTTTACCTGAAACCCTGTTTCTCTATTCCTAAATGATGATCGCTTAGTGCGTTGGAACTGGCTCTTCCTTTCGGTATTGAACACTCTATTGGACAGCCTGGAACCTCTGTGTTTTACCTTTTAAAATGTGTTGATGTTATAGGATGCTGCTCGGCCTCAGGAAGTTCTCCTTCGAGAGGCTGCTGATCCGCAGTCTCGTCCAGCGTCTGTGTCTGACGCTGTTCCAACCAGGTTTGTGCTGGCTGAGAGCTACATGTAATTCCATTGTACTGCTGATGGTGTACAAGTATGTGTACAGAATACGCATGCATACATAGTATAGTAGTATAGTATTTATTCCCGTAGCTATGCAGAAGACGTTACTTCAGTAACGTCTGGCGCTAGCCAGGGTCCACACAGCTTTAATTTGGTGTTTGTTTGTGTGTTTGTTTGTTTGTGTCACGCCTGGCGCTATCCGTATCTGACGGCAAAAAAGCATAGGATGTTATAAATTTTTAAATTCTCCTTTTTTTCAGGCATATCCTGGGATTCGAACCCGCACTATCGCCCTACATGCATTCCCCCATACACTTCGCATTCATACCCATTCTTCCAAGTTGCTTTACGTTATTATCTTGCGTTTGAAAGCCCTATTTGAATATTGCGGGCAGCTGTATGTGGCCAGCTGTGTTTGATGGTACGGTACGGTACGGGAGACGGTGTCGTATTACCCTCGATCGTACCTGTCCCGTCCCTATCCCCTACCGTACTGTGCCATCAAAGACGGCTGGCCACAATGCATATTCAAATAGGGCTTTCAAATGCAAGATCACAATGTGAAACAACTTGGAAGAATTAGTATGTATGCGAAGTGCATCGGGGGATGCATGCAGGGCGCGCGATAGTGCGGGTTCGAATCCCAGGTTATGTCTTAAAAAAAAGGAATTTTTTAAAGAATTTATAACATCCCTATGTTTTTTTTTGTCTAGGTCATCAAGGCAAAAAAGCATAGCGTAGGGCCCTGAGCTTCTAAGCTCTCTCGTTCCCGTAGCTATGCAGAAGACGTTACTTCAGTAACGTCTGGCGCTAGCCAGGGTCCACACAGCTTTAATTTGGTATTTGTTTGTTTGTGTGTTTGTTTGTGTCACGCCTGGCGCTATCCGTATCTGACGGCAAAAAAGCATAGGATGTTATAAATTTTTCAATTCTCCTTTTTTTTTTCAGGCATATCCTGGGATTCGAACCCGCACTATCGCCCTTCATGCATTCCCCCATACACTTCGCATTCATACCCATTCTTCCAAGTTGCTTCACATTATGATCTTGCGTTTGAAAGCCCTATTTGAATATTGCGGGCAGCTGTATGTGGCCAGCTGTGTTTGCTGGTACGGTACGGTACGGGAGACGGTGTCGTATTACCCTCGATCGTACCTGTCCCGTACCTATTCCCTACCGTACCGTGCCATCAAAGACGGCTGGCCACAATGCATATTCAAATAGGGCTTTCAAATGCAAGATCACAATGTGAAACAGCTTGGAAGAATTAGTATGTATGCGAAGTGTATCGGGGGATGCATGCAGGGCGCGCGATAGTGCGGGTTCGAATCCCAGATTATGTCTTAAAAAAAGGATTTTTTTAAAGAATTTATAACATCCCTATGCTTTTTTTTTGTCTAGGTCATCAAGGCAAAAAAGCATAGCGTAGGGCCCTGAGCTTCCAAGCTCTCTCGTTCATATTTCTCTAGGGCAGTCCCCACAGACTTTCATGTATGGTCTCCTTACGGGGTACCCTAGCCAATCAAGGATTGCGATACGAAATTGACTTGGTGAAGCAGCAAGGCGAACCGATGCCGGAACTGAGTTCCAGCGGTCAGCGGCTAAATAAGAAAGAGAGGAATACATGCATAGATGAATACATGCATCTTTGTATGGTATGTCGTATGCTCTAACTAGCATGCATCTACTGGATCGTCCTCGGCCATGTACAGAAAATCTCTTTCATCTCCTTGAAAAAGGACAACAGATGACAATGAGACAAACATGCTGATAGCTGTACTCAATGGCTCATAACCATTCATTTTGTTTTGCATGCTGTTCCTTTCGGCAGCCCACAACGGCAGCATACTACTCCAACTACCGCCCCGTCCACCGTGACATCAACGGCAGCAACAACAACAGCACCGCGGCAGCATGTAGCAGCTGCACTTACTGGCAAGCGTGACCTTACAAAGTGGAAATATGCTGACTTGCGTGATACCATCAATACCTCTACAGGTAAGTCTGTGTGTGTGTGTGTGTGTGTGTGTGTGTGTGTGTGTGTGTGTGTGTGTGTGTGTTTATGTGTGTTTATGTGTGTTTGTGTGTGTGTTTGTGTGTGTGTGTGTGCGTGTGTGTGAGTGTGTTTGTGTGTGTGTGTGTGTGTGTGTGTGTGTGTGTGTGTGTGTGTGTGTGTGTGTGTGTGTGTGTGTGTGTGTGTGTGTGTGTGTGTGTGTGTGTGGTGTGATGTGTGTGCGTGAAAAAAAAAGAAGAAAAAAATGAAAAAATGAAAAAGACCAAAAAGTAGGGATTCACTGGCCAGAAAAAGCCACTTCATAGCTGTGTGGTGTAGACCAGGCTGAATAGTGGCGGTCAATTCTTCAGCCTTGCAAGCTGTTGAATGGTGCAATCCCAGCACAAGCTGCTATGGCTTCTGCTGTAGCATCGCTATCATCGCCTCCGGCGATGGGCATCCAATGGTCCAATGGTGTGTGTGTGTGTGTTTGTGTGCCCGTCTGTTTATCTATGTGTCTCTCTGTTCATCTGTCTGTCCGTCTACTATCCTTCAGTTTACCTACATACATTGTGCAGGTACACAGATAGACTTGACTCCCATAGTGTGAACTAAAAACTAAAAACTAAAAACTGATGTTTTTTTATATCCTCCCCGTGTCTGAACTACTATAGATGTTGAGCTGCTGATTGCGTGTCGCGACGAGTTCCATCGGCGAATCCGCGTCTACCAAGCATGGAAGTCCAAGAACAAGCAACGCGACACTGCATCACCATCAGGCCTGCCCAGTGAGCTGAGAAACAGTGAGTACAACCCGCTGCACTGTTGCTTGTAACTTAGCGTGTCCGCGGCATTCACTGCCTCCTGTGCATGTTGTCTTGCACTGCCAATATTATCACTCTGTAGAGCTTCCAGCCAGGTGCATAGTTGTGCTGTGGGTGCTCGCTAGTACCGAGCATGTAAGCTACATGTATCTTCTATCAGTGACACGTGAGTGGTCCATCTACTAGTAGTTGTACAACAACATACCGTATTTCCCCGATTATAAGTCGCACCTTTTTACACTAAAATTCAGGGTAAAAAAGGGGGTGCGACTTACAATCGAGCATGACTTACTACTGAAGTGAATATATCGCAACAATATTGCTCAAACCTGAAAATGGGGATGCGACTTACAATCGGGGAAATACGGTATTATATTGTCTCCAGAGCTGATGAGATGCTGTCACCCGTTCACTAACCTTTTATAGTTATAGCTCATAGAAAGTATGGCATTCAACATTGTATCTACTTTGTACTGAAGTAATTTTGAAGAAAATACAGTAATATTATGAAGGTACATGTACCTTCATGTTGTGCACATGCCACCATGAGGGTACTTAAACCAGAGACAGAGACCAGCACGTAATTCTGAAAGGCGCATTCGCAGTGCGGCTCAAAAGGAATCATTCCCTTGTTGCTGTTGTTGCAGCTCCTTCACCACCACCCCCGCTGCCCGCTCGTGGTGGTCAACCGTCCAACTCTCCCGTGCCAAGCCGACCACCCAAATCTGCGGCGTTGACCAAGCCATCACAACCAAGCACAGCCACGGCCAACTCTGCTGCTGCTGCTGCTGCATCGTTACCCCGCCTGGCACAAGCTCCTCTGTCGTCGCCAATCGCACCGCCCCGACCTGCGGCGGCCGCGACCGCTGCACCCGTGCAAGCACCGGCCGCGCCGCAGCGCACCATGGCCTCTGCGTTTGCAGCTCAGCCGCAGCGCTTCTTCCGTGTGCCCTTCATACGGCCTTGCGACCAGGCTCAGGCCAAGACAGCGTACCGCAAGAAGGGCTGGTGGTATGCTCATTTTGATGGTGAGTGGATAGCAAGACAGATGGAACTGCACCCGGACGCTTCACCCGTACTACTTACAGCTGGTAAGGATGACATGGACATGTGCGAACTGCCGCTGGAAGAGACAGGCTTAGGGCGCAAGCGTGGTGCCGAGATCCTCGAGTCTGATTTCGAGAAGGTCTGGGCCAAACACGGCGGGCAGCCCTATCGCCTGTACCGGGTGGTATCAATGGACTGAATATGTACGCAAGTGATCACAGTCTCCTTGTACCCTCTATTGTTAGTCACATCTTCCCATTGCCCCGCTCAGATTCTCCCATATTTCCCCCCATTGCCTAGCTCCGTTGCATGAATTTTGGAATTTCTATTTTACCAATTGCCCCGGCGTTGTGTCAATGATAGCTGGTTATATATACTGCTGATCTCACCGCAGCATTGCCTTTCCATTTCTCCACTCAGCATCTATCCAGCGATTAACTTTATGACTCTCAAACGATATTGCACTTTGACTATGGCGTGCAAATACTCATTCCAATGTTGAATGCACTGCCTCGATTTTTTTCCTTTTAATAGCTAGCTTTCAGTTATATTAATTTTTTTGAAATGTACATAATGTATACATCCTGCAGGTTGGGTGTCTCACACTGCCCTCACAATAGCTACGACTGTGTATGCATTTTCTAGGTTGATTTCAAGCAGCAGCACAGTATTTTTCCTTCATATATATTCATTGTATAGTGCATGCACACTGATTGCAATCCATTGAAATGCATCCAAAGAGTGCAGAATAAAGGGAACGATTGCATCATGATAATCATCATGATCATCTCATGGACACAGTTCTACAGTTTGGCAGGTAGTCTGAGAATGCATGGCACTGATACCGATATCTGTACAATAGCGTTAATCTGTACAAGTAGTAGTCTCCACCGCGTACCGGTTGAGAGAAAGATCATGTGATACTGTATACTACTCCAGTGATAGTCCTAGCAGCAGCAGCAGCAGCAGCAACAGCAGCAGCAGCAGCAGCAGCAGCAACAGCAGTAGGTGAACAATGTGTATATCATCATGTTCCTAACCTGTACATGTATACACAATACCCTGCTGTATGTGCTGCGATCATCATCACTCGTATGTCTGTAGTGTGTACTAGCTGCCAGTATGTGCATTCGACTGCAGCTTGCAGTGTGCAGTGTAAACACCAGAAATGAAGCTTGAATGAACACTGAGAGGTCTCAAGGCATACACCGTTCAGTCTGGGAATGCATCAAGTCACATACTAACATCAAGTTGCTTTCGTTCCGATTACCTTGAACAAAGACAGAGGACCTTCTTCATGCTTCGACCAAGCCCACTGGCGGTGAGCCGACTGATCTTCGGACGGAAGCAGCTCACGATGTTGCCTCAGCAGAGGAGGTGGTGTTGTGCCTGCATGTTGTGCACTCCTGCGGTTGCTGGCAGGAGACGCTCGAGAGACCGGCCTTGAGGAAGCAAGCCGAGGAGCTTCTGATAGCAGATCGTATACTCTTGGGATGACTTCCATCCTTGTCTGGAGAAGCTCCCCTGTGTAGCGTGCTTCAATGCTCACGGACATTGCTCGAGGGTCAGGCTCCTGGACTATCGATATTGGCGTTGGAATCAACCGCGGTGGTGCCGATGCCGCTCGTGGTTCACGACCACGCACAGGCTTGTTTCTCACGACACATCTACCAGCGGATAGGAGACGAGCCTGGGTGGCACTTGGCTGTCTAACTTCTTCCTTGTATTTGGAGGTAATGACTCTTGGTTTAGCAAGCTCGTTTATGCGTTTCATGGATGGCCTCTTGGCCTTTTTTGATGATGTGCTCTGTCGCTTTTTGGCTGATGACGTTGGTCTTTTTGCTGATGCACGGGATGACGGTATGGTTACATTGGCTACATTGGGTTTATTCGGTGACGTGTTGTTTACCTGGCTTGTAATTAGTGTTTTGCTGGTCTGTGATGGCTGCGTGGGTGCCTGCACTGCGGCTGCACTGCCTGCAGTGGCGAAAGCTGCATCTGATGGTTTGTCCAAAGATTCCCCTGCTGGACTTGTTACGTTACCGCCTGCTGCTGGCGTGTGCAATGGTGTGCTTGAATACTCGACTGACAAGGTTGTTGATTCTGATACTTGTGTTGCATTTATGGCTGTATTGTACTGTTGTGGCAGTGTAGTGTTCACTGAGTGGTTGGGTTCATCGACAACGGTTGCGGGAGGTGACTTGCTCACTGCTGGTTGATTGACGGCAAATTCACTCCACTGGCCGACGTCCTCTGTGTACGCTGCGTGCGCCGTGTGCTGCCACTGTGCCGGGTGCTGCCACTGTGCCGGGTGCACGTGGACGACGGAGGTGTCACCCCATCTAATCCTATCTGAAGGCAAGCAACAGTCAAGTTGGGCGTGAGAAACACACGCAGAAACATGAGCTGCGGTGTTGCACCGCGTCAGGTTGTCAGGTTGGCAGGTTGGCAGGTTGGCTCTTGGGGAGAATACATACTACAGCCGTGGCCAAACTAATCCGACCCGCGAGTCGAAAGCAGTGCCGCGTTCCCATTTCGATTGCATCATGCACGGTCCTAGAACCCATTCGAGGGCCACCGGAGCTGCGTGAGCCTTGGTGCTCCTTTCGGCTCGCGGGTCAGATTTCTTTAGTCACCAACTGTACAGTATTCATACTCATAGCCATACGCAGAATAGATCGTTTTCAAAACCAAAAAAAACAAATGGTAACCTTTCCAGCTTTTTCTCGGGTAAAGTACCATCTAAAAGCAACGGCACATGCACACACAGTTGGTCAAGTACCGATGCACGCACAGACAAACTTGCATCAAAAGCATTACCCTATTTTTCATGATGTAATTCTCCCTGGGGTGCGAGTGCACTGGCTACCAAAGTGCAAAGGGCCTAAACTAAGGCAAACCGAACAGTGTCTTTGACTCCAGAGCAAGTGTCGAGAAACATGCACAGTCATCAGATCAATACACGCACCGACGTGTGTGCCCGTATGCATGCCTGTGCACGGTGAACGTGTCTGAGGTTCACGTCAAGCACGAACCTCTTGCTCGCAATCATTGGTTTGCTCTGCTCACAAGATTCTAGTTTACATCATTCTAATCATACCCAGGATTAGTGCACTCTAGCTCCAAGCCACATGTAGATAGAGACTGCCTCTGCATCCCAGGTCTGCCTGCTGAAGTTACCAGAGACAATGTCGCGTTAACAGTACAGAAAATGATCGCAATGTCTTGAGTACTAGTAACGGAACTGTGGAATACATGCATGTGTCGTCGGCGTAGCGTGTATGCGAAGTGACTTACGTCCGTTCCGACGTGTGTTGTCTGACCAGCTGCCCTGTCCACTCTGCTCTGATGATAAGTACGAAGCTGAATTGGTCTTCTTCAGGCAGGATTTCAGCGGCTTTGGCTTGGGCGGGTTGGTGCGCATGACGAAGCCACCTCCCTTGACCCTGACATGGCCATTGTTCACAGGAACAAGCGGCTTGGGCTAGTGAACGAGGGTGACATGCAGCAAAAAGAAACACATTCGACATGTGGGATTGTGAGGGGTTTGGATGCCAGTCCTGATGGTCGGGCTTTGGCCACACCACTGTTCTATCAATCAACGCAATTTTGCAAGCGAAGCAGGCATAACGCCCTGTGAAAATTTTGAATTTTGAATTTTGAGTTTTCAATAGTGTTCCTATGTTGAGTACTGGCTGGACCAGTTCAAACTCGCCTGTATACATTGGTGCGCATACAAGACCTTCCGAGGCACGACATGTGCATGTGCAAGGTGGCACCGAGACTCAGAGGGGAAGAAATAGGTGATGATGCACAACACGCACAATGCACACACACAAACACACACACACACACACACACACACACACACACACACATACGCACACACACAAACACACACAAACACACATACGCACACAATCATACACACACACACCACACACACACACACACACACACACACACACACACACACACACACACACACACACACACACACACACACACAAGGCAGCTCGGCGCTGTTCGATTCTTCGTTGCTTACCTGATGTTTGACACGTGGCGATACATGTCCACTATCGAATCGCACGGTTTTATACGACGTTGACGCACTGTACACAGAGTTTGAAGCCATGCGACTGTAATGTTGGGCAGCGCCGTTGATTCTGAATAGGTCGGCTTCAGGATCTTTTCGCATTGGTACAAACCCCGAACTTCTCTGTTCCGAAGTTTGCTGCTTCGTATCGACGCAGTGCTGGACTGCTCTCTCCCGGTGCTGCTCTTGCTTGATTTCCTCTACCTGTGTCTGCTGCTGTTGATCAAGCTGGCTGCTGCGGTAGGCCTGGTGCTCTGGCAGTGAACTGGGCAGCGTTGATCTATAGCGGTGGCGGAAGAGAGCGGTGCGTGAGTTGCTTGCATCTCGAGTCACCGGAGATCCCGGTGGCACATACAGCAGCCCGTCTGAGCTGCTGGCATGCCTATCGACGTTGCCTGCGTTGCTAGCATGGTTAGCGTGACTATCAACATTGCTGGACAAGTGTACCTGAGGATGTGCACTCTTTGCCTTTTCTCTTGCCAGATTCGCTTCTTCCCGGCTGAACTGCACCCGGGCGGCTGCTGACTTTCTTCGAAACTCCTCGATCTGTTGTTGGTATCGCTCCTGTGCCGATCGTCCATCTGTGCATGGTGAGGTCAGGGCAAGATGTTGCTCCAGCTTCTTGACTCCAGCCTGAAAGTCTACACCGTAGTAAAATATAAAATAATGGAGGCACAGCATCTGCCATTAGAATACAGTATTGTTCAGACTTGCTGCTAAAATGATACTGGTCAGAATGATGTGCATGGTACATGTATTGCTCAGGATGATGTGCATGCTACACAAGTCATATTGTTCAGAATGCCTGTATACACGGTATTGTTGGAATGACTTCGGAACAAAACATACACTCAATCTGCGTGGGACAGAACTGTTTCGTCCTTTGTGGACTCGTCAGCGCAGCACAAAAGAACGTGACATACAGTATAGTCGTACTACTCAATGTCCAGACTGCATGCTGCTGTTTCGACCTTGTTTGGTCGTCTCATCAGTGGAGTTCAGAGTCAGTGGCGGATCCAGGGGGGGGGGGGGTTCCGGGGGTTCCATGGAACCCCCTAAATTTTGCAAAGTGTACTGCTGAGAAATATCGAAAAATATCATGTGTGCACAAAAGGACGTCCGTCCGACCACAGCGCAGTCTCTGAGTCAAGGAGTACAGTGCACTGCATGCGATAGATCGATACTGTAGATCTACGTAGTCTGTGCTGGTGTTCACGTCCGTGATTTACAAACGTTCGCTGTACTGAGACAACATTGGGTGGTTGTTTCCTTTTTGATCTTTCGAAACGTTACGATCCTAACTAACTTACTTATATAGTATTACCTCCATTGACGCTGTCATTCACTGCTGCTCTGGATGGGTGCGGTCAGTATTCCTTGCACAAGTTTTTTTTCCGGAAGAGAAAGGATGTTCCGATTGATTACACTCTTCAACGAACTTCGAATCGTACACGTAGAGTTCAAGCTCCTCAGAAGATGATAGCTCCGACATCCAAGCAAAGTCAGTAATCTCTACCTGCTGCAGCATGCTGCAGTAGTGGCTAGGTGTTCCTCCGCAGGAACGGAGTGCTGCGCCAGCGATGTGTTTTAGATGATATTGGAAGGATTGTCGACACTGTTTTACTGTTGCTGTTTCTGTCAAGTGAAGACAATGCTCTTGTCCTGTGATTAAAGAGCATTTCTCAACGTAAAAATGCTAAAAATTTCCGAAAGTACAAATGGACAGGGAAAATTGTCATTTCGCATTTCTGGCTCTCAACGTACCCATGGCTTACATATTCGATCTTCACAAGAAGTTAGTTGAAAGGGTCTTCAAGCCCTCAGTGAACCTGTGTGCCAGTCATTGCATACATCTTATGATTATGTGTCCGGACTAAATGTTACGTATACAATGTAGGGTAAGCAGCGGCATTTGGCCCTGTACAGGTTTTCCACCGTCCACTACACCACAACTGCGCTCTCCAGCGATGGTGGTGTGCTGTGGCAACGTGTGAGGCCGGCTGGAGGCGCAGTTATGGTGTGGTCGATGATGGAGGAATATGTGTCCGTAGTGTGTTTTAAAAGCATGAGATTCCAACTTACACAATCGGGTTGTCGTAAACCGGCTCGTGATTACACCCGCAGTCCCGCACAACTTCAAAACAATCTGATTCCATAATATTTTGGCTGTTCAATTTTGGTTCAACCGGAACCCCCCTGTAGAGATCTCTGGATCCGCCCCTGAGAGTGATTGACCAAACTGATTGCAATGAAGTCTAGTGGACAACAAAGAACGCTTGAATTGGCTCAAAGCATCAAGGTCAGATCAAGTGATCTAGCAGCGGGAAACCAAGCTAGCTTCGCACAATTATAATTATTATAGTAGTACATGTACTGGTAAGGGGCTGTCCGGGGTTACCGATTGTTTTTACAAAACGAAAGTTTTTAGTAATTTTCAGCCCCCACCCACCCACCCACCTTTTCTGCGGGTAAAACGAATTTCAATAAAATATTGATGTCAATTTTCGACACCCAGAAGTAACTGGGCATTCTCCATCAGCATTCAATAATTATTTTCAAAACGAAACTCCATCAAACCCACCCACCCACAAACGAAAACATTTCGTTTTGAAAATATTATTGGTAACCTTGGACGGCCCCTAACATGGATGCGTGAACTTCAATTTTTTTATACGCACATTTCTGCATTGACGTGCTTCAACTCTGGTGCCCGGCGTTGCTGATATTTCAAGGAGATCAATTCAGTTAGTATAGGTCGTACAGCACCTGGTATACATGTATGTTGCAGCACAGTATGAACATGCGTAATTTGGTGTGCATCATTGTGCCCTGGATGAAAGAGTACATTGTGACACGCAGCTCTCATGTTGCCTAACAACGCTGTGTATCCATGCAGACCGTGTGATGCCAGTACAGGTTATTGGTTGCTGAACGGTATTTCAAAGGACCCCAGCCTCATTCCTTTCCACTGAATCTCTTGACTGTATTAGTTAGTCATGCAAGCCGCTGTTATACAGTCTCTTACCCAAATAGCCTAGGTTTCCTTTCCGGATCTCAGTACGTATCGGCCTGTGGTAGAAATCGGGAGAGATGAAAGAAGGGAGAAAAACTGAAATATATTTTATAGAATGTCAAGACTAGTGGTGGTGACTGATGATAATACAAGTTAGAGTAAATCCTAACTAGATATGAGTAAATCCTAACTAGATAGAGTAAATCCTAACTAGATAGAGTAAATCCTAACTAGATATGAGGAAGATTTCCGTTTGCAGTGGAGGGGAATATTCGACATTCCAAGCATATCAGTGAACGCCAACATCCACCACTTACGCCTTCAGATACTGAATGTGTTGCGTTCAAGTTCGTTATCGCAACAGCACTAGGGATGGAAATGCTGCTCCATATTTTACCAATTTTTTTACAGCATGACTCAAACGGAGCTCCGGATTTTTGATCATTGTACATGTGTATGTGTGTGTAGAAGCATCTTCTACGTCGAGGAAGATTGGACCAAAGTATTCACCTGACACCAGATATACGGAGTGGTGGCGTCGGTGGTGGCGGTGGTGGTGATATCCATGCAGGCAACATGCATGAGAACACTGAGAGAACCGTATAACCACCAAGAGTCGGAACAACTCCCGCATACCCGGCTCAGGCTGTCCTGGCAGAATCTAAAGTTGACGCCATTTTTATGATACAATTCTTCTCACACGAGTGATTTACGATGCTTCTATGGGTTGTCAACGCATCACACATGTTTCCGTGAACTGGTTTGCACAGGATCAAAATTTGATTTGTCCACCACAGGTCCAAAATACATCTGATTATGAGTGTATGCACAGTGCATCACGAAAATGACGTCAACTTGAAATTCTGCCGGGTCAGTACCCATCGTGGAATTGCACACTCTGGGGGGGGGGGGGGGGGGGTATGTTCAAGTTCAAGAGGTTCAAGAGCATATGTTTTACGCACGTCTACCATGATCTACTTACAAAATACTGTGGGTTACTTCTTTGGTGTATGTGAATTTATGCCTGGCTGGGTCACAAGAAGCCTTCATGACTGGCGAAATAGGCCGTTCGGGCAAGGACAATGCCCAGGCTGCCTCTTGCCGCTCAGAATCACGCTTTCGGAAGAGTCTCTTCTGTTGGTCCAACTCGGCATGGTCTGCTTCCCGGCGGATCAGAGTGCAGTCAAGGCAAGGGCCATGCTTCGACTGAGCACAAGACATGTACTCGTGTGCGTGCTTGTCATGTTTCGATTCGTGCTTGGATCGGAGGTAGCCCTGGCGTCGCTCCACAGCTGCACGCACAAAGTCTAGACCGCCGTCTTTGGAAGGCTGGATTGTTACATTCTCAAGCCATGCAAATGGTTCCTTGGGAATCTCGGCTGTCGGATGAACAAGAAGCTTCTCGTCCTTCTCTTCCTCCACACCATCCGGCTCTGGTGGCGCTTCTGAGGAAGGAAACAAGCACACAAAATCCTCCATTAGACTGACAGCCTGATTTTCTGCACGGTCACAACTTGCACTGGCTTTGTTCTAGGAATTTGAACTGGCGCGACGATTATCTGGATTACCAGGACTGGGTCTGTTCTGACTGCCCCGGCACTGTGCACACAATGTGATGGCTATTCAGTGTAGTATTCACCTAACAGAGTTGAAGGAGGAGGAGAGACAAACAAGTGTTTTGGAGACAATCACTGGCAGAGTTTTCCTCGGTGGTCAAAATTTAACGCGAGCACAGTGTACACTGAGTCCCAATGGTGGCAGCATCCTTGAGCCTGTTCACCCGCAACACTGTGGGGTAGAGATTACCTGATGATCGTTCTATTGTGAAACTTAAACTCATGAATAAAACTACCTAACTGCCCCTCCTATACTGGGTGCCAATGCTCAGTGTGTATTGCTACACGGCACTGAGTACTGCAGGGCTGGAGGACTACACTAGTGTAGCCGGGTACAGGGACTATACTTCAGTACTGTATTCTACATGTTGTTGTGTGTGACTCCTATGGTATGGTGGCTTGGTTCATGGTAAGCAGGATGGTTGAATTGAACGCGTCACAAAGTAACTACTGACTATTCTCGCACTCATAAGCACAATGAAACCACACTCCACTGCGTTTTGAACTTGTCATACATGCCAACCGTGTGTTGTTGACATTGTTGTTGTAGTTGTTGTTGTTGTTGTTGTTGTTGTTGTTGTTGTTGTTGTTGTTGTTGTTGTTGTTGTTGTTGTTGTTGTTGTTGTTGCTGCTGCTGCTGCTGCTGCTGCTGCTGCTGCTGCTGCTGCTGCTGCTGCTGCTGCTGCTGCTGCTGCTGCTGCTGCTGCTGCTGCTGCTGCTGCTGCTGCTGCTGCTGCTGTTGTTGTTGTTTCAAATCTTTATTCTCACGATAGCCAGTGGCCAATAAGAGATGTTGTTGTTGTTGTTGTTGTTGTTGTTGTTGTTGTTGTTGTTGTTGTTGTTGTTGTTGTTGTTGTTGCTGCTGCTGGTGGTGTTGTTGTTGTCGTCGTCGTCGTTGTTGTTGTTATCATCGTCTTCATAGCCGTCGTCCTTGTGATCAATACATGTTTTTAAAAGTGATACGGCTACATTACCTGCGTGATTCGCTGTGTCGGTTGCTGGGGCAGTAGCCGGGGCAGTCACTGGTTGAGACCACGCTCTAACACTGTGCTTGGTATGAGCCTGCCTTGCCTGCTCAGAGCGTGCTTGAATCAACTCTAGTTGCCGCTGTGCACGCAACTGTTGCTGTAGAAAATGAGGCACGCAAACACAAACCACAAAACACAAAATGTTCCTCCGCATAACCACTCCAGTTATAACTTGCCTGTAGTGAGGTGAAAAATGAGATAATACACCATTCTACTGCCTTCGCTCTCACTCTTTCACTCTGTGTCAGGAATGAACATTAGGATGTCATGTTGGTACTCATCATGACATGCGTTGGATTACATGTAGATCTACAGTGCTGCTCAGCTATGGAATGGCACACTGCGCCGCTATGGAATGGCACACTGCGCCGCTATGGAATGGCACAGTGCGCCACACTACACTCACACAATCAGATTCTATCGAGCAGCACTATAGATTTAGGTCACAAGTTGGCAGAGCTTTCTTGGCATGACATTTGGCGTACGCAACCTTACTACAGGACTGGTCTACCTACAGGTACAACATTGGCTACAAGACAAACCTCGTTACTAGACAACTATCCAACATCCCCTGGCACCTGAAAAGCATTTACCGTATTTCCCCGATTGTAAGTCGCACTCGATTATAAGTCGCACCCCCATTTTCAGGTTTGAGCAACATTGTTGCGATATATTCACTTCAGTAGTAAGTCACGCTCGATTGTAAGTCGCACCCCCTTTTTACCCTGAATTTTAGTGTAAAAAAGTGCGACTTATAATCGGGGAAATACGGTAGCACTCGTACATACAAGTCCGGATACTAGTACTAGTACATAATACATAATACTCGTTACGAGACAAAAAAAATGCCCCCCCCCCCCCCCCCAGGTTTCTACTAACGAGCGGATAGACCTGTACCTCACTTAATGGTATGGTACAGTTCACTTATGATAGTTTTCAATGGCTTCAACCGGGTCCTACTCTGTAACCACGTATGGCTGAGCACACTCAGGATGGTATTGGTATGGTATTGATTTATTTGAATTCGGTATCTCAACAGTACATTGTACAACTTGGGAAGATCCGAATGATATAGATACATAAACATAAAAGTGGAGTAGGTGCTACAGCGGATCATTTTATCGCAGATTGTGGGACTAAACTAATACCAGTATGCAGGATCAGGAAATTTCCAGTGCTGCTGGGTTAGGTTGCGAGCTCATTAAGAAGTAGTGGACTCAACCAGCGAGCTGAAAGAAAACAAGTACATATGTATGTGTCCATAGAACTGGTCAAATTTTCCCGGTCGACAGCCGTTTCGGAAATGCTGACTCACTTGCGCTGAATGTGTGCAGGCCTTTCTAATGACTACAAAGGCTACATGTACATCACGTCACTCAGTTCCTGCCTTTTGAGGCACGATCGTGATGCTATGACTCTCAGTCTGTCACTCCGTTCCGCGGCACCACGAGAACTTTCGGCCCAGGTAAAACTGGCTTCTTTGGTGAGACTGTGGCATGCGCGGCATACATCATTCTGTATTCAAAGCACAATAATGGCCAAGTGTTTGTCGTACATTGTATTTCAAACACCAGGATGACTCACTGCCCATATCACATGACTAAGATGAGTAATGTGAACTTACCTTTCTGGCTTTGCGGCGTTGCTCCTTCACTTCCAGAATGAGAGCCCCTTCGGGACTGTTGACATCCTTCTCTACTTGCTTGACATCACCATTGGCCAACAGCAGTGAAAACGAAACTGTGTCTGCAGGCTCAGCCAGCAGCAAGCGAAAATTCTCCCGGAGCCTCTCATGCTCTGCCTTCATCTCTTGGAATTCGGCTTCTAACTGTTCATTGGTTTGACACCGGGATATGTAGCGTGTCGGGACGACATCAGTCTGGCGGGGGATGAGAGAAATGTCCTCTTCTTCCTCACTAGTTATTGGTGTCGTGCGGCGGAGATACGAGAGATCAGCAAAGACAGGAGGACTAATCCGTCTTGCGCCACGCTCCCGCGCTTCCAGAAATTTCAAGATGGCCTTGGTCCGTTTCACATCCGGCTCGATCAGGGCATCCTCTAACGTGACATCGTCGCTGACCTCAGGTTCATCTGTGCTGTCAACCTCACTTTTCTCCCCGCTCTTCTCCTCGCTCTTCTCCTCCCTCTTCTCCTTGCTTTTCTCCTCACCCTTCTCCTCGCTCTTCTGTTCGTCGCTTTGGTCACGGGGCATATCCGAATTGGATTGTTCGGCTTGACCGATGGCTTTCGGGAAGACGAATGTTGGCATTTCACCTGGGATTGGAAAGAAATGCCAAGAGTCAAGGGGAATATGGCACAAGTTAACAGTGGTTTGTCCAATAAAACGTGACTCAGCCCCGAACACCCTGCTCTCAACTCCTCTCGAGAAGACATTTTAAAATTTACAAAGCATCGTCCCATATGGTCTACTTGAACCTCCACTCTACTGATCAGAAAAATGAATCACGGTTTGCCAGTCATATTGACGGCATTGGATATCATCGCCAATTGCCCAGAGTCGGCAAAGCGCTGGCAGCCTAACCAAAGAGTAATGTTAGTAATACTGAGAAACAGCACAGTGTAACTGTGCCTGAGCCGCGCAAAGTGTAGGCAGTACATATCTATTTCAATCAGTAAGGAGATCAATGCAGGTAGCACGACTCATGTATCCGTCCTGGGTGCCCAATTTTGCTCACAGGCTCTGATCCGATTCCCGGGGATGTCACGACAAGTTGAGGCTGGAAACAATGTTACTGCCACACGTATACATTATACAGTTCACTTGGGTGCACCCTGGGTGGATCTACTAAAGTCTAGGTAGTGTACTTTCAGCACTTGCTACACTCCTAGTCGGCCAGCCGTACTGCTTCCTTGATCATCATAATCATGATCACTGAACAATGTAGAAATGGTGGGGAAAAACATTTGCTGCATGCATTGAAAGTACTAGTGCTGGCTGTAGCATACTTCCACACAAGCAGTGTGCACTCTTGATTAACGAATACTCACCGACAACATGCGATAGATGTCGCACCGCCATTTCATTTCCGACCCAGGCACTGCGCATCGCAGAAACAGGAGCAGAGGGGATTTCCAGATATCCATGCTTTGCAAATACATCTACACGATTTTAAAAGCAATTTCTCATGCACCGTTTCCAGTTTCCAACTTCAAGACGAACCCTATGCATTTAAGTGGCATCTGATCACACCACATGTATGTTCTCCATGTCAACGTCCTGCAGGCCTGGTGGAACCTCGCTGGACAGACATACTGAACCTTTGGCCATCAATGTGTTCCAGGAAAATGAATTTGAATACTCAGCTGCTGCTGTATAATGTGGCTGAATAATAATTATTATTTTGGCAAAAGGCACGCCTGGCAAAATAGGGCTTGAAAGTGATGACGTCAAAACGGCCAGGGAGTAGTAAGTTGACATCAGATTTCTATTTTTGGATCCACTAAGGTGTGACTTTGCTATTGCCTAAGTATGTGGGTGCATAGCAACCCACTCATGTCGCATGCAGGTGTGACTTTTATTTCGCCACCAGTTGTAACCCCGCCCCCAGTAGCCAAATCAGTCAGTTTCACTGGCTACATCACCATGCTGTGGGTAAGACCGCTTGAAATGTGCTTGGATCCATACAAAAACTGGATCCAAGTGGATCCAGTTTTTGAATTTTTGAAATTGTTGCTATGCTGTGACGTAGCACTTTCAAGCCCTCGAACCCACGCCACCAACCATGCATTGGCCAGGCGCCATACATTAACTGATTGTGGTCAGAACTGATGGTAGTCAGGGGTAATGAGAAGGAGAGCTTTAGTCTAGATTGTAACTAATTACTTTGCAGCTTTGAGAGTGTGTGTATGCAGGCTGCAGGCGTGTATGCAGGCTGCAGGCGTGTATGCTGCGCAGGCTGCAGACGTGTATTTACCACCATTTCACCAGGTGTGTCTTTAGTCTAAAGACACACCTGAGTTTAGACTTTACCACCATCAGATACCAACAAATGTGTTCCCCTTCAACGGAAAGAGTTGTGGCAACTGTAATACAGTGACTACCCGTACCAGTATGTGTGAGTTGAGTCTGTGTACTAGTGTGTAGTGCAACTATGGTAGTTGTTGTTGAAGGTATTGTGCTACCGAACACTCTGGCAGTTACACCACCGTGTTCTATTCGTCAGATGGTCTATCCCAGGTGAAAACTAAGGCGACCTTGCCCGGATGCTCCTGAGAGGGATATGCGCACTGTAACAAGAAACAACGAACTAACTTCATACTCTTGCCTTGCCCTGCATAATCCATATCATGCTACTATTTAGAGAACAACACTAACCCGGCGACCAATTTGATCATACAGTTGAGTTGGTTACGATGCTTGGCGAGTTCCAAATGTTTCCGGTAGAAGGCAGCCGTCAACAGGTCGATCATACGCTCCTTGTTTTCACTGTCTTGCTGCTTGTCGCGCGGGTCCCATTGCGCATCACCCTGGTGCGAAGCTGCTAGTGTGTTATCCGCAGTGGCGGCCTGATCAGCGTCGGTCGCTTTCGCCTTGCTTTGATCAGCGACCAGCTGCTCATACATGTCCTTGTAGTTCTCGTCTTTGAGGATGGCTTGGCGTACGTGCAGTGGCGGCATGATGGAAATCTCACGCGTTTCGCCCTCTTCCCTGTCCACGGTACGCAGTATCTCCTGGATCTCAAAGCGCACATCCTCGACCAGCATCCTGTCGATGTCCTGGACCTGGAAGGGATCTTCCTCGATCTTGTCGATGTCCTGGACCTGGAAGGGATCTTCCTCGGCACTGCTCTCGCTCCCATCACTGCATGGGTCAGAATCTTCGATCAGAGTCGCCATACTTTCTCTCTTTCTTGCGAGATCTACTCTATTGCAACTCGGTGGCAGAGGGAAGCAGGTCGAAGCCGCAAGCGATAAGTAAAACGCAAGGCCAAGGGCTTGGAGAGCCACTGGCGTACAGATATTAAAAAATAGTGGATCGACGGAGACAGTACAAGAGAGAAGAGTTAGTGTAGCAAAACTGGTTGGTAGATCTACTAAACTAAGCTACAACTTACAAGTCTATTGAACAACACTAAAAGTACCGCTAGTAATAGTAGTATAGATAGTTGAACATTTTTTACAAGACAAGTACGAGCAATGCAGCGACGATAAGCGAATCGCCTGTGTGGGTGTATTATAGATTGAGTATGTATGTGAACATGTCTGTGCGCAGGCTGGCATGCCCAAGATTATGTTTGAGGCAGACTACATTGCAGACCACAAAGCTGAAGTGCGCGTTGCAAGTCACGAAGTGCTACACCCGGTACCCGCATCATACTTCATAGTCACGTAAATACGAAGGCGCATGCGTTTGCGAAACCGATGTCAGGACGCGCATGCGCTTAGTATGGCCATCTCCGCGCCGGGCCGTGCTATTAATAATAATTATTATTATTTTTTATGAAACGACTTCTTATCGATAACTGCGCATGCGATGTGGTCGCTGACACGAACTAGTAGTACTACTAGTACATGATGTAGAATCTACAGTAAAACCTGTAACTACCGACCACCCCTTGGTGCCCGGAAAAGTGGTCGTTAGTGGCAGGTGGTCTTTAGTTAGAGGTTTGCACCGCGCGACCATATATGGATCCCATTATATGATATGTATGTCAAAATGCAGATAATACAATCCCCCACCACTTGCGCACTGACATTCTTCTTTCAGATCATACAACACTTGGAGAGAGAGAAAATCAAGTTTTTTATACACCGGAAGCGAGACGACCTTTTGACACGTACATGTACATGTATGTCGACTCACTGGGTTTCCAGAGCAGCGCTGGCCTGGCCAGGCAGTGGACTAGTCACTATCGACTCCATCCTCATCTGTAGCTGTGTGCGACTACACTGGCAACTGGTATCAGTGTGTAGATCTACAGTGGAAACTCAGTCGCTCCGCGACTTGGATGTAGCGAAAACTGTACTGGTGTGTACCATGTACCAGTACGTGATGCGGCGATGTTGCGAGTTTTCGCACCTTCACTGTAGACTATTATCCGCCATCGTATCCTGGCCTGTGTTCCGTACAGGTGAGTGCCGTAGCATGCGAGCTAGCCAGCACAGCTAGTACAGACTGTCAGTGTGACCTGGTGACTGAGCTGTGTGATTGCACTTCGACAGAGAACCGCTCAGTCTTAGTTTCTCCTTCGAGTAGTAACAATTACATCGATCAAAGAGCGCTTTGGATGCGCTCTCCAAGACGTTTCCTATCATGTTTGTTCTTGACAGCACTTGAAATTATGACAGGTGTAGTGCAGTCCACACTGATTCCACAGTAAAAATGAGACTGCGCTCATTTGTCCAGCTGTAGTATCGAAACGACCATGGAAAATCATCAAAATTTCGAGAAGGAGCTTCAAGCAATGCTTGATTTGCTACATCGCGGTCGCTAGTTACGGGTCAAAATTCGACATTGGGACAAGAAAAGGCGGTCGCTGGTCGCGTTCAGCAGGTAGTCGCTAGTCACAGTGCATTTTGAATGTGAGACCGTCCGTGCCTGACAAAGTGGTCGGTAGTACCAGGCCGGTCGCTAGTCACGGTGGTCGTTAGTTACAGGTTTTACTGTACTACATTTTGTAGTAACCCATACTCTAGATTCTACTCTTCTGATTATCATAATAATAATATAATGAGTCTTCCTGCTGTAGACTACCCAAGGTTTTTGTATTCAGGGGAACACAGCCGCATGCTGTGGGTGTGACTACCGCCCGGTATGTGAACTGTGTTATCGTCGTGTGACTTGAAAAAATCTTTTTGTTGACCAGTCATGAATAATAATTATAATTGTTGATTGCTTTAGTTGTAGTAAGAAAGCGTCTGCACCGAACGTCAGCGCTTCCTGCCGAATGACTTCACACTTGACTGTTTGTTTGTTTTCTTTATTTGAATTCGCTAAAACCAAACGGACAGAACTGTCCAGTGACACTGACTCACGACTGCGTCTGGAGCACGCGGGAAGCCCGTCGAACCTTCCACTCGGCAAACCTGCAAGGAATTCACGGTCAAAGTCACTTCCTCCGTATCCACAACCCGCCCTATAGCCGCTGGCGTACCACAAGGATCCCATCTCGGCCCTATCCTGTTCCTTCTGTACATCAACTCTCTCCCGCAGACCATCCCAGATGAGGACCACTGTCAAGTTCTTCTCTTTGCCGATGACACGACCATTGGAACGGAAGTCGCTGCACCTACCACTCCCTCTTCCCAGCATCATAGTCACCCACTCCAAGTTGCCACGGATGCCGCCCTGAAATGGGCCGACTCGGCAGGTGGACGCTTTAACCCCACGAAGTCCTTCCAAATGACGTTCTCCCCACGTACCAACGGACCGGACCCTCCAAACATCGGGCACCTGCGAATGAACCAGGAAGAAGTGCGCGCGGTCGACACGCACCGACATCTTGGCGTGCAAATTGATAGCCACCTCAACTTCCAGTGCCACATCGAAACAATCGCCACCAAATTTCGCCAACGCGTGGTACTACTTGCCCACATGTCGAGCCGCCTAACGCCGGAAGTTACAAACCGGCTTTATACTGGTTATGTCCGACCCACCATTGAATACGCCTCGCCACTGTGGCAGTTCCAACTGTCCGCATCCCAAGCAGCGGTGCTTGAGCGTCTGCAGGCCAGATTGGCACGAGTCGTCTTGATACAGTACGGTGTGTTTCCCTCCGCTACTGAACCGAAGGCATCTCTGTTCGCGCACCTGCAATGGCCCAGCCTGGCATGGCGGCGACACATCCAGTGCCTCCGGGAGCTCCATCACCTGGTCCACCACCAGACCACTGCCCTTATGGAGCTGGGCTATAGTCTCTCCACCAGCGCGCGGCGCCCTCTCCAACTTGTACCGCCTGCCAGGGCGAACAGCTACTCGCGTGCCACCTTCCTCTTTGTTACCGCTGCCACCTGGAATTCTCTCCCCACTGACATTAGAACCACTCAAAATAGTCATTGCTTTGTGTCTCGTGTCCGTACCATCTTTGCCAACACCCGCTTCGAACCCGCTGGTTTCATTCCTTCCAGAGTTTCTATAACATAGTAAAGAATGGTATGGCTGATTTCTACAGCATGCATTTGCTATAACCCTTCCTCTTCTCAATCTATATGTTATAATTGTGCAGATATATTCCCAGTAAGCCATGAACGGAGACCCCCTCGACTTAGGCTAGGCCTTGACAGATTATGCTAGCATAAATTTTCGCATAATTCCTACCAAAATCGAATAATCGCATTATTCGAGGCAAATTGCATACGAATCGCATAAAATTGGACTAATCCGCCTGTTCGCATCAAATTCCATACAGTTGTACATGTTCTACAAGTACAAGTACAAGTAGACACACCAGGAAGGTGTAGGTTTACGACTCCCTTGATAGCATGTCCAGTCCACTACAATCAGTGACCAGGGTGACGGTCATAGCTAGGTCGGACGGTGCGTTGACCCCGTTGAACTTTTGCTACTACAGTACAACGCCCTCTACAAAAAAATTCACCTATTATTTTGCACAGAACCATCATATACATTAGCAGCATATGTGAGCATAATGCCGCATAATATGATAACTTTTCGCATAATAATAGCATAATTCTGCAATTTTTTCAGCAATGCGAAAAGCATAATTTCACGAAAATATTAGCATAATCTGTCAAGGCCTAACTTAGGCCTCGGCCTTTGGGGAATCCATAAATAAAAAAATAATAATAAAAAAATAAAGAAGCACCACTCCCTGCTCAATGATTCAGACTCAGTGTTTCGCGGAATCGAGAACCCCCCCCCCCCCCCCACGTCGTCCCGCTAAGTAGCTCGGAAACCAAGCAAGCGCCGTAGAAGACAAGCCCAAGGTCGTGAATTCTTCTTCTTCTTCGGTAACTACAACTTACAAGTCATAATAAATACCGGTATGAAAATGACTGTGAAAGTACAGTGACTGAGTGTACATGTAGTAGAAACTTAGATCAGTTCAACAGTCTCCGGTTGCAAGAACTGGATAGCTTCTGATGGTTGTGTGAGAATTGCCTCCCTGACTGACGTGAAGGTACATAGACGCGTGTAGCTGCTTAACTGCTGTGTCTGGCAGGGCAAGCTAGCAGGAGGTGGGGTTTTAGCGAATTCAAATAAAGAAAACAACAACATTGAACAACATGAATCCGAGACCTTTGGTCGGAGGAGTTACTTTTGCCCCGCCCCCACTGCCACCGCCCCCGCGCTGTGCAGCAGCTGCGATCTGATGGGTCTGTGGTTACGGTATTCAGTAAAAAAAACTGCACTAAGATCTACGCAGTGGTAGAGGAGACGGCTCGATACCAGGACGTTTTGACAGCCAAATTTGTATAGACCCAAACCGATCATCAGCGTTGATTTTCACTCGAAATATGTTTGTGGAAGGAAACTGGCATGTTGAAGTTTGCTCTGGGGCCAGAGTCAATCGAACTGAGCCATTCCTTTGTGTTGACCCATTGCCTCCAAGTTGCCCAATTTTTCGCTTCAAAAAAGTTCAAATCAGAGGTGGCTCCAAACCGGACACGTTTTAGAGTGCCCGTCAAATTCACTCTGGGTCTGAAATTAGGTAATTGCTATCACTACACGACGGCCAGTACAGAGTAACAATAAGCCTTGTGTGTGCTTCCATTAGTTTTGATTGGTATGCGGTGCTTTATTGGCGAGAGGCGAGCCGCTGTTTACCTGCGACAAGAAATTGATTTTTCGAAAGTCGTAAAACTCAAGTCGCAGTGCGAAGCAACACGTCAAAAACTCACCTGCTTGATATGGCGCTTCTGGTCATCGCAGAGCCATGAAATTTTGGCTCGGAGTATAACACATCGTAGTCTCACTGTGACATATGTTTTCTAATCAAAATACCAAGAGAGAAAGTGAATATTGAGTCCGTTCCGGTTTGCAACCGGTGTCCTATTTGAAACCGTCCCCTCTACACCATGTAGATCTACACTGGTAGTGCTGCTAGCGGCTATGCTCCATCACCACAGAGATTTGGGATGAAGCACGTTTTCCCCTTTTCATCCCCTCGACCGACTTCTCATGCAAACCAGGGAGTAGTAAAATACAGGGAGGTGACACGAGCATGTACGGCCAGTTTGACGATTGCCTCAGCACCGTTTTCACCCGGCGGGTGAGATTGGGGTACTATGGGTACCGAAGTGTGTAGACACGCGCGCGGATCAGGATTCTCTCGATCAGCGAGTAGTAAAATACCTACCGCCAAAGAGACTCCTACTGCAGCCCGTAGAAACTCAGCGCTGAGAATTTCCAACAATTGTCTGCCTTCACAAAGTTTGGTAGTCGACCAAACTACCACTATGTCAGGATAGAAGTCCAGCAAGAGTGGTATCACTTTGGGAGATATCCCTGCGTGCCGTAGATTTTTCCTGTGTCGATACAAGCTGTTTACGACGACGTAGCCCGCATTTCAATCCTTGACAAACTTAGGAACATTTCATTCCGAAAAGTGAACTCCCGAATCTCTAGCATACCATAATATGAAATGCTCATCATCACAAAGAAGGTAGAGAAGTACTGGTTGATCACAACTGAGGAGAAATTAGTGCCGATCGTGTGGTGTCCTAGAGATTTTTTCGACTTCGAAATCGGTGCACTCGCTTTTCATCTCCAATCGTACATGTATTGTTCTCAAGGAAATCACCTTCGTTCTATTGCTCCATGCCGTCGATCGGGACGAATTTCGGAAGGGTGGTACCTTTCCATATGACGATGACACAGATGTATCACCATGATCACAAGAGCAAAACAAATGCTGTTCCATGAGATGGATAGACCTTTTCACGGAATTAGTTCTTCGACAAATACTCAAGATTGACTAGCAGATCATCTTTTTTGCGAAAGAAAAAAAAACAAGCGCGAGGCACCCATCAAAAATCACGATTAGTGGCGTGTCACCTCCCTGTATTTTACTACTCCCTGATGCAAACTGATCTGATTGCCCGCAGGCATGGAACATACAGTACTTGCACTGATGGCTCGTGGACGATGATATGAGTGTGCTCCTGATGGTTGAAAACATTGATGACAATCAAAAGATCCAGTTCTGACTACAGTGACCAGTGCATGCATGCAGCGCAGTGCAACTAGTGCCAGTACAGGATTTACTATGATGACTGGAAGTTTTTGCGACATTGGCTCAATGTTGACGAAAAATGACGCGAGAAAGAGATGTTGCATGATATTGCCGATGGTCCCAGGAGTTCCGATGAAAGGATCGCCGTAATCTATTGTAGCAGAGATGGAAACAAATCTAGTCGCCGTCATGTTTCAGGAACGTAAGTCTATAGCTATTAATTGTATTATAGAAAATTTGAATATTCTGAGTAGAAAGGTTTTTTTTTTAATTTCAAAACTTTCTACTCAGAATATTTTCTTTTGTATACCGGTACTAGTGTACATAGTACATACTTGAAAGAAGTAAAATAATTATCCACTCATTGTCTTGAATTGTTTTTGTTCTACTGAACCACATTAAAATTTTCTTGAGCACAGTAACTCCTTAGAATGTGAATATTTGGAGGAATTAACGTTATTGAGCTTCAAACATTGGGCATGGGATGTGAGGAATAGCAACATGTGCGACCTTTGCGGCCACTGGACCAGTAGTTAACACCCTGGTGACCCCTATCTCTTGATTCTGGACACCATACACATCCACAGAATGTTGAAGAGAGACTACGTTCTGAAACAATGTGTAAGAGTGCAGGAAAAGTAGAGACTGTTTGAAAGTTAACACTACTGTACATCCCGCCAGAGCGCGTCTCTCCCATGCGCCCCTCCCTGAATTCTTGCCAGGAATGTGATAATGATTGTATCAACGTATGACTCTGTGAAGTGTGATGCCGTACTGCACTGCAGACGCGTGCTCCGCCCGGTTGGAAATGTACGCAGCAGTTCACCAGGGATCGCACCAACCCTGGGTTTTGAAATTTTTGTACGACTCCCTGCTCTTGGCCTTTGGTCGGTGTACGAGGCGCACGCACAGTTTCCATAGGGTGAGTACTTGTTCATGTAGTGTGTGAATGCGGCAATGACTCACCCATTCGCCCCTCCTCACCTGCACCTACTGTAAGTCTACACATTTTCGGTGCGTATAAATTTCGGCCTCCCAGGGCTAAAACACGTTTCAGCCGCATGAAAATTCCGGCCTGTACTGCTGCTGCCTGTATACACTGTCACATTGAACAGTGCAAAACAAAACTTCAATATAGCCGAAAATAAATATGCGCCGAATATTTGTTGACTTACAGTACTGGAAGGGCCACGGATGTAGGGGTGCTCTGGCAGGATTTTACGGTACTGGTCCGTGGAAAGGTGTTAGGTGAAAAGTGTGAGAGCAGTGACGTGCTACAAAAAAAACAAATGCATACGTCTGGGTCTGGGTTTGTGTTTTGTGTTACGCCAGTAGTGTTCGTCAGCTTCATGTCTTAGAAGCCATCTTCATATACCTACGCAACCCAGAACTACAACTTATATGCATTCAGCAAGAACATACCACTGCCCTCACACTTTTCACCTAACATAACACCTCTACACACACCGGAAGATAACGTCAACCAAGTTTTGACAAGACCAACCTGAACTGTGTCCAGCTTTTGCACTTGCTAGGTTTTTAGAGGAGCTTATATTGATCAAAATTAATAATCTACGTGGAGACGATACGTAAAGTTTTTTTTTATAGCATTATTTATTTTTGATCGATCATGTTTGTTGCTGCTGTGTTTCAGGGAACTGCTTCTTGCAGCTGAGTCAGTTAGGCATGAACTTGCACAACACAGAACTGGACTGGTAAGTAGCTGAGCACTGTACATCAATAGTCAGTACGCACTTGCTCCCAGTTAGTTCGTACTGCTTATTCAGCCCCCCCCCCCCCCCCATCGAAGATGGTTGTAGTGTACATGTAGTGAGGAGGGCTATCTAGTCAGGGAACGCTATACGGATGTTCACGCTACGGTGCTTGGAGGCGACTTACACGACGGCAGTGTATCCCACATCGCTCCGAGAGCTTACCGTGACGTGGGAAAAATGAAAAGCGATTCACACGGCAGGACGCACGTACATGCAGGGTACATCCCGGGAACAAACTAACGTCTAGTTCGTGTAGATTTTGATGATGGAGGAAAGGGAATTGTCTGAGCATGCAAAGCTGTGCGGCCAATTTCTGCAGGCTTCACAGTGTTCTGTGCCCCCTGTATAGCGTGACTGTGGTCACCGCCGGAAAAATGGCAGTGAAGACGGAGTGCTGCCGAAAGTCTCTTGTCCTTCGAATTTGTCTTTCAAATCGTTTAGTCCCCTTGTTCTTTTTGGCATTGTGAACGATCTGCCGTTGTCAAGCTTGCAAGGCGCTTCTGAACTCTGTGCCTCTCTTCCAAAAGAGGCACACACATGTACATTATCACGACTGATGCTCGTGACTACTCTCCTATCAACGTGCAACTGCAGGACAAATCCGAAATCGGAACTACAGCAGTACTACAAAAAGTCCACGGAATGCCACGGCATGCCATTTCCACCCCCACCTCACTGTACTGGGATCGTGCTGGGATAGCTTGCGGGATGCGTTTGCGCCAGGGCTATCATCAAGGCTGTCACTCGTGGCACGTTTTGTTTTCTGCTGTACCAGGTTGTCGGAGTGTACTCCCCTGCCGACCTCTACTTGCCATCGTGTCTCTTGGGGTAAGTAAGTTCATTTGATTTTGAGTTGTTTTCAGTGCTACATGTTGCAGGACTACAACCAGTGGAGAAGTGTGTTTGTTGAGCATGAACATGTTGGCAGACTACTGTTGACTTGAATTTAACTCTCAGATCACTGATGGCTGTGGAATGCATGCCCTTACCACTGTAGTGACCTAGTCACAGTTAGTAAGTTGAAATTTCTGTCTTGAGCGTCATGTGGCGAGATGTTACCTATTATTTTGTAGTAGCATGGTACGGGACCATTGATTTGTGGATGTTTATGTACATGCGTGTGCGTGTGTGTGCGTGCGTGGGTGTGTGTGCATCTTCATGTGTCAACCACAGCATCCTTCAAGCAGGGCTTGCATTCCTGCCCATCGATCTAAGCCTTCCCCGTGGAAGGAGGTTATCTGTGGCAAATCATTTCTCAGTTTGCTATTTCATTGTCAAGTCATCCCTTATTCAGGTGAGATGCTGCTTGTGTTGGCTCAATCTTTAGTAAAAAAATACTGTTTATGTTGATGAGAAGTATTTAACTGCAGTGCATTTGTGTCAATTTCTCCATTTTGATGCTGTTGCCGAAGAACAGCTCTGGCCCATTCTCTGTTGTGGTGTACGATGAGTGTTGATGTGTGCTGGAATAAGCATAATGATGATGATTATGATGATGTGGAGAGCAAGCAGTTATTGTCCCTCTACCTCTGCAGGATGGGTTAGTCCCAATGCCAGTATACTGCAGGGCGGCAATGAGGGCGAATCTGTGTGTGTGTGTGTGTGTGTGTGTGTGTGTGTGTGTGTGTGTGTGTGTGTGTGTGTGTGTGTACATGTGTGTATGTGTATGTGTGTGTGTGTGTGTGTGTGTGTGTGTGTGTGTGTGTGTGTGTGTGTGTGTGTGTGTGTGTGTGTGTGTGTGTGTGTGTGTGTGTGTGTGTACATGTGTGTATGTGTATCTGTTTGCTGCATGCATGTATGCATGACCTCTGTTTGCTGCATGCATGTATGGATGACCTCTGTTTGCTGCATGTATGGATGACCTCTGTTTCTCCGTTGCCAGGAGTTCTCCTCTCTAGCCAATATTCCATCGGCGTGCATACTGCATCAATCTTACTGCTGCTTTGGTAACTATTGTGTCCTGAGCTATGCACCGGACCAGCAGCAGCAACGTTCACAGAGTGCTTGCTCTTCCTGTGTCAAGCCAACACTGCATTGCAGTAGTAGCAGTGGCCTGAACACTGCCAACCAAGACCAGAACCCAGCATCACCTTCATCGATTGAGGTCATGGCTGATGTTGCTAAGTGCCATGTGCCCAATGAGCCTGCAGCCAAGAAACCGAAGTTGGGGTCAGATAGCGAATATACAGCAGCAAACCAGCATGCTGGCGATAGTTTCACTGCTACTGCTTGCACCTGTGATGTTGCCAATGGTGCTGATGCGGATGGCGATGACTCGGATGCTATTGACAAGCAAATTGCCTATGTAATGTGTACATCAGGGACAACTGGTGCACCGAAAGTTGTGTCAGTTCCTCACCAGTGCATCGTGCCCAACATCCACCACTTGAGGTATGTACATTCTACGGTGGGATAAGCACTGTGTCCTGGATGTTCAGACCATGTTGCTGCTCACTACTTTGGAGTGCATGTCGTTATTTTCTTGTACATGTACATGTAGGTGAATATGCAATGAGTCCGGTCAACGAGACTGCTGATTTGCTTGCTTCTGTTGCTGATGACTTATGATGTGCATACATGCAGCTCCTGTGGAATAGTCCATGTGCAGCTTGTGTATATACGCCGTTGTCTGCTGTTGTGTTGTTTGATTGCAGCAAGACCTTTGGACTTGGAGTGAGCGACACTCTTCTTGTGTCGTCTCCGTACACGTTTGACCCGTTCATTGTGCAGGTCAGTACATGAACATACACGTCCACATTAGTCACTGTAGAACCAGTCTCGTATGCGAAGCTTGATCCGTTCATCCTCGCTGGTTTGTGCCATGCCACCAGCCACATTGAAACTTAGATACTGAAATGTTCAGTCCTGGCCCATCATCAGGGTTCAGGGTGAACCATTATCCAAGAGACCACTGTTTGAGTGTTTGCCGTTTGAGGAAATCTAGTGCGTACATGGCTGCAATGGAGTCTGCGAGTACATGTACTGAGAAATATTATGCAGGGCCCTAATTACTCTATTAAAAGTCCATAATATGCTCTCTTCAGAGTTTTGGGGATTTTGGCTCCCCCTCTACTAGGTGTTGGAGAGCACAACCGGCTTCTCTACCGCTTGTATTGTTATTGCCTTGCCGGTGTGTTGCTCGTACCCTGCTCCGGGAAAGATCACGTTGCGTCCGTGCGTCGTTTTCAGATTTTCCTCGGTCTGCGCAGCCGTGCAACGCTGGTGATGGTGTCACAAGATGTCCTGCTGGCACCCGAATACCTTCTCCGTGTTATTATGGATGAATCGGTCACAGTCTTTCAGGTACTTTGAAATAACAGTTACATGTATGTGATTGTTTTATCAACTTTTATGTGAGCCTTGCTTGATATTTCTTCAAAGTAGGTGCAGTGATGCCACCACATTATGATTTCCATACAGTGTGTCCTCCGCCTTGTGCCGTCTTCATCATAGTACATGTTTGTACCGGTTACCTCAGAACATGTGAGTGCATTTGGATTTCCAATTTTCCAAGTACATGTAGTCTAGCGAGTGCCTTTTTTTTTCTTTTTCTGTCTTCCGGTGCGCTATTAAAAGTGGAATGTAGTTTTTGTGTACTTCAGTGGTCGATTTGAGCTCCAGTCTTTGTGTGCCATATCTATCGCTTAGTTCTCCTGTGCAATTTGGTTGCTCTGCTCCTGTGCTGTCTGCAGCCAACCCCGTCGTTGTTTGCTAGGTTTTCAACGGATCAGATGCGAAAGGTTTGTTGAAAAAAGGCAGCATTGTACAGCTATCCGTGTCGATCGCGTGTATTCATAAGATGTTATGTTAACCCATGTTTATGAGCGTTTGTGTGTGTGTATCCATACGCTGCTATGTCAACCTGTGTTTGTGGCCTTGAGACGTTTTGTGTAGTGTTGAAACGATCTCACCGGATACTCGTTAGCTCGCTCGCCAGAAACTCGGCTCGTTTGTGCGGCCAGCTCGTTTGCACTAACGAACACCGTACACCGTACACATGGCAGTACATGTCGACCGGGGAGTCGTAAAATATTTTACGACTCCCTGGTCGATTGAGAGTCCAGTCCCGAGCAAAGTGAAAATCACTCGCAGTTAGGGCCCGGTCACACATGCACTGGGATTCGCTTCGGCGACGAGGTTCGGCGGCAGCGAGCCTGGTGTTGCTCCAGCGAAACCACGTGTGTATGGTCCACACATACAAACAGGGCACAACTCCTACTTTGGCGGAAAATGAGACTGTGGTGCATACGGTTCGGAGAATAGACGAGGTCAATGACTATCTTGCACGCATTTTTGTTGCATGGACATCATACGCATACAAATTTCTCGTAGCAAGTCCATATACAGCAGACCGTGGTGTTTTCCGCTGAAGCGAATCCGCAGAAGCGACAACCTCGCTTTGAAAATTTTGGAGGAAGCGGATTGGAGTTTCCGCTTTTCGCCGTTGCCATGCCATTTTTCGCTCCTGCGACCTCGCTTCAGCGTATACGCTACTTTCGAGTGCATGTGTGACCGGGCCCGTGTGACCGGGCCCTTAGGGCCCGGGCCCGTGTGACCGGGCCCTTAGGGCCCGGTCACACATGAACTGGGATTCGCTTCGGCGATGAGGTTCGGCGGCAGCGAGCCTGGTGTCACTCCAGCGAAACCACGTGTGCATGGTCACACATGCAAACAGGGCACAACTCCTACTTTGGCGGAAAAATGAGAGTTAGTGGACTGTGGTGCATACGGTACGGAGAATAGACGAGGTCAATGACTATCTTGCACGCATTTTTGTTGCATGGACATCATACGCATACAAATTTCTCGTAGCAAGTCCATATACAGCAGACCGTGGTGTTTTCCGCTGAAGCGAATCCGCAGGAGCAACAGTCTCGCTTCGAAAATTTTGGCGGAAGCGGATTGGAGTTTCCGCTGAAGCGGAAGTTCCGCTTTTCGCCGTTGCCATGCCATTTTTCGCTCCTGCGACCTCGCTTCAGCGTATACGCTACTTTCGAGTGCATGTGTGACCGGGCCCTTACAGGTGACTGTATGCCTGCACGACACTTGAGTTGTTTCAGTTGTCGTTGCAGCTTTAGTGGACTCTACTGATGTCTTGTTCCGCATCTGCTGACCTGTCGCAGGATATGCTTCGGTCACCTCTCCATTCGAGTGAAAGTTACGCTCAGTCGTTTGGAAGTGTTCTCCCGCGATGCAGCGAAGACCAGGGCTACTTGCAATCTTTGCAAAACGGTCTATTCTTACAAAGGCTAATCGACGACGGCGCTGAAAAGACATCTCGACACCAAACAGCAGTCCGAAGTGAAGCAGCAGCAACCCCAAATGCGGGCGGTGATAATTTGAACCAGCTGAAAAAAATCGAACGTACAACATTTTATAGAAAAAATTGCACTTGAAAACACCGCCATTCCGGCAACAGGCTCTCAGCTGCACCAAATAAAAAAATTAGAAAAAAATTAGAAAAAAAAATCATATTTGCCACATCAATGAAACTCGTTAGCTCGCTCGATAGCTTGCTCGTTAGTGGAACTGATCGCTCGTTTGTTATAGATACGCTCGTTTCAACACTAGAACTTTTGTGTCTCCTACCTGTCAGAAGCGCTTGACTGCTTGACAGCGGCAATGACAGAAGAAGGGGCAAAGCAGTCCACTGGACATTTTTTGAAAGTCACAGCAAGCTGAGATGTACATGTAGGCAGGAAAAGCCGGCTCATTGCCGCTGACATCTGAATTCGTCTCGGTGTCTTCTGAACAATTTTTGTTCTAATCTACCGGTACCACATTTTCAGCGACAGTGTCCTTTCATGCAAAAGCCTATGATTACACGATCATGCAGGACTTTGTGTGTTGTGAGCTGAACAGTTTGCATGGGAGGGTGATTGTCATGGCCGTGTCTGCGGGCTGCCCATCGTGTGAATGGCCTACAGCATACAGTTGTTGAGTCTTCTGAACATGAGAAACATCATAAGGTGTCATACGGGAACGCAAGAAGCTATAATATGTAAGGGGTGCAGGTTATATGCAGGCGAAGGGCTGTGCGACTGCGGGAAAACAGTGTACGGGAGATGGGGACATAACACCACAATGTAGACTTGTAGTTAGGTCATTGCTGGCTACCAAATAGCGGGCATATCGTGCTACTCGTGCTGTGAGCTGATCTGATGGCTGCAGTGCAGTGTTTTTACTCTGTGCTGTTTGTCTTTTCCGCCGTGCTTGAACAGATACTATCTCCATCATCTTGCCTGCGTGTTCTAGCTTTCGGTGGTGAGTTGTGTCCATCGCCGGCAGACCTCAGGAGCATCAAACATGCCGATGTATGTGTTTTTGTTGTCTTGTTAAATTTTGTATCAATTACAATAATCTTGTACTTCGAAGTATCAATATTGTGATAGTCCTTGTTTACATGTACATGTATGGATGGCACCTTACTGCCGATAGGACCACTTTTGCTTACCAGCCAAAAAATGCATGTCTACTTATAAGTGTAGTACCTGTAAGACATGTTATTATAACGAGTCGCAAATTTAACGATTGTCCAAAATTCATAGGTTAACGAGAGGATATGTTAACGATCTTGCAGTATTCTGCCATATCCACACACAGCATATATGAAGCAGTACGGCCTCAACGGATCTTATTATAACGAAGAAATGTCATCCGTTAAAACGTTAGATTTGCTTCCTCGTTATATACATGTCTTACAGTATTCAAACCACTCCTGAAGATGGGCATGGGCTTGGTATGTGAAGATCCAGTCGCACTGTGTCTTTATAGCTTGCGGCATTCCATGAATGCATGCTTCTTGTTTTCTCAAGCACAGTCAAACCTTCTGTTCCCCTGTTTTGTACATGGGTGGCTTTGGACGCAGCGAAATCACGCTGGAACCTAGTAAGGTTAGATAGTCTGATTAGATGCACACTTGCTTAGTATGGTCATTGACCGGGGCATGGGTGTGTTTAGTATGGTCATTGACCGGGGCATGGGTGTGTTTAGTATGGTCATTGACCGGGGCATGGGTGTGTTTAGTATGGTCATTGACCGGGGCATGGGTGTGTTTAGTATGGTCATTGACCGGGGCATGGGTGTGTTTAGTATGGTCATTGACCGGGGCATGGGTGTGTTTAGTATGGTCATTGACCGGGGCATGGGTGTGTTCAGTATGGTCATTGACCGGGGCATGGGTGTGTTTAGTATGGTCATTGACCGGGGCATGGGTGTGTTTAGTATGGTCATTGACCGGGGCATGGGTGTGTTTAGTATGGTCATTGACCGGGGCATGGGTGTGTTTAGTATGGTCATTGACCGGGGCATGGGTGTGTTTAGTATGGTCATTGACCGGGGCATGGGTGTGTTTAGTATGGTCATTGACCGGGGCATGGGTGTGTTTAGTATGGTCATTGACCGGGGCATGGGTGTGTTTAGTATGGTCATTGACCGGGGCATGGGTGTGTTTAGTATGGTCATTGACCGGGGCATGGGTGTGTTTAGTATGGTCATTGACCGGGGCATGGGTGTGTTTAGTATGGTCATTGACCGGGGCATGGGTGTGTTTAGTATGGTCATTGACCGGGGCATGGGTGTGTTTAGTATGGTCATTGACCGGGGCATGGGTGTGTTTAGTATGGTCATTGACCGGGGCATGGGTGTGTTTAGTATGGTCATTGACCGGGGCATGGGTGTGTTTAGTATGGTCATTGACCGGGGCATGGGTGTGTTTAGTATGGTCATTGACCGGGGCATGGGTGTGTTTAGTATGGTCATTGACCGGGGCATGGGTGTGTTTAGTATGGTCATTGACCGGGGCATGGGTGTGTTTAGTATGGTCATTGACCGGGGCATGGGTGTGTTTAGTATGGTCATTGACCGGGGCATGGGTGTGTTTAGTATGGTCATTGACCGGGGCATGGGTGTGTTTAGTATGGTCATTGACCGGGGCATGGGTGTGTTTAGTATGGTCATTGACCGGGGCATGGGTGTGTTTAGTATGGTCATTGACCAGGGCATGGGTGTGTTTAGTATGGTCATTGACCGGGGCATGGGTGTGTTTAGTATGGTCATTGACCGGGGCATGGGTGTGTTTAGTATGGTCATTGACCGGGGCATGGGTGTGTTTAGTATGGTCATTGACCGGGGCATGGGTGTGTTTAGTATGGTCATTGACCGGGGCATGGGTGTGTTTAGTATGGTCATTGACCGGGGCATGGGTGTGTTTAGTATGGTCATTGACCGGGGCATGGGTGTGTTTAGTATGGTCATTGACCGGGGCATGGGTGTGTTTAGTATGGTCATTGACCGGGGCATGGGTGTGTTTAGTATGGTCATTGACCGGGGCATGGGTGTGTTTCTACATACAGTACTGACGGGCACCGAAGAACTGGGGGGGGGGGGGTCAGGATTCTAGCCTAGCCCGTTCTTATTTTTAGCGAACACAGCAGTTTCGTTCTTATTCGATGGCACAGTCTTACATGTACAGCTATGCAGAGTTCTACGTCTGAGTGTACATTATAGTGTACATTACGATTTCCGTTCTTATCTGCAAAAAATCCAGCCCACACCGTTCTTAAAAATTGGTGAAATTCTAGCCTGGCCGTTCTTCAGCACCCGGCAGTACTGTGTTGGTGTATGTTTGGATCGGAAGTACCTCACACAGTATGCTTTCCTGTTACCAATGCGGGCATGTCTTATCAAAGCTGCACTGTATGTCGTTGGCTTTCGTCCGATGTGTTCTGTTTGCCTGGCGCAGAATAGCACGCGGTTGTATGACCTATACGGCATCACAGAGGTGTCATCCTGGGCTAGCTGTCATGCCATAGATGTGCAACTGCCAGCTCGGAACTTTACATTTGGTAAGGCATGTGTGAAGTTTTAGCGTTACGTGTATTTGTGATGACGAGGAGGAAAGTGATTCGTGGACTTTACTCTCTTCACTCTCTCAACAAGGGCTATTTGTTGCTACATGTACTGTAGTATTAATCCTTGATGGTTCATGCCCGCACAACAGCTCAACTACTCGGAGAAGTCCAGGAGACCAACATTCATCAAAGTCTATCCTTTCATAGCAACATGAAGTTCGACCAGGCCAGGCTCAAACGAGTACAGGATCACAGCACAGCAAACTGGGGAAAGGGCGTGCTCACTAGAACTTGCGCAGCACTGAGCATGATTACGTTTTTTTAAAGAAATGTTGTCATGTGTGCAAACTCCAGTTTCAGTTTATTTCACACATATGCATGTACATCATGGTGGTCACCACGGCTGTCTCATGCATGCGAGTAGTGGCCGTCCGAAATGGCGTCCAGAAATTTGAATTTTCAAATCTGGTACGCCCGTCGTACCTGAAAAATAGCATCATTTTAGAGTATTTCGATTGTTTTCAGACCCATTTTCAGCGTTAATCTTAACTTTCCCGCAGAAAAATTGGTGTTTGGGCAAGGAGAAACAACGGCCTTCTTCCTGACATCGCACTCGAGAAAATCCGAAAGTGTTCTGTCTTTCTTGAGGTCGCGCATGGCGGAAACGTAGTTCCCCGAAGATGTTGTGATTGTCTACAACACCGACGTCTCTGTACACCTTCGTGGAGTTTTCTGAGCCTGCTGGGCAGTTTTGTAGGCTGCTCCTGGCCTTTTTTTATCCCCTTTGTTCATGACTTCTTGAGTCCCGCGCAGCGGAACTTGGTCCCGTACGATATCTTTTGTGGGCAGTCATGGATGAACATTTGTCCATTTTGGACTCAGTTTGTCGTGTTGGTGGTGCGACGTTCACTAGTCTAGGTCACAGCATACGCTATAGTACTCAACAATATAAACAACAATTAAAACAAGTTCACCAGATCGACATCACAACAGACAAACCTGATACACACCCTAAATACATATGTTCGCTATGCCAACGTGCACTGGCAAGGAATGCATCTGGCACACAGCGTTGTGGAGGTGGTTGTGGGTCACCAGTCACATGGGAAGGTCACAAACGTGTTGGTTGCACTGTCTGTAAGTTGTATCAACAACGCTCAAAGGGTGGAAGGCCGCCGAAGAAGAAGACCAAATTGCGCGGCGCAGCCTTACCAGACACGGGAACCAGCCAGGCTACGGCAGTACCAACGCAGGTAAGTGTGGTCAAATTTGGATGTGCAAAAAGCAACATGTCAGAGCCTAATGGATGTAATCCTTTTTTCTTTTCTTTTTTCAATTCTCTGTATTCATAACAGGTCCCAGCCACAGCCACGGGGGTCAAGACTCGCACCGTCGAACAGCCGGCATCATTAATGCGTGGCGCAGCTACAGCCGAACAGACTACCAGTGCCGAACAGTCTGTATCAGAATCACAGTACACAACAGCAGCCACACCAGCTCCCTGCGCGCAGCAGTCCGCATTGGCTACGCCCAGTACAACCGTTGTCGGTGAAACAGCAGCAGACACTCAGGTATACAAACAGAAATTGATGAAACAAAATCCGGGATGAACACACACGCGCGCACACACACACATACACACACACACACACAAACACACACACACACACACACACACACACACACATACACACACACACACACACACACACACACGCACAAGCACACACACACACACACATGCAAGCGCGCGCGCACACATACAACACAGTGTTCAACGGCAGCAGACATAATAATTATAGCATCAAAATCAATGCTTGTAGGCACCTATACAAATGAAGAGAATTCAGTCGAGTCCTGCACATGCAAATAACCATTTTCAGCAGTAGTATGTTGCAGCATTCGATGAAACACAACTGTGTGCACTACTTTTATCTCTGTACAGATCTTTGCAACGGTCACGGCAAGCAGTGCCTCACAGCAGCAGCCGCCAGCACCACATGAGCCCGAGATATCTATCGACACACGCGCATCAGTATCCACACAGGTGCGTATCTCGTGCATTGAACATTTCAGATCTCTGTTATAGAGCAGTCTGTGTATCCAATCCAACCAGGTCATAAAACTAAAACAACAATTGTCAGATTAGATAGTGGAGATAGTACAGAAAAGAAATGAGCTTCGCAATGGACTGAATTTAAAAAAGGGAATGATAGAGCAAATGGAGCTGCATGTGGCAAAATTCCTTGCCCACCACAGTAGTCAACAACGTGGTATTTCTACTTGTTTATTGGCGTCGTTGCAGGTGTCTACGCCACCAGCCCAGCAAGGACTGCAGGTGTCTACACCACTAACCCAGCAAGGACTGACACGTCCGGTCACCAAATCGGCTACAATCGCTCAAGTCCGGGATGCATCACCATCTAAGCTCCGCGGTGATACTGCTGACAGGCTGCTTGGCCACCTGGTTTCCGCTCGTTCTGACTCAGGGAAGCTGGAGGTGAAGCGAAGTGAGCGTGGCAGACCGCAGGTATAATATCAAAGGCTTACATTCGCTGGCACATCTTCCGAGGCAGCCAGTGAACGTACGAAGAGACGGCGAACAGCGGAACTGAGGTCGCTCACTGAGTCTGTATGTATGTGGTGGAAGTGCCGGCGCCAGTGCCCAGACTGTAACAATTCTTCGCAGGATGAGCAGCGACGAGCAGATGGATCTCCTCGGAGAGGCTGGGTTGGCACCACATTCGCCCAAGGCTGGAATTGGCTTGGCCATCAAAGCCAACCTCATGCTCCCGTGGAACCAACTTAGGAAGCTGTGGCAATGGCTTAAGCAGTACGGAGTCAAGTTCGAGTCAGAACGTAAGATGCGAACAATACTGGCAGCAGCCCTTCCGCCCAACACGGCCAAGGACGTGCCAATGGTGGTGAAAAAGCAGATCGCGCTTGCACCAATAGTGTACATGCCCAGCTTGGAGGCAGTCATCAACCACTACCTCCAGCTGTACAAGGATCGTGACCTGACATGGCACGATGGTGCAAGACCGGAGAGCGAGGTTTTGGATAAAGCTGGGCGGGGATCATGGCGGCGACTCGTTCAAGTTCTCCATGCAAGTGGCCAACCTGCAGCACCCCGGCTCACCGGACAACACAGTACCGTTGTGTGTCTTCCACGCAAAGGACACGCCAGCGAATCTGGAAACGGCACTCGGTATGTACCGCGATGAGGTATCGCACCTTATCTCACATGGCAAATGGGAGGGGAAGCGGCTCGTCCTCTTCATCTTCGGAGACTACGAGTTTCAGTGTAGTATGTACGGGTTGTCGGGACCAAGTGGCCTACGTCCGTGCTTACATTGCCACTGCAGGAAGAAATCCATGGAGACGCCAGTATCGCACAGAGAGCCTGAGGACAGTGTACCCCGCTCCCTGGCCACCCTCAGTTACAACCTGCTTAAGTTCATCGCAGACGGGGAGAGATCACCAGACGCCAAGGTACACAACAACGTCATTCGTCCGGCAATCCTTCCTGTGCCACTACCCAACGTCATCGTGCCAGTCCTCCATCTGGACTTGGGCATATTTGCCTGAATAGGATGTTTGATGCCATGCTGAAAGACCTGCGTGAGCTGGACAAGCTCCTGGCCAGCAAAGCCCCATTCTGCTGCTGGAGATAGCGACGCTTTCGGACGGCTATCTGGCCTCTATCGCGACCATCACGACGCAGAGAAGCAGATAGCAGCAGCGCCTGAACAGGCCTCTGGTTACCAGCAGCAGCTGAACTACGTAGCACTGTATGCCAACAACCAGGGCGTTACTGGCGAAAACTTGGAGTTCATGTGTGAACAGATCCGAGCGGAGTGGCAGAAGGCCAATGACACAGTGGTGGAGATGACAAATGCAAAGGAGGGCATCTCGCAGCAGATACTTGCCGCAACTGCTGACAAAGACATCTGTGGGCCTTGCGAATCAGCAGTCGAACCTGTGCTGCAATCCCACAATATCAAGCGCCAGGTATATCACGGAGGTGCATTCATCGGCAACTACGTGCACCGCGCACTTCAGCCCGCTGTCCTGGAGTCAATTGCTGCTGGTCCCATCTCCGTCATTCAGGAACGCTGGCCCGACCTGATGGATGATGCCAGCGTTGTCCAGCTGCGCTACATGACGCTGCTGGACGAGTACAGGAAGTGTACTTCTGCCTTTGGCCACTGCAGGAAGGTAAACGTGACTCAATAATTATAACAATTTATTCCCTGGGAGCTTTTTCGTCTGTTCCAAGCCATCAAATTCCATTATCCACAATTCCACATGATTCCACTTTCGATGCAAGTACTCTGTATTTGATCATGAACATTTGATCCAGAGCTGATATTATGTGCTATTATTTTATTCCAGGTCACACAAGTAGAGCTTGAAAAGCTGGAATCCAACATCAGGACCTTCCTTAAGTCAGCACGAAAGGAGGTGGTCGACCGAGGGCTTGGCCATGTAACGCCGAAGCTTCATCTTCTGGAGAGCCACACCGCTCCGGCAATGGAGAGTCTCGGAGTAGAGCTCAGTCTGCTGGCCGAGCAAGGAGCAGAGAGCATCCATGCGGAGTTCAACACTCTTGAGCGAAGGTGCCACCAGATTCCCGCTCTTCTGCAGAGGCTGAAAGCTATGGCTGAGCAGTGAGCAGCATCTGTCCCGAACCTTGCCTCAAGCCATTCAGCGTCCCACGACAAAACGTCGCCAGTCGACATGATCTCTGGCAAATATCGTGAGTAACCAACTTTACTTGCTCTCTCTCTCTCCCTGTCTCTCCCTGTCTCTCACTCTCTCTCTCTCTCTCTCTCTCTCTCTCTCTCTCTCTCTCTCTCTCTCTCTCTCTCTCTCTCTCTCTCTCTCTCTCTCTCTCTCTCTCTCTCTCTCTCTCTCCTGAACTCGAATGGATTCCTTTTTCTGCGGCGCAACTCTTCATAGGAATGTACTCGGGTGTGCAGTCGCTCTACCTACACGCCTGACATGAGAACATGTATTTCTTTGCTTTCTCCATCTTTCTGCTCTACAGGCACACAGCTACTTGACCACTTTCCTTGTCATCGATATCGCGATGCACCGTCAAGATTCAACAAAGAACTGAACAAGAAGGCTTTGTTGTTTGAAGTTTCCAGCTCGCGCTGCTTTGATCTATTTGGTTTTTACCTGCTTTGCCGTATGTTTTTTCTCATTATTCCCTCCATTCTGTAATAATTCCACTTGTATTGGCAATTTCCTGTGTAAAATCCCATAAACGCGATTTTCAACAAAAATCGCCGCCATATTGTTAGATGGCCGCGTACGAACAGCCGTGTCATAGGCACATACATTATAGTTGGCAAAGAGAGTGAAGCATTCAGAATAAAGTTCTACGGTTCCTTGCCGTAATTACATGCTGGTCCTCCTCGCGTAAGCTGCATTGCCATTTATTATTTGTGACGTGCTTCGTTGATACGGAGGTTTAGAGCATAACAAAATTCGCGTTCGAGTTCGCAAACATTTTTCGGTTCGCGAACTGGGTCACGGACTTTCACATTTTTCGTTCGGAAAAGTAGTCGAAACGCGAATCACGGATTCGTGTCAGGACAGTCATAAATCTACTACGCTATACTGTCTGTACACATGTACACATGTACACATGTATGATATGTCAACATCATGCTTGTGCGAATTCTGTTTGCTAATCCTACATCCTCATCTTAACGCGAATTTGACTTTCACTGGAGTGCGAACACGAATGCGGAATTCGTCTTGCTGAACCTCCATAATGTTGAGCGGTGTCGTTTGCCATTTTCTTCATGCTCAGTCTTGGCTTCTATCTTTTCAATTATTCTCAGCACCAGAGGACCTTCTGGAAGGCACTGAATTTGAAGTTCGTTGTTGCAACTCTGGAATGCCCTTATCGGCTGGCAAAGGGCAGCTTTGGCTTGGTAGGTACTATGACACATTTGCCTTCCACTTGCCTTCCACTTGCCTTCCACTTGCATTCACTCATCGGTGTGCAACCCCTACTACCATAGGTTCTCTGCTGCGTTCAGACTGAGTTCAGAACCGCACCGCTTCAATACGTCAATCCAGTCCACGCCTACCATTGGTGCATGTGTGTGTGTGTGTGTGTGTGTGTGTGTGTGTGTGTGTGTGTGTGTGTGTGTGTGTGTGTGTGTGTGTGTGTGTGTGTCCTGGCCATTACTAATGTACGGCAGTGTGTGCTCCCGTGTGTCCTGCTTCACTACTTCCTTCCCATGCATCCATGCACACACACTTATGTTGTCCAGGTGGATATCGCCGTGTATGCGTGTTGTCCGGGGAAGATGAACTGACGGCAGGTGTGTTTCGCAACACCGGCGACTTGGCTTGTCTCAACGCCGACGGGTCTGTTACGGTGTTGGGTCGAAGTGATCGTCAGATCAAGCGCAACGGCCAGCGCATCAATTTGGACGAGCTTCAGGAGGTAGGTGGAACTGTTTAGCGGAGCATGTCTGAGAAGATCAGAAGGTTGTTGGCTAGTTGATCTCACCGATTTTGCTTTTATATTTCCAGGTAGGTTTCTTTGTGGTCTCGTACAACAACCATGCAAAAGGATTCGTTGCACAACTTCGGGGCACCTTAGAGCTGGGCTACAGTGACGAGTTACGTGCGTGTGATTGTTTGCTCTGTTGTACTCTGGACTAGGTGATGCATACCTTCTCACGCATTGCTCACTGTGTGTTCTTTGAGGTCAGCGCCGATGGACGCCAAGCTAATGGTAAGGCACTGTACACGTGTGTCTGAAGCAGTGAAGGTAGACTCAAACACATGCTCCAGGGTTAGGAAATCCAGGCTGAATCATGAAAAATTCAACTTTTTCACAGGTTTATGTCCTTTGACAATGCTAGTATCACAACAATATACAGTAGAGATATTTGTGATTGGGTAGAGCGCTACCATGCAATACACCAACCCGTTTTCAGTAGCTGAGAAACTGATATTTCGTGCATCTCTTTTATTTTTTTAAGGAAGTACCAATAAGTTACGAGTTATGACTAACAGTCCACCAACGTAACGAGATAATCAGATAGTGCTACAACAAGGCACAAAACTGACATGGCTGTTGAGACATTCGACGAACTGACATCTAGCTCCAACACATCTACATCTCTTTTACCGGTATTTTGTTCTCCATTTTCTGCTCTCTGCTTCTAGCCAGTGATATTCACAATACCACTCCTCTTCATCTGGTAATGGCTGTGCAGCTTGCATCCGATGTGCAGGAGATGAATGCCGGCGCACAGAAACGTATGCTGTGGGCGGACGGCGTGAAGAAGCTGCTGTCCTCGCCTTGCTGGCCAGATTGCATTCTTATTGTAGATGAATGGCCTGTGACAAACAATGGTAAGTGGCAGAGCATTCTTGCGAGAAAAAAACCTGCACCGTTGAACAGGAGCAGCTCCAAGCTCGGGAACATGGCACAAGGCATACACCCCCTTCCCCCCCCCCCCCCCAGAAAAGAGGCAGAATGCTATGCACATGTATATGTTTCTTGATCTTGATTTGCTGTCACAAGGACATATTAGCACCCACCTCGCGGAGGAGTTTTGTACAAGACAAGGAAAGACAGCAACCAAACCACGCAAGAACCCAGCTTGATACTGATGAATTATCACCGTTCAAAACATTATTAATTCTTGACTTTTTCGGAACAGGAATTATTGAAACGATGACAATCATCAATACAACACCTTGCTGATGTTCAATATATGGACTTTTTTGTTATTGCCTCTTAGAAATACTGCACACGTAAACGTGTAGATGTTCACCACCATAAGGCGGTGATAGCAGTTAAACCTTGTAGAAACGGGAATGCCGCTTCAAGTCGCCGAAAGCCGGGTGGCGTTGATCTGTCGGGGGGGGGGGGGGGCTGTGCTGCTGTGTCCGCTGCTGCCTAGAACAGGCCTTCTTCCTCTGAGCTCTGCCCTAGGCCATTGCTCATCCGGGATTTCATGGGCCTTGAGATTGTCACGGGCGACATCATGCCGGAGGAGTTTGGGTCTACCAAAATATTGCACATACAAATACACACTAGTCAGAACAACAGATGGCCTGATCAGTCACAACTTAAAGTTTCATGCCATCTCAGGCACTCATCAGGTATCACCTGATGAGTGCCGGAGATGGCATGAAACTTTAAGCTGTGACTGATCAGGCCATCTGTTGTTCTGACTAGTGTGTCACGGCTCTACCTTCCCGGTATTGAGCTCTCTTGGATTTCTGCTGGAATTCACAACAGTGTGCACATACAAATACATGTATTAAAACATCACCGAATCTTTCCTGATTGTTGTTGTTTACGTTCACGAATTCTTTTCTCTTTGTTCTGTGGACTTGTCTTGTTAGGCAAGACTGACATACAGCATCTCCAGTCACTGTTGCTGACTGAGAAAGAGCATCATCTTGATAGTGGCGTGGTGTTGGAGGCACCAAATCGAGCAAACATTACAGCCGCAGTGCACAACATTGTTGAGGTAAGCCGTTCAATTTCTGAATTTCTGCTGTGAATTGATGGTATTACACGCCTGTCTCACCATGGACAGCTGGTGCATGTACATGTACATTGTAACTTGGTTAGATCCGTTGTTTGTTGTGTTTGTGTACAGGAACTGTTAGATCCTAGTGGTGCTGATGCATTCCTGTCATTGGAAACCAGTTTTGTTCAGGCTGGCGGCGACTCGATTCGGGCAGTGCGTTTCGGCGAACAGTTTCTGCACGTGGCGTGTGTAAAGGTACGTGATGCATGTGAATGAGAGTTTGTGCGAATAGCAGAGTAATCCGAATACTGTAAGAAGCCTGCATCCCATTGGGCGTGACTGCACATGTTATAATGACACACTACACGTATCGCTGTTGCCTGACGATTGTGGAATGTGAAAGTCCGAGCTAGGACTCAGCTAGCTTTGTCCTCCTGCTACAGTGCCTGTACTTATATGACACACATGTACATGTACTGCTGCCTCACTTTCAATACATGAGAAGGACACACAGGTCAAGTTTGCGTGTATTTTCTTTGCTCATTTTAATTCAACAGGGGTGGCCGCTCTCAAACCTCTCAGCCGGTATTCTAGTGGATTGTGTGCTGCACAAGTCATGCTCAGCGTTACTAGATTTACTTCTTGATACACTGATGACTAATCGCGACTTGATAGCAGCTAACGAGGAAGAAAGTCAGCTTCCTGCAACACCTGCCCAGGAACATGGTCTGATGCAACACGCATTCGAAACATCATTATTGGGCAGCGGCAGCGACGGAAGCTGTTCTGTTGACCCTCCATGTGTAGCCAGCACTGGCTCAGCAGTGCCAAGTGACAATGTTGCACTGCCATCCCTGGTGACCAATCGTCATCTTTCCAGAGGTACCTGTGCTTGTTCCCTCATGCCTGCTGGACAATCAACTTACTGCAGGTACTAGTAACTACATGCTTTGTGCTGTCACTGTTGCTATGGTGCACTGTTGCTATAATGGTAGGGATGTCAGCGAACGCACTGCGCAGGCCTCTGCGCATGCATTGCGTCATCGATTTTTTGAACGTGATCGCGGCCGACAGAGAAAACATGGCCGCGGTCTGTTTGCACCGCTGGGAGTCGTAAAATTACTGTTCTTCTGTCCCCGCGACCATTCAAATCATACGCGATACTTGAGGACCCACGAACTCACCACGTTCTCCCCGGTCGATTTCTCTGAAAGTTTGCACATCGTGAAACACCAGTATGAGAGGTGTTCAGGCCAATTTTCAAGGAATTTCCCTGGTTGGATCGTTCCAAAATCGGACTTCCATTTCTCGCTCGCGGCCATTTCTTGCGCGATGGAAGCGCCCTGCCCTGGTGAGTAACCAGCATCGCGCTTGGTAGAGAGTTGCTGCAATCAGCTCCCTGATGTCTTCGCTGCCATTGTCAGAAGTGATGGACCATGAATTTGTTTGAGAGTCTCTGGATGCTACTATTCCTCAGCCTAGTTTTCAGCCATTCCGTGCATCTTCTTCGCACGATTTATTTTGCAAAAAAATGAAAGTGTTCATGAGTTTTCTTGTCGGCCGCACGTAGATGGGCCAGGCTGACCTGCGCAGATGGGCTGCGCAGTGCGTTCGCTGATATCTCTAATAATGGTGCAGCGAGTTGACCTTGCCTCTCTCTAGTCACATCGCAATAGAAGTCAATGTGTCACGCCGGCCAGAAGCTCAATTTATACCGCAAGATTCCTGGATTACATTCTAGTTGATGCAGGGTAGTGGCGGGAAGTCGCGTACTGCGTACAACTAAGCTGAAGTTGTGCAGCAGGAGATCTGCTTAAATCCTGCTCGTATGCTCTACATCAGTGAAGTGGTGTAATCCAGGAATTTTCGCTGTGCAAACAACCCATTTGAGCGGCACACTCTGTGTTTCGTAACTCTTGGATCTTGATATAGATGTGCGAGTGTCGATTTGATTGCCGGCGTTTGCGAAATCACCCAAGGCATGGGACTGTATTTTATTCACTTTCGTGTGTTTGTATGCTTATGACGAAAGCTCTTGTTTTGTCCTGACAAGTGTGTGTGTGTGTGTGTGTGTCTGTGTGTGTGTGTGTGTGTGTGTGTGTGTGTGTGTGTGTGTGTGTGTGTGTGTGTGTGTGTGTGTCTGTGTCTGTGTGTGTGTGTGTGTGTGTGTGCACTTGCGTGCACTTGCGTGCATGTGCTTTGCATGATATGGTACGTTCAGAGCGCACTCATCCTTGGCTAGAGATTTCTTCAGCAATGTGGCACCACTGCCCAAGACCCTGGATATAGAATGGAAACTGAACTTGCACAAGTGTGTGGATGCCTCAGCACTAGTTGTGCTTTATCCCGAGTAAGTTATGTTAGGCCTAACCTTACAACAGGCGATTCACACGACATGTAAATGTGCAATGAGAAGTGGACAAGCGGGCCCAGCGGATTCACACGCGACTTTGCACGCGTTAGTGTGTTCTTAGGGCGTGCTCACTTTGCTACCCAAACACGTGTCCATGCGGTCAACCCATGCGGTCAACCCCCATGTTGCATGGCGATGACATGCACGTGGCCTAAACGCCTCGGTTATGTTTCAAACTCTGACCGCAGCCTCAAGAGGTGGAACGGATCATCACAGCAGCAAATATTCCGGATTTGGTCAACTTCTTGTGTCATTGGTAATGAGAATCTTGGGCCAAAATTCTGGGAACTTCTTTTCGGCATCCTGGAATGCACACACTTTGGCATGATTGTTGAAGGATAACCAAACTGAGTCAACACTACATAAAGCATACCTTGAGAAATACTTGAAAACACTTCCTGAATAACGAGCGGTTGAAGGAAACCATGGCTGTTGGTTTAGCTCAAAGCGCAAACTTGGGCACAAGGCTCATGTCTGCTTTCAACTCAAAACTGTTGATGTTTATGTGTGGATGGTTGTGTGGGTGGTTGTGTGGGTGTGTATGTGGGTGTGGGTGTGTATGTGGGTGTGGGTGTGTGGGCGTGTATGTGTGGGTGTGGGTGTGTATGTGGGTGTGGATGTGTATGTGGGTGCTGTTTGTATTGTTGCTGCAGACCATGTGTTGTCATCAGCTCTCACTCCGGTCAAGTTGTGTGCGCTGCAGTTGAAACTGGCTATGAGAAGTGGAGAACTTGCCTTCCGGATCGCATTGAAGGCTCTGCAACTCTCAGTGCATGTGGATGTAGCGTCATAGTCGGTAAGTTAGTACATTGGTAGGGACTTTGGGCCAGCTGACGGCTTCACCGTAGATTGTGCAACTGGATACCTGTGCATATGGTGGGAGGCGCGTATTCGATTTTGGAACGAGGAAGGGAGGGAGGGAGAGAGAGAGAGAGAGAGAGAGAGAGAGAGAGAGAGAGAGAGAGAGAGAGAGAGAGAGAGAGAGAGAGAGAGAGAGAGAGAGAGAGAGAGAATAGAAAACTGCGTGGAGCAACCATGGCCACGAGACAGCAGTTAGGACAGCATAAGAGAGAGAGAGAGAGAGAGAGAGAGAGAGAGAGAGAGAGAGAGAGAGAGAGAGAGAGAGAGAGAGAGAGAGAGAGAGAGAGAGAGAGAGAGAGAGAGAGAGAGAGAGAGAATAGAAAACTGCGTGGAGCAACCATGGCCACGAGACAGCAGTTAGGACAGCATAAGAGATACAAGTAACTTGAAGCAAGACAGAGACGTTACAAAGCAAACCAAAATGAGAAGAGTGGGTATACACTGCCCCATGACGAGGAAACTGGCGAGGACGAGTGCTTGGTGGTGGTGCATTGATGTGGCTCATTGGTGTCATGCATTGAAGGGAGTTGTTAGATTACAGACACCTACCCCAAGTTGCACCAGCTCACGAAACATGGGGACCGAGATTCACTTTACTTGTTACGTTGGTATCAACAGCAAAGAATCTGTGAAGACTGTATTCTGCTGACTGACGCTACACTGTAATGTCCATATACACATGTAACGCCAGCGCGACAAACTCATATCAAACAGAGGATAACACACTCGTGATAACGCTCGTAATAACGCTGAACTAGACTAAGAAAGATGGATCATAATATCCCTGCAAGATCGGGACGTTGTGCCACTCTCAGAAGCCAGCGCTAGCCTATCTCTACAATAGAGTAAGAGGTGAGAGCTGTCATGCCTGCAGCGGAACAACCAGTGAATAGAGAATCCTGAGGACTAAACCAACCATGAACAATACATAAAACCAGACACCATACATTATGAAACTAAGCTGGCTCCACAAGCTCAATGGTCTGTGAACTTTACAGGAGTGGATACCTAACATACAATTCTCCTTCTTGTATTGAGTGTTATTCTATGGTGTTGTGCAAGGAGTCATACCTCAAGTCTTCGTCCTCGACTCTTGATATCAGTTCTGCTTTCCTTGTATGTAGCCTTAACTTCTGAGCTCTTAGTATACACTTGATGTTGTCCACTGTTAGCAGCTGCAAGCATTGCTTCCGTGATGCTACCTCCGTTTCAGAAAAAAGCTCGATGGCATCGACCAGCTTTGCATCCCTTATTGCAGTCTTCACAGGCACGACGCAAACACTGACAGCCGATGCTTTCGTTCGGTGCTTCTCTCTGAGTGTTTCCCTCAAAGACCGCGCCGCATGTGCACCGGCAAGATTCTGATTTTTCAACAATTGCTTTTGCTTGCTTTTCACGAAAGTTTTGTACCATTGCTGTCAATATTCCTCTTCCTGGATCTTGAGCATGGAGAGTCAACAAAGCTTTCTCGTAACATGCTATGATTACTGTATCTTTCAACAGCCGGGCTTCCAATGCAGTGAGCGCTCCTGATCGGCGTCCCACCACATCTTGTGGAAACTTTGCTCGCTTAGTCGAATGCAGGCACTTGAAAAAGGGGCGCAAGTGCAGCAGATATTGAGAACAAGCTCTTAGTATACACTTGATGTTGTCCACTGTTAGCAGCTGCAAGCATTGCTTCCGTGATGCTACCTCCGTTTCAGACAAAAGCTCGATGGCATCGACCAGCTTTGCATCCCTTATTGCAGTCTTCACAGGCACGACGCAAACACTGACAGCCGATGCTTTCGTTCGGTGCTTCTCTCTGAGTGTTTCCCTCAAAGACCGCGCCGCATGTGCACCGGCAAGATTCTGATTTTTCAACAATTGCTTTTGCTTGCTTTTCACGAAAGTTTTGTACCATTGCTGTCAATATTCCTCTTCCTGGATCTTGAGCATGGAGAGTCAACAAAGCTTTCTCGTAACATGCTATGATTACTGTATCTTTCAACAGCCGGGCTTCCAATGCAGTGAGCGCTCCTGATCGGTGTCCCACCACATCTTGTGGAAACTTTGCTCGCTTAGTCGAATGCAGGCACTTGAAAAAGGGGCGCAAGTGCAGCAGATATTGAGAACAAGCTCTTAGTATACACTTGATGTTGTCCACTGTTAGCAGCTGCAAGCATTGCTTCCGTGATGCTACCTCCGTTTCAGAAAAAAGCTCGATGGCATCGACCAGCTTTGCATCCCTTATTGCAGTCTTCACAGGCACGACGCAAACACTGACAGCCGATGCTTTCGTTCGGTGCTTCTCTCTGAGTGTTTCCCTCAAAGACCGCGCCGCATGTGCACCGGCAAGATTCTGATTTTTCAACAATTGCTTTTGCTTGCTTTTCACGAAAGTTTTGTACCATTGCTGTCAATATTCCTCTTCCTGGATCTTGAGCATGGAGAGTCAACAAAGCTTTCTCATAACATGCTATGATTACTGTATCTTTCAACAGCCGGGCTTCCAATGCAGTGAGCGCTCCTGATCGGTGTCCCACCACATCTTGTGGAAACTTTGCTCGCTTAGTCGAATGCAGGCACTTGAAAAAGGGGCGCAAGTGCAGCAGATATTGAGAACAAGCTCTTAGTATACACTTGATGTTGTCCACTGTTAGCAGATGCAAGCATTGCTTCCGTGATGCTACCTCCGTTTCAGAAAAAAGCTCGATGGCATCGACCAGCTTTGCATCCCTTATTGCAGTCTTCACAGGCACGACGCAAACACTGACAGCCGATGCTTTCGTTCGGTGCTTCTCTCTGAGTGTTTCCCTCAAAGACCGCGCCGCATGTGCACCGGCAAGATTCTGATTTTTCAACAATTGCTTTTGCTTGCTTTTCACGAAAGTTTTGTACCATTGCTGTCAATATTCCTCTTCCTGGATCTTGAGCATGGAGAGTCAACAAAGCTTTCTCGTAACATGCTATGATTACTGTATCTTTCAACAGCCGGGCTTCCAATGCAGTGAGCGCTCCTGATCGGTGTCCCACCACATCTTGTGGAAACTTTGCTCGCTTAGTCGAATGCAGGCACTTGAAAAAGGGGCGCAAGTGCAGCAGATATTGAGAACAAGCTCTTAGTATACACTTGATGTTGTCCACTGTTAGCAGCTGCAAGCATTGCTTCCGTGATGCTACCTCCGTTTCAGAAAAAAGCTCGATGGCATCGACCAGCTTTGCATCCCTTATTGCAGTCTTCACAGGCACGACGCAAACACTGACAGCCGATGCTTTCGTTCGGTGCTTCTCTCTGAGTGTTTCCCTCAAAGACCGCGCCGCATGTGCACCGGCAAGATTCTGATTTTTCAACAATTGCTTTTGCTTGCTTTTCACGAAAGTTTTGTACCATTGCTGTCAATATTCCTCTTCCTGGATCTTGAGCATGGAGAGTCAACAAAGCTTTCTCGTAACATGCTATGATTACTGTATCTTTCAACAGCCGGGCTTCCAATGCAGTGAGCGCTCCTGATCGGTGTCCCACCACATCTTGTGGAAACTTTGCTCGCTTAGTCGAATGCAGGCACTTGAAAAAGGGGCGCAAGTGCAGCAGATATTGAGAACAAGCTCTTAGTATACACTTGATGTTGTCTGTTAGCAGATGCAAGCATTGCTTCCGTGATGCTACCTCCGTTTCAGAAAAAAGCTCGATGGCATCGACCAGCTTTGCATCCCTTATTGCAGTCTTCACAGGCACGACGCAAACACTGACAGCCGATGCTTTCGTTCGGTGCTTCTCTCTGAGTGTTTCCCTCAAAGACCGCGCCGCATGTGCACCGGCAAGATTCTGATTTTTCAACAATTGCTTTTGCTTGCTTTTCACGAAAGTTTTGTACCATTGCTGTCAATATTCCTCTTCCTGGATCTTGAGCATGGAGAGTCAACAAAGCTTTCTCGTAACATGCTATGATTACTGTATCTTTCAACAGCCGGGCTTCCAATGCAGTGAGCGCTCCTGATCGGTGTCCCACCACATCTTGTGGAAACTTTGCTCGCTTAGTCGAATGCAGGCACTTGAAAAAGGGGCGCAAGTGCAGCAGATATTGAGAACAAGCTCTTAGTATACACTTGATGTTGTCCACTGTTAGCAGCTGCAAGCATTGCTTCCGTGATGCTACCTCCGTTTCAGAAAAAAGCTCGATGGCATCGACCAGCTTTGCATCCCTTATTGCAGTCTTCACAGGCACGACGCAAACACTGACAGCCGATGCTTTCGTTCGGTGCTTCTCTCTGAGTGTTTCCCTCAAAGACCGCGCCGCATGTGCACCGGCAAGATTCTGATTTTTCAACAATTGCTTTTGCTTGCTTTTCACGAAAGTTTTGTACCATTGCTGTCAATATTCCTCTTCCTGGATCTTGAGTATGGAGAGTCAACAAAGCTTTCTCGTAACATGCTACTTCCTCCGCGTCATCGAAATTGTCGCAGTTTGACTTTTGACATAAAACGGGGTATTTACTCACCAGCACTCGTACCAGAGGCAAGGAATCGGACATAGGCGATAGTCATCAGTATAGGGTGACGGCAAAGTTCTATTTTCTGTTATTGGAATCTGAAATTTTTGAACTAGACGCAATTTCTTCGCTGATGTCGCTGCGATGGCAATTTCAACTCGCTGAGATCAGTCAGGCGTTGCAGCCTGCACATTTCTCGTGCTTATGGCCATTCACTCGAGCCTCATCACTGGTTTACCTTAGCTGGGGTGAGAATGACTTCGTGGAACAAGTAGCAGCGCTCGGAGAAACATCGAGGGGTCAGCAAACTAAATGCATGCAACGGCGATAAAATTTGTTGCTCTTGCTGAGACACTCAGTACATGATTTTACCTGCAAGAGCCGTGTACTACGGTGTAGACTCTACACGAAGTGCTAGCGATGCACGCGCAGGTGCCGCCGTACCAGTGATGCTGAAAAAGAGGGCGCGCTGGATGATAGTACACTTATTACCTGCATGAGCTGTGACCACACAGCTAAAATAATGGCATGCCACGGCTAAAAAAAGTTCATTTCAAGATTGAGGTGGTTCCGCCGACGGTAATCAACCGACCTCGCAACGATCGTTTATTCTTACTAGGCTTCGTTGGTGGTGAAGTAGAAATTATCCAGAGCTAGCAGATGACAAACATAGCAGCTCTTGTCCTGTGGAGAAAGTCAAAGCGTCTGAGATGAGGCGCGACCAACTTTCAACCTTCCTTGAAATATTTCGGAACGATATTTTTGCGTCCATTGACATCAGCGACGACGAGGACTTCATCTCTGCATGAAAACTCTCAGTCCAACTGTCCTGGAACGTTACTCTAGTCTTCAGACTATCATACTGTGTAATAAGTTTTGAATGGTTTAGCTTATGGAGTTGTCAGTAACAAGTGGCAAGTCACTAGTCAAACTGCGACAATTTCGATGACGCGGAGGAAGTATGATTACTGTATCTTTCAACAGCCGGGCTTCCAATGCAGTGAGCGCTCCTGATCGGTGTCCCACCACATCTTGTGGAAACTTTGCTCGCTTAGTCGAATGCAGGCACTTGAAAAAGGGGCGCAAGTGCAGCAGATATTGAGAACAAGTGCTTTTCAGGGCAGGGGACTGGGCTGGCCGTAGGACATGGTCAGTTGCTGATGTTGATGCTGCCTTCTGATCATCCTGGTGATAAAACTCCTGGAGAAGCTTAGGATCTGCAGGCATGGTGACATCACAGCCAAGTTTATGTAGTTGGGCCAAGAATCAAGAGAGTCGAGTGGTCCCCACGCCTCGTTTGACAACGCACAGTAATCAAGCGCCAGCCTGCATGGTGCTGATAGAGGCAGGCAAAGACACAAAAAAAACATCGCAACAGAAAGCAAAGTGAACTGTTGTCCAAAGTGCAGCACCTCGAGATCCAAAATGGCCGACTTCACTTCTTATCTGCTTGCTTTCTCATCACCGTGCCTGTCGTCATCACTGTTATCAAGAAGAATTTGTTCGGGCATGAGAGGAGTTTGAGAAAGACCTAGTTGGCAAAGGATAACTAACAAGATGACTGATCCTGGCCAAAAGAAATCCGACCCACGAGTCAAAAGTACCGCCGCCTTTTCATTTCCATTACATCATACGCGGTCCAAAATAACCAATAACCATCCGAGGGCCGCAGAGGCCGCGTGAGTTTTGGTGCTGCTTTCGGCATGTGGGTCGGATTTCTTTGGCCACGACTAGACTGTACATAAGTAATGTTGATTCCTGTGCGGCCTTTCAAAATAGGTGAGCCGAGAAAACAATGATGTGGGAGGCAAGCCCTCGGGCAAGGAACTCTGTGCCGTGTCACCTCCCAGGTTTTGAGTACGTCTCCCTGGTGGTCTGTTATCAAAATGGGACTTGGTTTACTTTGGCACGTTGCTATGCTGGTTACCATGGTATCATCTCCGCTTACCTTCTGTCTCCGTCTCGGGATTGCTACCATACTAAGCCCCCCTGTCAATAATAAGTACATCATATTCAACCATTTCAAGCAAAAATAATAATCAAGCCTCTGTGGATCTGGTATGTGGTTGCTATGCATTGCTAAGGGAAAGAAAAGCGAAAGAGTCGTCCAGACCAAAATCTTCGGGAAGATCATGCCTATCCAACAATCAAGACAAAAGTAGCAGAAAAAGAAACTTTTGAATGGTCTGAAGTCCCTATTAAATGCAATAGTGCTTTGTAGGTATTTAAACTTATTTTTGACTTCAGACTTCATTCCTGATATGGTGCCTGTACACCGGAGGATGTGTCTTTGCTGCTTTTTTCTTTGTGTTGTTCAGGTTGCTATGATGGCTGCATATATACCTGCTCTATGCTCGACGGTGGCGTACTGTCTTCCTGGCAGACCTCTGACATTGTCAAGTGCGCTCCAGCGGTTGACATGGCGACTGGAAACGTATGGTGTGGTTCGCATGATGGACACGTCTATTGCTTACAGCTGGAGAGCGAGGTATGAGTTAGGCCTTAGGGGCTTTTCTCACTCAAAGATTCACTGTACACATGCTCAGAAGAAAATACTGAACGGTCGCTGGTGGTGTGTTGATCTTATCAGAGCTTTAATAGTGGTTGGAGGACCGCTAGGCTGTGGTAATACTACTTGTAGTATGTCCCTGGTTTGGGCTCCTGGTGGTAACAGTCAGTTTTATCATCAGACCTTTTCCTCCAAAATTTAAAAAAGGAAAAGAAAAAGCTTTGGCTATGGACAATCTAGGGGCGAAGGAAGTAGTACTTACCTTGTGTGATTCGTAGATAATTTTCTACCCTTTGTAGGCAGCAAAACAACAGCATTCTGAGTGATTTCTTGCATCGCTTGCCTATGTGACCACTCCACGATGACATCCTCAAAGTAATGCGAAAACTCACATGCGAAAGAATCACGTCACCTGGCAACGCATATCAATACAGGAGACAGTCCAAACTTGTGGAGCATCCGCATTTTCTGTTTTCAGAGTTATGCGATGGCAGTAGTCTCACAAGAGTTGCGAACATGGGAATAGTGTTATACTACTGCTCCCTTCTAACACCTTGCACAAAGCCTTTCCACGTGTGTGGATCATCTCATCCGTATTCGTGTGACATTTCTTTCCTACCGTCCCATTCTCCTCCAGTCGTCTTCAATATGCGATGGCGCTCTTTACTCTTCTGGAGCCTCTGACGGCGTGGATGTGTGCAGCAGTGTCTCACTGCTGTGTAAGCTTCACTGTGGTGGTGGTGCAGTACTTGCCAAAGTCTGTGTTGACTCTGAGCACAGCGCTGTGTATACAGCTACACTGGCCGGATTCATCTCAGCTATTTCATCGGTGAGTTCCTTACCGCCACGGCGGAGTACTACTAGTCGTTTCACTGACAGAAGATCCCAGTAAAGCGCTGTGCTGAGTTCTCCCAAAGCTTGCAACACTGGGTGATCTTCCAGCGTTACAATGTAACGTCATGTATGTACAGAGCACAATGTACTCAGTAAGAATAGGTTTTATGCACTGTGTGAAATGATCAGGCAAATACATCATCCAATGCAGACCAGTCACAGCACAATGGGTATTGTTAAAAGGGGGATGCACGCGGAAAGAAGTAAGTTTGTACACATGCCATTTCCTTCTTGCTTGCTCCACTGACCGTGCTGCACCACTGAAGTGTCACGAATAACGTCACTGGCCGTTTGAGAGATTCTGGTTGAGAATGTGTATCGCGCTGGTCTCCTTTTTACTGATGATATTATTATATTTCCGCTGTGTGTGTGTGTGTGTGTGTGTGTGCGCGTGCTTGTGTTATCCTGCTGTGACAGACTGATTACACTGTACTGTGGCGTATCAACCATGGTGTGCCCTTTTTCTCATCACCTGTCCTAACGGGCAACAGCAGTGAGAGTGTATGTGTAACGGCCGTCAATGGTGATGTACTGCAGTACAGGTGTATTGACGGCTCTAAGGTAAGTGTCGCTGGAGTTTGCTTGGAGAGCTTGTGCCGATTCTCGTCTAGCTATCTTGCTTATAAGTACATTGCTGTTGTGTCTATAGTTGGGTGACCGTGTGGGTCCCTGTGTAAGCCATTGACCAGCCATCCTGAAAGAGGAACCTAACTAGAGTGTATGTTGTACTTTGCTACGTGTAGTTCTACATCTGTGTAGACTATCCATAGACTCTCATTCTAGCATAGTCACACATCAGCGTTGACTATCCGTGTACTATCTTACCCGCTTTGTTTCATATCCATGCGGTTGTGTACCGTGCTTTGTTTGCAGATGTGGCAAGTATCCTGCAATGCTCAGGTATTTTCAGCCCCAACACGCCAACAACTACACACCAATCATGCACAATCCTGTTCTGTCTCGAAAAGAACAACAGCGCCAGTGTCAGTGCCTGGCCGCAGCATGACAGATTCAGCTCACGGTGACAATGTCGACAGTAGTGGATTGCTAGGTGGCAATTCTCCCGATGTGTTGCCACCGCTGATCAACTCGCACTTGCAATCTTGTAACAGCGTTGAGTGTATACTCTTGCCAACTCATAACAAGGAGATCTGTGTGATTGATATGACCGGTCATGTCATGCACCGAATTCCACTCTCTGCAGCTAGTAACTCTGCGCCATATGTGATCAGTGCTGCGAGGTATTCCGCTCATGCGGATGCCCTAGCTGAAGATCAGCTAGCATGTTCTGGCGCCGGTGGCGAGCCATCCGAACCTTCTGGATCGTGTGCTGCTGAACAACTACCATGTTCAATGGAACATGAACAGTGTGTCTGCAGGAATGGACCTTTCATTGTTTGTGCAACGACACTGGGAAAAGTTAGCATTGTTCCAGTGTGCCCTTGTCCTTGTAGCAGCAGTGTGTCACCACTTGCTGATGCACAGTTGCCTGGCCAGGTGTTCTCCTCACCTATTGTTTGTGGGCCGTTTGTCCTGCTGGGCTGCCGCGATGACTTTCTCTATTGTCTGCGTGTGAGAAGCTAGCCCAAGTTGTCCCTAGTCCTTATAACTGCACTAACTGGCTTACAAGTTGTAGATGCTTTTTTTAACGTTGTGATTTTAGGGTGTTCATTAGTTTGCGGGCGTTTAGGGTGTGGCGAGGATGTGTGGGGGCTAGTACGGATTTTGGTGTCCTAGTTTCATTTTTAGGTTCGTTGCATTGACAATATTTTCATGTTAGAATTTTTTCAATTTTGTTTATGATTTCTAAAAGCCGGTATCAAGGCTTGCATTGGCGAAGAAAGATAAAATACCATACATGCACCTGCCCCTGCCTTTATGTTTGTGAATGTCATTTTGTGAGAGTGGTCTGTCTGCCGTGCTGCTTGTGCGCATGATACCTCTCTAACCGCTGCCACAGATATGCCAGTAATTGAGCATAAAATAATGGTAGTGCTAGGAACTACAGCTAATCTCTCCCCTCAGGCCTCACTCGTATTTATGCCGGACAGGTCTTGATTTGAATGGGTCACCTATGTAGTGGCCATGTACAGTACGTGTACCTGGTAAACTCACAAGCACTGCTGCTTACTGGTATGTTGTGTGATAACAACGCCTATGCCGGTATGATAATGATGGCAATAGTATGGCTAGTACTAGTATGTCTACTATAGTAGCTGTTGTGTAGGTAGAGATCCCTGATCTGATGGCAGTGATGCCACTTGCCACTGCCAGTCAGCCAGCTCTATCCTCCATGCAGGCGTCATGACAACTGACTCCGAGCAGGTAGTCGTCAAAGAAACCTCCCTGGTACCAAGGCAAGAGTCAAGACGGTGACAAGTAAAGCATGTGGAGTCGAGTGTGGATCTTGTCTGCACCGCCGTGTAGAATCTACCGCTCTGGACTGTGGAGTATGACTATGATTGTGGTAACTGGTTGTGTGAAGAACAAACGTTACTGTAGGTAAGTTGATTCCTAGCTGTGCTTCAACTTATCTGAGGGTGGTGGATTTCCACCAACAGTGAGTCATTCATCGTCAGGTTTCCCAGGCGCGTTTACTCGACTGAAGCCGAAACCATCTCTCCTTATCACGACTGCCTGTTCATGTGTGAAGGTTACCACTTTCCTGGTCGCGCGGAGCGCATGTTTTGCGCGTTTATAACGTCGAGTCGTTTGAATGGAGCCGTCAGAGGACAACATTAACAATGCACCGGTATCTAAAAGTGCGGAGTGGGAGGACAAGACACAGTCTTCGGACGGTTCTGCCACCTTCACCTCTCCTGGCAAACCAAGTGATGGAGCAGGCTGTCTGACTACTTCGGCCAATCCTGACACCGAGAACCAGCAGCAAAGTGTGGTCGTTGACGATTCAGAGGAGAACTCAACGGACAGAAACGGAGATGAGGAATTATCTCCGCCAACAGCGTGTGAAGTGGGTTCTGGACCGACAACACGAGCAGCAGGCGCCATGCCGGTTGTGTCCATACAGATAATTCCCAGCTCTCCAATAGGGGATGAAGCCCCCGTCGTAAGTCAGCCAGTGAACTCCGAGGATTCCCGAGCATCTTCTATGTCGCCGGAGGCAGTCGCGGCGCTATCCGACACCTCGTCAAACACGGAGGTGACTGGAGTGAGAGACGGAACTCAAGCTGAAGATACTTCTCCCCGGCCTCGTGATAATCTTGTCCAGGAGGATGGTTTACCGCTCTACTCGACGGAAACTGCTGACCAAGAAACTAACGTTAGTAGTGCAAGCAGTAGTCAGTCACGAACAACGAGACGACGGTTTGAAGATCCACGGCAAGTGACAATGCTCTATATGAACCAACACAACGTTGATGGCGTCCTCAAGGTAGGTCCTCCAGCTGTATTACCTACAAAAAGTACATGACTGTACACTAGTCATGTAAATTGTCTTCTCAATGAAGAGTTGGTAGATGTGCAATGACTATGAGTTGGTAGATGTGCAATGACTATGTACTACTTCGTACTGTGGTTTTGTCGTTGTGCTATGGAAGGTTGGAGGGTTGAATATAATAGTAGAGTCTAATGGAGTAATGGAAATCACTATCTCCCCTCACTGGATGATGCTTCCGATGATCTTGATGGTAGATTGATCAACCTAAAACAATCTCAACAAGCGCAAGTCTCACAAACCGCAGCATATCCGGCGGCGGATACAATCATCTCTCTATCTATGGCTTTGACTTGATGAGAAAATGTGGGCTGGTGTTCTACTGACTGTTGCCAGGGCCACTCACATTACAATGCCACCTCTGGTCAGGGTCCAGCGGACAATGCCGGCATTATGAGACTATCTGAGCATCAGAGCATTATGGAGCATTATTTTGGAGCGAAACGAGCATTATGTGAGGTTTGAGTGGCATTACGAGTTTCATAGTGGATAATATCGGGAAATCCCTGGTTTTCGCAACAATCGGCTACATGCAGTCCTGAGATCCAACCGGGTTAACCCTCATCATGTCTGAAATGTGTGCAATTGGAACGCATTGTACCGGTACATGACTTTGTGGACACACAACACTTTTATAGCACTTTGTCCGCTGTATGTAGCAATGCAGTCAGTTACATACCGGTAAATGTGCAGTTATGTACAGTCGGAGCCAAAGAAATCTGACCCATGATAAACAGCCAAAGAAATCCGACCCATGATAAACAGCCAAAGAAATCTGACCCATGATAAACAGCCAAAGAAATCCGACCCATGATAAACAGCCAAAGAAATCTGACCCATGATAAACAGCCAAAGAAATCTGACCCATGATAAACAGCCAAAGAAATCTGACCAATGATAAACAGCCAAAGAAATCCGACCCATGATAAACAGCCAAAGAAATCCGACCTATAATGTAAGCCAAAGAAATCCGACCTATAATGTAAGCCAAAGAAATCCGACCCATGATGTAAGCCAAAGAAATCCGACCCATGATATACAGCCAAAAGCAGCACCCATGGGGCACTCGGATGGGTTTTTGGACGGTGCAAGATGTACGGTAATTGATTGTGGACTTGAAATGGAAACATGACACTATTTTAGTCTTGAGTTTGACTTGTGGATCAGTTTTCTCTGGCCACGGCTATAGATCATAAATGTAGCATGGCCAACCAAAGCTGTTCCACAAATCCGAAATTATTACTTAAATGGAGTAGATGTTTTTTTAGAAATCATGGAGAGCCATGGATCATGGAGCAGACAGACAAAGAGGAGTTCTCACTGTGGCTCTGGCGATGGCGTCTCCATAACATGCAGCGATACTGAAGTACACACTGATCTACTGATAAAGTTGGACCAGGATGAAGGGGCGGCTATGCGCAGAAAGTGGAGCGCGTTCCAAAGAACTGCCTTTGCCAAGTCCATCCCAGGCCAGCAGGCTCGAAAAAAATAGAATTACTCATGGACTCATTACCAAGTCCATAATTATGAGCTCTCATCAGCGTGTGTCCGACTTTCCTGGTGAAGCACATACAGTTCGTTGTGGACAGTTGTAATGCCAATGCAGTCAAGTGCTATAAAAAAAAAGATGAGTTTGTGGCCATCCATTATCTACACAACACGAAGAGGAGAGGAAGACGGCACAAGCAAAAGCTGTAGAGTGGCAAAATAATTTCGGCCCACGTGGCTTTCCGCAAATGGGAGGGATCTCGATCCGTGATCGCCTCTCACGACCTGGCCTAATGTCGACTGTTTCGGATAAGGCATTTTTCACAGAGTGGAAGCAGTGACGGGTTGTCTGCAGGCTGGAATACCGCTTGCCATGATAAGCTTCCAGCATCCCAATATCACCAGCAATAATGGTTTTCACCTCTCACTACCTGGATAATGAGGGAGAGCAGCCACTGGAGAAGTGATCATGTCGTAGTACTAACAGGCAGTGCAGCTGGTGAGAGATATTGCGGCAGCTTCAGAGGCCGTGTGCATTTCTTCCTTGAAGTTGACAATTTGCAGCCCTTTTTGTCTCAAACCAAGAGCATTATAGCCCTTTGCGAAGCATTACATTAGCATTATAAGGTAGTTTTTGGAGCATTATGGTTAGCATTATACAAACGTTTTCGGAGCATTATTCGCTGGACCCTACCTCTGGTGGTAGCAATAGAGGGTATGCCATTACATCATCAGTTGAGAGATGCTTGGAAGTCGCAGCACAGCACAGCGCTGCACTAGCAACTCGTGCCGCATACTTAGCACCCATTAGAAAATCCGCTGACTCACCCCATGATATTAAAATTTGCAAAACCTCTATACTCTATACTGTCCGCATGCTAATAGTGTGGTGTATGTTGTTTGCTTCTGTGCTGGACGTTTGTTCAGAAACTGATTGACGGCCTGGCACTGGATCAACCAGCTGACCCCATCCAGTACATGTATGAAAAGATTGATGACCTGCGAAAGACAGGTTACATCCCCACGTATTCCACTACTGTTTCCACAGCTGCTGCCAGTGCAGCCGGTAATGGTAATTCTGGTTCGAGTCAAGACGGATGAATTATTGCTGCCTGCGCAGCTCTCCCTCAGGATGATGGCTGTTATTAGGCATCCGTGCGAGGCATGTATTCCACACCAACAAGCCTCCCTGAAGCCCATGGTTGGATCATTGGTCCATTCATACTCCCTTGATGGTCCCACAAATCCATTCACTTATGTCATAACTCAAGATACCAAGACATGTTGAGTGTTGTTGAGAAGCTATTTTTGCTTGAGCAGTATAAATATATACACACATCTTACTCTTGATGAAAAATCGGATACTTCAGAATTATTGAGTTTGTCAAGCAAGCTCTTTTCATTTTAGGCTAATTTCTGTTCATTGGGTGTATACAGAGAGCTAGCTGTGCATTGGCTCTCTTGGGACATGCAACAGGGTGTGTGGTTATACATGATGGAAACGGAAAAATCCAGAATCCACCCCTGGTTAACCCTCATCGATATTCTTTCTTGTATAGAGCTGCTGGCATTAAATTCCAACAACTGATTTGACAATCTGCCGTGACCTGGGCTTGAGTTTCCCGATGGGAGGAAGCTTAGTCGTGGAGACTGTAGCTGGTGCTGATAACGTGCGGTCATGGCTCTTTGACCGTTTGAAGGCCGGCATTGGGAAGGCAGCCGTGGCTTCGGTGACACCGCGCCGTTCCGTTCTGCTTCTGCGCTCGGAGGCGAGCAGCATGCGTTCGTCGAGCACGGCGGTCATGGGAGACGCGGTGGTCCTCACAGTGGACGCGGCCAGCATCGTTCTCAGCTCATGCAGGTCCTGGCCATGAGGGTTGTGTGAATGAAAGTGACGATGCATGTGCGGTGGCTGACGGTCCAGCGATTGCTGCACCGTGCTGGAGATTGCTCTGATCAGGTGCCGTGACTGCTTCATGTCGTACACTACAGCACAGCAAAGAATCACCGTACAGGACCACATTACCGAGATTAAATGATACAGCCACGTTGCCAACATCCTATTGGACAAAGCTCACGAACCATTTTCTTCATCGGGGTGAAGTAGAGTTAAGCATGGCGAGTCCTGAAACACACTACTGTGTACACTACTGGAGTATTTCACAACCAGCATCCACCCTACTACCCGTCTCATGAAAACTACCGCAGCACAAGTAATACTGTTGCCAGTAACTTGCTACACTGGTCATACGCAACACTGGCATGAGTACTATACAATGCATGCTATGGCCTGTGCAGCCCACTGACCTGATAAGCGTCTGATCGTGTCCTCATCAAAGTGGCCACTTGTTACCCACTCGCTGTAGTCGGGCACCATGTCCAGTGGGGATAATCCTGTGCAGTACCGTGACAGTGTCGGTGAGAGTGCACAACCAATGCAGCGACTCGAACTATATACATTGCATCCCGGCAACACCATCATTGTACATGACATTACTCCCTCTATAGTTACAGACACAGACAAATTGGTCAATCTTATCCACAAATGGGTGCATGAATAAGAGGGAAATCACGGAAGACAGCTTGATTGACAAAGAGGAAGATTGGAAACTGGTGTATGCACGCAGGCAGGTAGACAAGTGGACCTCACATACAATGACAGATTCAGATTAAGGAAAAAATTGAAGCGTATCCCATTCGGGGTCAGCACCGACGCAATCCCCACAGTCAAGTAAAGCCAGTTTAGTAAATCCTGCTATATCCGACAACACCAGACAAACGTATCCCACTGGCGAATCTAAGTACCTAAAGTTTACCAACTTCAAAGATGGTCCCCGTGTCCCACTTAACTTCAGACCTAATGCTGAGTAGTTTTTATAAAGGAAGAAAATACCTTACCTTGCTTATCTTTAGCATAGACGCTTGCCCCTGCGACACACACGCACACACACACACATACACACACACACACAGCAAGCTATACATTTCGAATTTTGGATGTTCCTCTACATTCACAGGGTGGTGGTTGGTTCAATCGGCTGGCTGGCTGGCTGCACCATTATGGTACTGCATGTACCATCCCCTACGCCTACTAGATTCATTTTCAAAATAAGTGCTGTCAACTTTTCACATCCGACACGTGGAGAAATAATCATGACAGCAGAGAACTAAGCAATCGAATCTGGCATATAGTAGTAGTAAGAGTACATGCAACCAAGAGTGTACAACTCCTATCTCGGGCTGCAGTGGACTCATGTACGGCGTCGTTTTTATTGCGTTATTTTTTGGCAAAAGTATACTCAAGGTGTTTGCTTCCATGCTATTGTCATGCACGTGCGGTATCAGCTTAGTGGGTTCAGGTAGCATGCATCTACCATCTAGTGCTCTGCTTCGATTGCCGTAGCGGCGATGTGCAAGTTCTTTGCACTTGTGTCCTCTGGATACGCACAATGGCATCAGTGAGCCACGATAAACTGAGGTCATTTGAAAAATGTCTGCCATGGACCAGAGTGCACAAACTTGCAAACGGTGTGCAAACGCGGGGTTTGTCTCCAGGGGGTTGGGATAAGGGAGCAGACGCCCATCCACCTAAATATGCACATTTCCATATTTTTTTCTTTTTTCTTCTCCCTCAAACTTATGAATAGTCCCTAACATTTTCGTCATTTCTCATTCTCTTTTGGCAACTTGTTCCCGCAGGCACACAACAGCAGCTCTGTGGAAATACTCGTGAGCTAGGTTTTAACAACGCCGCCGTGCTGTCCTGCACACCAGTACCATGCTGTCCAGCACACTAGTATTAACGTTATGTGCACTGGGACCGGGAATTTTGTTATGTGCACTGGGACCGGGAATTTTGTTATGTGCACTGGGACCGGGAATTTCGAAATGTTAAAACAGTTCAGATAGTTGACCGCAATCGGAAAATTGGCATTCTAATACTAGGATATTAGAGAGGTTCTGCACAACGAAAATTCGAACGAAGTTTCGCGACAGGCCTTGCGAAAATGTGTACGAATTTTCGCACGAACTTTGTGTTCTGCACATTTTCGTAGTTTGCACGCGCCAAGTGCACGTACGACATGACCCAATCTCACGAAACTTCCTACGAAAGTTCATTTCGCGTTCCCTGCAAGTTTCGCGTCCAAAGTTGCGAAAGTTCGTGCGAAGTTTCTCACTTCGTGACGTAGAGCGAAAGTTCGTACACATTTTCGTTTTGCAGAACCTCTCTATTGCCGATATGTGTGGCCATTCGTCCATCCAGCAGAAACCAGCCCACCGGAGGGCGCCGTTTAATTAAGAGGCCTCACTGTGTTATGTTCTAAATTGAGTCCTGTAGGACGCAGTTCAGCTGCATGTGCATCAGTACCCTCACCAGACACCGCTACATACTATAGACGCAATACAGTGAGCATTTGAAGCTAGAACTAATTACCATGGCGAATGAGAAGTGCAGCACTGTAAGGTGAGTTAGACTGGGCGGCCATGTGCAGCGCCGTTCTTCCACGGTCCTCGACCAACGTGACATCCGCACCGTTCTCTAGCATCAGCTCCACCGAGTCATAGTTCATGGCATTCCCGCACGCCAAGTGAATAGGCCTGTAGCAAGAGCCATGGATAAGGATAGCACAGACATGAACAAAGAGTCATGGACGAGGACTGTGATTGTCCAATCTTGCCGCGACATCATATGCTGGCAGCTAGTGCTGGGTCTTCACATATGCTGCCGCTACCACGTCGCAGCAGAAATCGGCTCACACCAAATACATGCCATCATGACGAGACAAAACACATGACTAGGCGGCATACTCCAGGCAAGCATGACCTCCATACAGACGGAAAGAAGCATGACCTCCATACAGGCTGAAAGAAGCATGGCCTCCATACAGGCTGAAAGAAGCATGGCCTCCATACAGGCTGAAAGAAGCGTGGCATTGCATCTTCATCCTCTTGAATAGAACAATAACCAAACTGATAACAGCTGTGGGAAATGCTGATTTGCAAGCCATGGTGACACCCAGATTTTTCGTCACAAACTACAGACATCTACCGGGGGGGGGGGGGGGTGAATTACGGTTTAAAGTGCGGCTTATACTGCGGAAAATATGGTACTGTGAATACTGCGCTACTCAAGGAATCCGCCGCACAAACAAGATCACCATAAGTCCTAACTGCATGTGCTAGCCCCGGCTTACCCATAGCACTATGATAACTGCATGTGCTAGCCCCGGCTTACCTATAGCCCAAGTCCAGCTTCATGTTGATGTCCCAGACCTTGTCACGCTTCACCAGAAACTCCACTAGGCGGAACTGGTCAGAGCTGCACAGTGAAACCGAGCCCAGAAGAGAATTAAATTACGAAGTGAGGATGATAAACGTGGATGATCACTGTCCCTGGGTCTCAGGTCTTGTTCCATTCCTTCCGGTGCTCACCTTGTGTGTTTCGTGCCGAAGAAATTCATCAGCAAATGGGATCCTTCGTTTGGTTTCATATCCATACCTTCCTCGGCTAGCCTGAAAAACATACAAACACACCTTTCATAACACCCTCAACTAATCGGAATATCTTGCATATCGGCTTAGCGATATCAAGCCGCGTGACCAACTTGATCCGAGGGACATAATTCCTGACACTTTGTGGACTTGACAGAATTCACCGTGGAAACTATGCTATGCTA